GAGTTTGTGTATCACACAGGAAGACATGTTGGTGGTAGGAATGGATGATGGAATAGTGATGTTCACTAGTGACGGGCGGGCAGTGTCGCATGGAGCGGGCGGTGTCTGTAGACAGGAGGCGGTAATTCCCCGTTACATGACGTACTGTAGACAGACCGGGGATATAGCTGTTACTGATATTGACAATGTATCGTTTGATGACTACGTGGCTGGTAAGGCACCAGGAAAACAACCCCGGGTCATTGTGATGGATAAACATCTGAAACTGAAATTTCAATGCAAACATCTTGGTGATATTACATCACAAGTAGGTGGAGGTCAGCAGTCCAAGTTCTACCCCGGGGATGTTTGCTTTGACGGTACTGGAGATGTTCTCGTAGTGGAGGAAGTAACCAAATCAGTGGTGCTGATTGACGGGAACAATGGACACTTCCTCAGGACCGTATATATCTCCAGTGGAAGTGAACCATGGTGTATCAGCCTTCAGGATGACNCTGTGGTTGTAGGTGTTCCCTCACAGATTTCTGAATTTCATATTTGAATTCCTAACTGGAATATATAAGATATAGTTATGTCAAGTGTTATCGACAATTTATACCTGGGTGTCGTGTTTATTTGAAGTCATGTTTTATTTGGACTAAAATACATTTCCTGGCACTCGGCAATCCGCCATCCTAAGATGTCCTTGCACACCAAAAAAGGTTACTTCAGGTGAAAGAGTATAGAAGATATGTACCAGACAAACATTTTCATTAGTAAAAGTCAAGGGTCAAGTCATAGGTCACAGTGACATAATTCTTGCACTTTGCCACCCCAAGATGTCCTTGTACACCAAAACAGGTTACTCCAGGTAAAATAGTATAGAAGATATATTTAGGACAAACACTTTCAAAAGTGAAGTCAAAGGTCAAGTCATAGGTCACAGTGACGTAATTCTTGCACTCTGCCATCCCAAGATGTCCTTGTACACCAAATATGGTTACTCCATGTAAAATAGTATAGAAGATATATTTAGGACAAACACTTTCAAAAGTAAAGGTCAAAGGTCAAGTCATAGGTTAAAGTGACCCAATTATTGGACTCTGCACTCCGCCATCCCAAGATGTCATGGAACACCAAATCTGGTTACTCCATGTAAAATAGTATAGAAGATATATTTAGGACAAACACTTTCAAAAGTAAAGGTCAAAGGTCAAGTCATAGGTTAAAGTGACTCAATTATTGGACTCTGCACTCCGCCATCCCAAGATGTCATGGAACACCAAATCTGGTTACTCAAGGTGAAATAGTATACAAGATATGCGCCGGACATGATAATAACTATTCTACTACAGGAACATTAAGAGCTGGTGTCATAACAGGTTTACCATCATTTTAAATCAAATGCGCCAGACAAACATTTTCAAAAGTAAAGGTCAAAGGTCACAGTGACCTTTATCTTGCACTCTGCACCCCGCCAAACGAAGATATCCTTGAACACCAAAACAGGTTACTCCAGGTAAAATAGTATAGAAGTGTGACCCGGACAAACTTTAAAAAAAATAAAGGTCATTGGTCAAGTCATAGGTCACAGTGACGTAATTCTTGCACTTTGCCATCCCAAGATGTCCTTGAACACCAAATCTTGTTACTCCAAGTGAAATAATATAGAAGACATGCCCTAAACAATCATTTTCAAAAGTAAAGGTCAAAGGTCAAGTCATAGGTCATAGTTGCCTAATTCTTACCCTCTGTACTCTGTCATCCCATGATGTCCATGCTTTTACACAAAATATGGTTACTCTAGGTGAAATAGTATAGAAGATATGCCCCCGTACAAAATGTTTTAAAAGTTAAGGTCAAGTCATAGGTCACAGTGACCTACTTCTTCCATTCGGCACTCCCCATTCCCAAGATGTCCTTGTACACCACATCAGGTTACTCCAAGTAAAATAGAATAGAAGATAATTATGCCCTCCACAAACTTTTTCAAATGTTAAAGTCAAAGGTCAAAGCATAGGTCACAGTGAGGTCATAGTGACCTACACTCTGCATTCCACCATCCCAAGATGTCCCTGTATACCAAATCTGGTTACTCCAGGTGAAATAGTATAGAGGATATGTACCGGACAAACTTCGCGGATGGAAGGACGGACGGAGTGCAAACCTATAGCCAATATAATTAAAAGTCCCATCTTGACTACGACACCCTTCCATGTACATCATTATTACTCAGGATGAAAGTGTTAATATAAACAATGGGCGACAACTCTTTCAAAAATTGTCGAATTTAAATCCTTTCATGGAAAACACAACTTGTTGAAGTTTCAAGATAGGTAACAGATGGACGAACAACAACACACCAAAACACGTTCTGTCAATTTTGACCATTAAAACAAGTAAAACAATACCGTGAAATGCATCTGTAACACAAAGTTTATTGTTGTACAATTGATCGGATATACTAAAACTTGTGACTTGCAAACAGCACTTAACAAAAATCTAACATATCAACTACAATTGAATTTTTAAATAAAATGCTTCAAATTACTTGGTATAGCAATATCTTATGTTAAGAAGCACAAACACATAATAGATACAATAAAACCTGTCTAATCGGACCCCTGAGTATCTGATGTCGTGCTTAATTCTTCAACATAATGCTGTTATCATGTTCCTGTTAAAAGGCACAAAATAATACCTGTATATTGTGATATTCTGTCTAATCTGTTGCGTCCCACAGGGTGTCAGATAAGACAGGTTTCACTGTATACGTAACATTCCTAATAACTGCTGTTGTATATCAGTAATGGATAAGGAATCTCACATAATACTATAAACTTTCAAATGCATAATTTTTTTTTTAATTTAACGCAATCCTTTAAAACTAGAGAATGATGACATAATGATAGTAAATAAAACAGATATCCGAAAAATACACGCAATAAATTGAAGAATATTAAAGATAAGTTAACACCTCTTGTCAGATCAATGCTCAATGAGTTTATACACATATACAGAGTTTACTAAATGAAATGAAATATAAAATTCATTCTTGAAAATTTTTCTGGAAATAATTTTGACATCAATTCAATTGGTGTAATGAAAAATCTGTTCCAGGTGTAATAAATTTAAACAATCTACATGTAAATTAAACATGTTGGTAGAGAGATAAAACACAGTAATCTCCCCTGATTCTGTGTTACAGCCATGTATCACAACCATGAGTTTGAAGGAAAGCCTGTTGATAATCAGATTTAAAGCAGTCAGCACACATAGTATCTATCTGTACATACAGACACCTTTAGTTCTATAAAGTTTTGTGCAAATGAGCAGCAAGCACATCGCTATATAATTCCCAGTTGTCATTAGATCAGTACAGTACAGTTCTAGGTCACTCAAATCAGAAAATATCACAACACAAAAAGAAATATCATTTCAGTTCTCAAATAGATTACGGTTCTGGAAAATTGCTAGAGAAAGTTTCAGATGTAAAATAAAGCATTGTCATACTGTGAAATAGCTTGGGGGGAAATCTAGAGAAACAGAGCTTCTATGAAAACAGGGAATACTTACTTATCACATGCGGTTACCTATTTGAGAACTGAACTGAAACTTTTTTTCCTTCCGTAATTCTAAAACAAAAATGAGGTTATTCTAGGATTCCCCACCCACCCAGACCAAGCAGTGTGGACATCATTTCATGTACCGGCATCTGATCAACATTGGAAAAATCTCCACATATTCGTGTGTAGTAAACAGCCTATCGGCAGAATTTGGCTGTCTGTGGACGGACTTAACGAAGCACTTTGAAGACACATGTACAACAAACATCAGATGGACAACACACTAACAACAGTCATCATATTGTGGAATGTCTACCCTACCTCACAGTTATCACTTGGTCTAGTTTGACCCTAGATCTGAGGATACTAAATACAATTTGTTTCATTTAATGTATTTCAGATCTTTAAAACATAAATCTTTGTGATTATGCACTAACTAACTAACAGGTGAGAAATTTCATTTGTGACTGGACCAGGTGCAGATATTAGTTTCTACACATTCTCTCCGACATAAATCTGGTATGTAGAAGTTTATAGTCGGTCATTCTAAAACGTCTGGTCGTGTATACCTGTGGACAATTATCAGCCAAAAGACCACACCATTTGTATCTATTAATCATAAGTTGATCAGTACATTCTTAGTTGTAAAACATGACAATGAAATCTGTAAAAAATATACATAGATTTCTGTCATAATATTACAATTTCATTACAAATATCACAAAAACATTAAAACTTTACTTGACATCATCTCTAAAGAAAGAAAATTTTGATCACTTCACTTGCATGGATTGTTTTAAAAATAATATCTAGAATGACAGGTTCTTATACTAGATAAAAATAAATACATGTTTGCATAGATTCTTGGTTACATCAAAATAATTTGGTTTACACATGTTGAGCATGTTAAAACACTCAAGTTACAGGCACACACAATTGTACAGTTGTAGCCCTCAAGCTTTGCCCTCAGGAAAAAATGTCAATATAACTGAGTTCTGAAGATTAGGATCCTGCCTCAGTAAAAAGACAAGATCTGAAATATTTTCATTACGAGATGAAGGCTCAATATCTAACGTGTGATGTACATGTAAGGGTTTTATTTGTACACAAGTTACATACATGTATATGTTGTTTCACTACCTTATTACTAAGCTATAATTAGTAGGAATGTGCAGCTGAACTTCTGACATTACCTGGGCTTACATCTTTGTTGTCGTAACGGAATCGAGCAAATATTTTTTTAAAGAAATTCTATGATATATGCTGTATGTATTTTTGTCATCTTCATTTGTAAATATTAATCATCATAATAATAATATTTTCCCAGTGAAAATTAACAGGAAAACAAAAGTAACGAGACATCTTTCAAATAAATCACCGTTCACAAACAATTGCTACACAGCATACTCAACAGATACTAACGATCACAACAAGTATAGTATCGACAATTTCAACAATGTATCAATAATATTTTTACACACTCTTAATATTGGAATACGAAAGTCACTTTTTAAATCCATTAATTTTGAACAAGAAACTTGTGTGGATAAATAAGAATCACAGTGCCTGTATACGTATGAGACACAATTTCACAGCCGTCCAGGAATGTCCTACACCTTGGACTTTCCATTTGATGGCACAATAGATTCCGCGACTCAAAACTACAAACCCGTCCACTTGGTACCGAGTCATTATCACAAATGAAGACTTGACAGTTGCTGCCTATAACACGAGACACAAGCTGTTTAAATAAAGTCTACATATCCTTAACTGTTGCATCATGCATCTGAAATGATAAGAATGAAAAGCTAGTCCATATATATGAGGCCAGTTCAATTTAGATAGCGATGCGCTAATAATTGTTGTAAAATAACATTCTACTCAATATATCAACATTATAGGCCTGATACACATACCAGGTATCTGTGTACATATCTCAGTGTTCTTATCCTCAGCCACTGATTATAGTTGCCCACAATGAGCAATATCATATGAACATGTAATATTTTCAGTACGAAGGACGCTACTGATACAGTATCACAAGGTTCTGTTAACCCTACAGAATATACACAACAGCGAATTGACCACAAGTCAGCTACACCTGGCGACTGACCGGCGGGTAGGTGGGGGGACCTGGTTCCTTGAGAGACTGACCATCTCCGGCTAACTCCTCCGGGACATTGATACTGGCTAAGACAGCCTCCACACTGGAGTTGTTTTGCTGTTCCTCTGACATCTTGTTCTGTATGTCAACCTGAATTGGAATAGAAAACGTTAAACGTTTTTGTTGCTTTTCTTTTTAATCTTATTAGAGTTAAACATTTTAGCACATCTTTAAATTATCCGACATCAATACATCTTTAGCCATAGAAGCAACATACCCTGGTAGACAACTAAGAAAAATCTCAACTTTCATATCCCACCTAGTCAGCCTTTAACAAGTGCTGCAGAATGCAAGTTTTGACAGTTTACCACAGTGATTTTATATGCAGTACCTACCATTGGTGCCAAGTTCAAGGAATTTGGAAGGTCATCTATGGTCATTTCTCCATTTTGTAACACCTGTGATACAAAGATGTACACAAATATTATGCCACAGTTAAATGAATACTTATATGCTGCAATGAGATTCAGTCTTTAATAAAAGACACCTCCACATATATAGTCATATCCTGACACGTTTATTTGCTCGTTTACCCCCATTTGCCTCAATTTCCCTTAATTAAGTCTATAATCCACTTGACTCTCCCTGCCCCTAAGGTTAACCCTTCTACTATCATTTAAGTCACCGCTATCTTCTCTATTCATACTGATCTTCCCGTCTCTTCCCGTGTAATAACCCCTGAACTTCTCCATTCCCCTGTATCTCCTCAACCTTTTCATTCATCCCCATCCCTTGATTTCCTCTCAACTTCTTCATTCATCCTTATTTTTTTGTCTCTTCCCCCTGGTATTACTCCGAAATCTTTCTGTTCATCCCTTCACCCTGTCTCTTCCTCTGACATTATTCCTCAACCTCTCCATCCATCCTGATCCCGTGGAATCCCTACTCACCTCTCCATCCATCCTGACCCCGTGGAATCCCTACTCACCTCTCCATCCATCCTGACCCCGTGGAATCCCTACTCACCTCTCCGTCCATCCAGACCCCCTGGAATCCCTACTCACCTCTCCATCCATCCAGACCCTGTGGAATTCCTACTCACCTCTTAGTCCATCCTGACCCTGTGGAATTCCTACTCACCTCTCCGTCCATCCTGACCCCGTGATCCCTACTCACCTCTCCATCCATCCAGACCCTGTGGAATTCCTTCTCACCTCTTAGTCCATCCAGACCCCGTGGAATCCCTACTCACCTCTCCATCCATCCAGACCCTGTGGAATTCCTACTCACCTCTTAGTCCATCCTGACCCCGTGGAATTCCTACTCGCCTCTCCATCCATCCTGACCCTTTGGAATCCCTACTCACCTCTCCATTCATCCTGATCCCTCCCTCACTGTCTCTGTCTCCAGTACTGTCTCCTACAGTATTGGCACCCTGGTCAGCATCTCCTTCATTGGCATCGCTGACTTGCGTTTCCTCTTCAGGCATTTCAAGATCATCTCCATCTTCCAAGGAGTGTGACTTTTCCATCATGGCGTCACGTGACACTGCAGTCTCTGAAGGGTCGTCAGCACTCTGTGACTCGTCCGCATCTTCATCATCCTCATCACTTCCAATTCTGTACAACCACAGTGTAATATAATCATGTAAAATGTCAACTCATTGAAGCCATAAAATACATATACAATTGTGCTGTTTATTTCCGGCCATTTATATTGGCGTTACATTCCTACTGTTAAGATTTTCATAGTTCACAGAAACTTCAGTGTTTGGTAATTTACAAGTATTTTGTGATTAAGATGTGGGATAGTGCCTACCGTGTGAAGGGCTTGGTTTCACTGACAGCCAGCTCTATCTGGACTGCCTTGTAAGGAGATGCTGTGTCATCATCCTTGTCATCAGCATCCTGAATCTGTACCTCACTGGCAAACTCGTCATCCCTCAACTACAAGAGATAAAAAAACCACCTTCAACTACAAAATGTAATTCTATGTAATTCTATCAGTTGAAGACACATTACTGAAGTCAGATATCAACTGTCTAAAATGTTCTGTGCAATTGATTATATATGTATTTTGCTGATTGTAATTATTTCTTTACTAGATCTACTCAGCGAGTTGGGATATATGTACATTGTTGACTTCATTTACCTTTAGTTAAAACCATACCTGTACCATATTTTGAGATGTTGAATCATTCTCCTAACAATTATGGGAAAATCTTTTACATGTTGCAATACATTATTATGATATCCTCCGCTCCTTAACATTTTCTCATCATTGAGTTTTAAGGGAGATAGCTCCAACGTTAACACAAATCACATGTTTAATAAGTAAGGTCACAGATTCTGAAAAAAGTGTTTATTTCATCTAATGTGCCCGAGTTTAGACCTCAGTAGTAGAGATATCTGACCACTGATCTTTATTCGTTACATGATTACAGCCCTTTGTGTATATTTGACCCCTGACCTCTAATTGTGGACATGTTGCATGACCCCAGTCTTGTGTTTACATTTGACCCCTAACCTGTTCAAGACGGGATGATTCATAACTCTTGTTCTGTGTATGTATTTAATTTCTAACCTCTACTTGTTATAATGTTACATGATCGTTGCCTTAAATGTATGTATTTGACCCCTGACCTTGCCAAGCTCTTCCTCTTCGGCAGCGTTAAGGCGAAGTGAGGGATCCTGTTCACTATCGTCGTCATCAGTTACTGTACTCTCGGTCGTGTCAGACTCCTGGGTCTGTGTATCTTCCTCCTCCACAGACTGGTCTGCTTCCTCCCTCGTCTGCAATCGGTAGTAAGATAAGAAGATTTGCAGTGAAATTTATTCTTGCAATGAGAAATGTATCCTCCGACCTGGACAGTTTAACTGTTTTAATAGGAAATTATTCAGTTAATTCAGTCATATCTAGGCAATGCCTATGAAAGACATGTTTGCCTCTTAAATATATGTTTTATTTCATGATGGAGGCAAAACATCAAGCATTTGTTTGTCTGTATTAGACTAATAACACATTGTCATGTATCTTTAGATTTCATTTGTTTTCTGAGTGGACTACCAGCCCTTGTTTCTGAAGACTAATTGTCAGGGAAGGATTACTGACCTGTGTGTCTGAAGACTGTACTAGTTGTCAGGGTAGGACTACTGACCTGTATGTCTGAAGACTGTACTAGTTGTCAGGGTAGGACTACTGACCTGTGTGTCTGAAGACTGTACTAGTTGTCAGGGTAGGACTACTGACCTGTATGTCTGAAGACTGTACTAGTTGTCAGGGTAGGACTACTGACCTGTGTGTCTGAAGACTGTACTAGTTGTCAGGGTAGGACTACTGACCTGTATGTCTGAAGACTGTACTAGTTGTCAGGGTAGGACTACTGACCTGTGTGTCTGAAGACTGTACTAGTTGTCAGGGTAGGACTACTGACCTGTATGTCTGAAGACTGTACTAGTTGTCAGGGTAGGACTACTGACCTGTGTGTCTGAAGACTGTACTAGTTGTCAGGGTAGGACTACTGACCTGTATGTCTGAAGACTATACTAGTTGTCAGGGTAGGACTACTGACCTGTGTGTCTGAAGACTGTACTAGTTGTCAGGGTAGGATTACTGACCTGTATGTCTGAAGACTATACTAGTTGTCAGGGTAGGACTACTGACGTGTATGTCTGAAGAATGTACTAGTTGTCAGGGTAGGACTACTGACCTGTATGTCTGAAGACTGTACTAGTTGTCAGGGTAGGACTACTAACCTGTATGTCTGAAGACTATACTAGTTGTCAGGGTAGGATTACTGACCTGTGTGTCTGAAGACTGTACTAGTTGTCAGGGTAGGACTACTGACCTGTATGTCTGAAGACTATTCTAGTTGTCAGGGTAGGACTACTGACCTGTGGGTCTGAAGACTGTACTAGTTGTCAGGGAAGGACTAATGACCTGTGTGTCTGAAGACTGTACTAGTTGTCAGGGTAGGATTACTGACCTGTGTGTCTCTATACTAGTTGTCAGGGTAGGACTACTGACCTGTATGTCTGAAGAATGTACTAGTTGTCAGGGTAGGACTACTGACCTCTATGTCTGAAGACTATACTAGTTGTCAGGGTAGGATTACTGACCTGTGTGTCTGAAGACTGTACTAGTTGTCAGGGAAGGACTAATGACCTGTGCGTCTGAAGACTGTACTAGTTGTCAGGGTAGGATTACTGACCTGTGTGTCTCTATACTAGTTGTCAGGGTAGGACTACTGACCTGTACGTCTGAAGACTATACTAGTTGTCAGGGTAGGATTACTGACCTGTGTGTCTGAAGACTGTACTAGTTGTCAGGGAAGGACTATTGACCTGTGTGTCTGAAGACTGTACTAGTTGTCAGTGAAGGACTACTGACCTGTGGGTCTGAAGACTGTACTAGTTGTCAGGGAAGGACTAATGACCTGTGTGTCTGAAGACTGTACTAGTTGTCAGGGAAGGACTAATGACCTGTGCGTCTGAAGACTGTACTAGTTGTCAGGGAAGGACTAATGACCTGTGCGTCTGAAGACTGTACTAGTTGTCAGGGTAGGACTACTGACCTGTGGGTCTGAAGACTGTACTAGTTGTCAGGGAAGGACTAATGACCTGTGTGTCTGAAGACTGTACTAGTTGTCAGTGAACGACTACTGACCTGTGTGTCTGAAGACTGTACTAGTTGTCAGGGAAGGACTAATGACCTGTGTGTCTGAAGACTGTACTAGTTGTCAGGGAAGGACTAATGACCTGTGCGTCTGAAGACTGTACTAGTTGTCAGGGAAGGACTAATGACCTGTGCGTCTGAAGACTGTACTAGTTGTCAGGGTAGGATTACTGACCTGTGTGTCTGAAGACTGTACTAGTTGTCAGTGAAGGACTACTGACCTGTGGGTCTGAAGACTGTACTAGTTGTCAGGGAAGGACTAATGACCTGTGCGTCTGAAGACTGTACTAGTTGTCAGGGAAGGACTAATGACCTGTGTGTCTGAAGACTGTACTAGTTGTCAGTGAACGACTACTGACCTGTGTGTCTGAAGACTGTACTAGTTGTCAGGGTAGGATTACTGACCTGTGTGTCTGAAGACTGTACTAGTTGTCAGGGTAGGACTACTGACCTGTATGTCTGAAGACTATTCTAGTTGTCAGGGTAGGACTACTGACCTGTGGGTCTGAAGACTGTACTAGTTGTCAGGGAAGGACTAATGACCTGTGCGTCTGAAGACTGTACTAGTTGTCAGGGAAGGACTAATGACCTGTGCGTCTGAAGACTGTACTAGTTGTCAGGGAAGGACTAATGACCTGTGTGTCTGAAGACTGTACTAGTTGTCAGGGTAGGATTACTGACCTGTGTGTCTCTATACTAGTTGTCAGGGTAGGACTACTGACCTGTACGTCTGAAGACTATACTAGTTGTCAGGGTAGGATTACTGACCTGTGTGTCTGAAGACTGTACTAGTTGTTAGGGTAGGACTATTGACCAGTGTGTTTGAAGACTGTATTAATTGTCAGGGTAGGATTACTGACCTGTGAGTCTGAAGACTGTACTCGTTGTCAGGATAGGACTACTTACCTGTGTGCCTAAAGACTGTACTTGTTCACTACTTACCTGTGTGCCTGAAGACTGTACTTGTTCACTACTTACCTGTGTGCCTGAAGACTGTACTTGTTGCTGACTCGCTGTTGCAGGGTTCTCGCTCAGACCTTGCATCAGTCGGAAAAACGCCAGCTCATTGAACAGGACCTCGGACATGTCTACCAACAGGTCTTCCCCACACATTCTTAATCTGCGAGACACAAAATACACAAGTTATCTAGCAGCACGCCCCATGGTATGAATAGGATTGATCATTGAAAGGACCATCAAACTTGCTTATTTACATACACTTTTCATGATAATCAAGTTTTTCTAAAAAAATTGGAAATATTTCAGGAGAGTAGACTTACTGATTTAATGTATGAAAGATTAACTTCTGTATGATAGGAATTTATGACTTACTTTCTTCCTTCAAACTTGCTGAGTGTATCATGCAGTGCAGAGCTCAGCTGGGCGTGGAAGAAGGTGGCATACTGACTGCTGTCATACTGCCGTGTGAGACTGAGCACAAGACGTTTGATGTAGGCCAACAGTTCATAGGAACACACATGATCTATATGTTCCTTAATCACCGGAATTACTTCCTTCATGATCATCTTTATTTGCTTGTTCAGTTCTTGAGTATCGATTCTTGAGTACTGTGTAAAGAATGCAAGCTGGTAAGAAATAGTTGCAAGATGCAGACCGATATTTACTTCTAAAAACTTTTGGGGAATGTTTTTGCAATTTTTATATATATATATATAAAAAAAAAAAAGTAGTGACTGGAAAAACTGTACAATTCACAGATGTGATGAGCTGAAGGTAGTTCATCATCTTAAGTCACAATACATAAATTTGACTAGAACCCCTTGCAGTAACCGGTAACAATAATCTAGGGACATGGCCATGTGCAGTGCAGATATTTCATCAACGAACAACTAGTACTTTGGTCAAATCGTTTGGATCATGATCAATAAAAGCGGCCCTAGTTCGGTATTTTTAATCCAGACAAGATGTGAACATGTGTATGGATGAAAAGACAGAGTGACTACTATATATATACATCCTCTCTTTGATTTGGAGAAAATACAATACTTAGGAATGAATACATTGAAATTCATTTAAATTTATCTGAACCAACGAGAATCCCCAATGGAAATACCTAATGTATAAAATAGAAATAGTAAATTTAAAGACGATTGTTTGTGCCTCCGAGGTGTTACCGTACTTACAGATGTGGAAGAGACTGAACTCTCACTACCCTGGTCCACAGCAGAACTACTGGTTGGCTCAGAAACGGGACGAGATGGCCTAGCTTGCTCTGGTTTCTGTTTCTTGCTATCCAGCCAAGCTTTTTCTGTAGCCGCCTGCTTGGATTCATTTTCTCTCATTTTCTTAAGTGCCTTGCAATATCAAATTGACTTCAGTAAAATAGGATCTCTAAAGAGCCAAACTATATATTTACCTAATGCCCCATTTTCATATTAGTTGCTGTTGTAGTATTGAGACTACTGATGGTAGACTGCCTACAGTATTATTTCCCTCCCTTGCATGTTCATATTTTTGATCTATTTGTTTCTAGTTTTATTGTTAATAAATGGCCTCTTTTATTCAAGTTTTATGAAAATCAAAAACATTATCTGATTATTTCTAAACATTATATTCATGTTGGTAAGTATGGATTATTAATAGTTTCTTGTTACACAACCATTAAGTGTTTCTATGTGACGTTTTGATGACTAGTACTTTATGAGAGCAATCTGTTCAAGCGGCAGATAAAGGAAGCCATCTGGATCTGCCGCAGTGGGTTAGTTCTAAATCGAGATGAGGGGGCTCATAGATTCTCGCACATCTATGACCAAGTATGAAACAAAGCGTAGTCATTTAGGTACATAATATAACAACTATTGTACACACGCTTACAACGTACATGTAGCTGAATCAACATCGATTTGTGGACAACTCGTACACATTTTACACCTTTGTGTGCATATGCTTCACTAGTCATTCGTCTGATGAAGGTGACAGAGTACGTACATACCGTACTAGTCATCGAAACATCACATAGAAACACTTATTGGTTGTGCAACAAGAAACTTTTCATAATCCATAATCTGATTAGTTTTTGCACCCTGAATGATGACAAGGGCCATGGTTCCTGGCTAGTGTTCTGAATCTCTTGGGCCACTAGGAAAGTTACGATCAATCATGAACAGTACACTGTAAACAGCTCTGAATTTATGTGCAGTGTTTTTGTCAGGCAACTGATTTTCGCACATTTGTGGATAGTAAGTAAGTCTGTCGTCTCTGCTATTTTGGTTGAAACTTGACTCGAAAAAGTGACCTAGGCATAATAATTTCATTACTAAGTGTATACCCTGGTATGTATTTATGACTCTTGATTAGTTTCAGCATATAAATGGCTGAACAACAATACTTGGCTATTCTTGAAACCAATATTCTTTATCTTTAGTCTCAAACTAGGTCTTACAATAATACCAGAAGCTGAAAATGTTTGCCATGATGTTTCTGCGATTATTTTTACAGTATTATCTACCTTATCTAGGTGGATGACGGTGTCGCCCAGGTCCTGAGAGAAAGGGTTGTCCCAGTAACTGGTGGAGGGAGTGGACAGACTGCTGTCATAGTCAGCAGCCTCCACATAGTCAAACTGGTCATTCTGTAGGGACTCTCCTCTAGCCAGGGCACGTCGTTTCTCAATTGTCAGGTCTCGTAACTGCATCTACAAAGACAACATCCGTGTCATATTCTCCATTTCACTACTCCACTCCATTTTACGATCATTTGTACTCATATTTATATCAGAGCTTGGCCTTAAATAGAGAAAATATGTTATTTTTAGTTTTTTTCTATATTTCAAAAAAAAAAATACCTTCATATCATTAAGATGAAAGAACTACATTTGGCTTGGAGACAGATAACAAACACTAAGTATGTATGCATACCGTGATTTCCTCGTCATCTGTGGTTAGATTACTCTCACTAGGGGTGAGCTCCGAGGCTGTACCTACGCCAGCACTATTCATCCAAGCAGGCAGTGGCTGCAAAACATTTTGGAACAGTTACAACCAGACAGTGGCTGCAAAACAGTTAACATTACAACCAGGCAGTGGCTGTAAATAGGTATAAATAGCAACAACCAGGCAATGGCCGTCAATAAGTACAAAATAGTTACAACGAGGCAATGGCTGTAAAAACCAAGGGAAAGTATTGCAAGGCAATCCATAGTCCCCCAGCAGTAATGATTTATAACTTTTTTTAAAAGGTAAGGACAAAGGTCAAAGCATAGGTCACAATGAGGTCATAGTGACCTTATTCTTGCACTCCGACATCCTAAGATGTCCTTGTCACCAAATCTGGTTACTCCAGATGAAATAGTACAGAAGATATGCCCTGGGCAAACTTTTTCAAAAGTTAAGGTCAAAGGTCAAGTCATAGGTCACAGTGACATAATTCTTGCACTCTGCACTCCGCCATCCCAAGATGTCCTTGTACACCAAATCTGGTTACTCCAGGTGAAGTTGTATAGTAGATATGCCCCGGACAAACTTTCTAACAAGAGGCCCAAGGGCCTTAGCGATCACCTGAGTTATATCATAGGTACTGGTAGCTTTATTTTATTGTTTAGATGTGATGTGGAAATCAGCATGTAATCTTAGTGAAATACAATATTTGTCATGTCATCAAAGGATAAGAATTTTAAATATTGATTAATGTTCCCTTTGGGGCCCCGCCCTAGCCCCTGGGGATGGGGCAGGAATTCCAATTTTACAATGTAATACCCTCATCCACCAAAGATGATTCTGACCAAGTTTAAATAACTGTCTGCTGAAAATGGATAAAATATACCCAAAAGTGTTGTTTCCCTATATAAATTATAGTAAACTTTACCCCCTCCCCAAGAGGGAACTGATGGCTGAGGGATCCTGAAATTGACAATTTCAATAAAGCTCCTGATGATCTTTCTATCCATGCCCTGAAATTGACTGTAGTACCTCAGAGTCTGGAGCAGAAGATTTTTGAAATATTGGTAAATTTTCCTTTCAGGCCCGCCCTGGCCCCTAGGGTTGGGGTAGGAATCCCAATTTTACATTTTAAAACCATCTTCCTCCAAGGATAATTCTCACCAATTAAGAATAATTTCCTACAAAAAATTGTCAAAATATACCCAAAAGTGTTGTTTCCCTATATAAACTATAGTAAATTTTACCCCCTCCCGAAAGGAAGAACGGATAGCTTGGGTGTCCTGAAATTAAATAAAGCCCCTGATGATCTTTCCATCCATGCAGAGAAAATGACTGTGGTAAAGCCCCTGGCGATCTTTCCATCCAAGCAGAGAAATTAACTGTGGTACCTCTGAGTCTGGAGAAGAAGTTTTTTGAAATATTGGTTAATTTTCCCTTTGGGGCCCCGCGAAGAATGATTCTGACCAAGTTTGAAAAAATTCTATCAACTGGTTCTTGAGAAGAAGTTGAAAATGTAAAAAGTTTACGCACGACAGATGAGGACGGAAAGTGATCGGAAAAAAGTTAAGGTCAAAGGTCAAAGCAAAGGTCACAGTGAGGTCATAGTGACCTTTTTCTTGCACTCTGCCATCCCAAGATGTCCTTTTACACCAAATCTGGTAACTCCAGGTGAAATACTATAGAAGATATGTCACAGACAACCTTTTAAGAACAGAAGGACTGACAGAGTGCAAATCTATAGTTCCTCCCAGGAACCGGTTGGGGACTAACTACAACCAGGCAATAGCAGAAAAGCAGACAAAAACTTGAATTACCGGTAACAAAATGTCTCAAATCAGTCCGTATATACTGCACTCGATCAACTTCACAATCATAAAGTTTGAAAATAATTTAATCCTGCCACGTTGCCTCACCTCATCGGTGTTTGCAGTCAAAGGACCAGCACTCTGTTCTGTAAGGAACATGGACACCAGGTGTTTGATCGAGTACAGAACACGCTGTCGCAGATAATCTGAGGTGAGCTTCTGAAGTTCTCGAAAGAGTTCGATAAGGAAGTGAGGTCTGTTCTCGTTTTGTGAAATCAAAGTGGCTACTTCTGCATAAATAGATTCTCTCAGAGCTTCAAACAGAGTCAGGTCGCCAGGATCGTCCACTTCCCTGCAACCACAATAGCAAATTAGTTAATCACAGTAATCATGACCTGGTATCTGTACTAGCCAAGAGCAGGGAAAATATCTACATAAGAAACCCAAGGGAGCTAAAATATTCCTTCCCAATATCAAACTGTCAATCATTATATTCTTTTGATATCAACATTAAATTATTGGTCACTTGCCTTTATGCCTCTTTTAAAAATTCTTCAAAGTTTGGTATAGTTTATGTTGATACATAATTTCTTATAAGTGGATATAAACATGGAACAAGCCATTTGGATTGATATGTCTCGTCTGTACCCAGCTTTGATCATCGATGCACATGTCAAGTTTTGTTGGTTTCAGAGAAACTAACTTAAACGCAAAAACTTAATGTTGATGAAGAAGATGCTGACAAAGTCAGTGGACCATGAAAGGTAGCATTTGATGCATGGGTTGAGATGTACTACCTCAGATGCATCTATGGTGCAAGTTTGGTTGGTCTATCACTGATACTTTCAATGAAACTAACTGGCGGCGACACAAACAAAATGTTTATACCGTTGGCGTCAATGCCTCACTTTCCCAGAACTTGTTTTCTGTATTTTCTATATTATTATTGTCGATTCATGTATGAACAGCTCCTAGTAAAAGTTAGATTAATGCAATTTTCCTTTTATATTAAAACCTCAGGAGAAAGTTATGATCCAAGACAACAGAACATGCAAATATTGAAATAGTTCACTATGTACGGAGATTGCTACTATCTAGCCGAGAAGTTTGTATTTCACCTGGACTCTTTCTTGCGACCAGCAGCTGCCTCTCGTTGCGGTCTATTGGAAAGGGTACTGGCAATACTGCCCTCGTCCCCAAAGCCTGCCCCACTGATCCCGGCACTGAGGCCTGGTCTCTCCCCGAGCTGACTCGCTCTTTGGCCAGTTGGCCTCACTCGCTGTGTTAGAGAGTTGAGGATATCGGAAGTGTTGCCTGTGTATAGTGCAGCACCTACAAAGTAATGAAACACATTAAATTCATGTTACTTTTAAAAATAAACTGAGGTGCCCATAAAAAGAAAGTCAAAATTACTGTGATTATTTTGGTCAAGTTTTACACCCAAATACAGCTGCTTCTCATACCAAAAAAAGTGTTTGATTTTCCCAAAAAAGAAGAAAAAATCAACAGTGTCTTCCCAATTTCAATAAGAATGCTCCATTTTCCCAAATTCATGTTGTAAAACTTAGGCAGACAAACATCACTTTACCACAAGTTTTTGAAACAACAGAATTAATGACTCAAGTATGAAAGCAAATGTCCTAAATGTACAACATATTCACAAAAAGGTTTTCTTGGTAATTTTTTTTTTTTTTAAGTTATTTCAGAAATACCTGTCCTGCAAGACCAGTAATGCTGGATCTTTTTTGAATTGTAAATGGAACATTTCAAATATATTTTACACATCCATGATTTCAACAACAATTTCAAATTCCCTCTGCAGTAGTTGTGAGTATAAAACTTGATAATTAGAATATAGAATAAAGATATGATTTAATTTAATCATTTGTAACAGCAATAAAGGAATTTGAGGGGAAAAAAATGCCTTTATATATTGGCAAGCTAGCTTTTCCAACGATGTGGTATCCCCAGGGACCCGCTCACTAGTTCAGCAACGTCGAGCGTGGTCAGTAGTTGGATGGGTGACTGCCTGCACGTTACACATTTTTTCATAATTAACTTCAGGTCTGAAAGTGTGTACTTTGAGCATTTGACAAGTGTATGTACACCTATTTTCATCAGAATATCCTCAAGGAGTGGAAAATTACAGGGTCTGTTTGGCTTTGGTTTTTTGTCTTTGCAACAGCTTGGTTCATTGACACAGTAAAAAGTTAGACTTGATAGTGGTAGGGAACAAATGACAGAGGGCAAATGTGTGTGATGTAGCAATGATAACAAACCTCCATCTTTACTACCCGAGGCTTGTGACCACTCTCTTTGGTTACTGGCTGGTCTGAAACACACAAAATATTACATACATAAAGCAAAATTTGACATCTCTTTAGTCCAACGTTTTACATAACATAACTACCTACCATTCCAATTTTAAAAGAAGTCTTGTAAAATCAGCTTTTATCATTTTTATTCCTTCAAACTAACAACAAAACTCCAGAAACTCCTGTTTAGATGCATTCTCTTGTACTGTTCATTGTAATGAAAGTTAACTTCAGTCATGAGTTTAACAAATGAGTTCTTATTAAATTCAGTCTTTTAAAACTAAACAAGGCATCACAAGTGATACAAATCCCCTCGCATGAAATGAAGTCGCTAGAGCGATGACAAAGTTTTTTCTAACAAGAGGCCCAAGGGCCTTATTTAGCGGTCACCTGAGTTATATTATAAGTTCTAGTGGCTCAATTCCATTGTTGAGGTGTACAAAATGTGGAAAACAACATGTAAACAAAGTGAAATACAATACTTGTCATGTCACCAAAGGATAAGAACTTAAACAAGAGGCCCAGGGGCCTTAATAGCTCACCTGGGATTATTGTATAGTTAAAATATGTTTAGTTTTGTTCATGAATATCGTGTATAAAATTAGTGATGATCATGAGAGGAGGGCAAACTTGTTCCAGTGCTTTGGCCGGGGTCTTTGGCTTTTAATTAGTTATTATAGATTTTTAACCACCTATGCAAAAAGTAACTGAAAACCCTGGATATACATATGAGAGTGCAGTAAATATAATAATGTACATGTATTGTCAGTTTATATAAGTTTGAAAACTGGGGAGAAGTTTATAATGAGAATCAATGTAGAGAGTTATATATACGTAGGTATTGGGCAAAGAGTGGTGTATACATGTTAGTATTTGTAAGAATTTTGCTAAAGGTTTTTTTGATGGGGAATAAGGCAGTTGTTGGTTTGTTATAATAATTATAAGTATTCAAAGTTTTGATGATACATTGATCGGGTAGCGTGGGGCAAATGAAAGGCAACAGGATGGCTTGGTATGTGCATTGTTAAATTTGCTTTGTTTCAGCATACTTGAACAAGTGTTGTTTGGATAAATTCATTTTAAAGGAAAAGTTGATGACAAAGATTATTAAGTATGTTTGAAAGTCTCGGCTTTGATGCAATCATTGAAAACACCTGGATTCAATGCTACGATAACGAACGACTCCGAAACGTTAAAAGATTTCCGGACAAAGTATATTTACGTGTATGAGCACATCTTGCCATTTACATTTTAAAGTAATTAACATAGATTTTATGAGCCCTTAGTTTATAAAAAAATGCATCTTTTTACCATAAACATGCTTTTAACCACACTTGTTTTAAATCCATTCATTTGTACTGTACAGAACGAGACTGTTTTCCTCTATTTCCCCTAATGCCCCCCCATCTGTCCCCCCGCCCCCTAAAAATAAATCCAAATTAATTCCTTTGTCTCTAAGCATGCTCCAGACTGCATATGGTTTAAATCCCTTCTCTTGTAGAGTAAGAGAAAATGTCCTCTATTTTCCCTATTAAGACATGCTCCACTGCCGCCCCCAGTGGGGCCACACCCTCCGTTTATACAAACTTGAAACCCCTTTGTTCAAAGATGCTCTAAAACAAATTTGGTCAAAATCATTCTTTTGGTTGACAACAAGATTTTTTTTAAAGATTTACCTAATTTCCCCCTATTTGGCCCCACCCTTCTGCCCCCATGGGGACCATACCCTCCGTTTATACAAACCTGAGAACCCTTTGGCCCATGATGCTCCAGACCAAATTTGGTTGAAATCCCTTCATCAGTACAAAAGGAGAAGGATCTTGGATGTTTTCCTCTATTTCCCCTAATGGGCCCCACCAATCTGCCCCTAGAAGGGGACCCACACACCTCAGTTTATACAAAATTGATTCTTTTGTCCCTAAGCATGCTTCAGACTGCATTTGGTTTAAATCCCTTCACTTGTATAGTAGGAGAGAAAAAAATCCTCTACTTCCCCTATTTGGCCCTGCCCCTCTGCCCCCAAAGAGGCCACACCCTCCGTTTATACAAACTTGAGTCTCCTTTGTCCAAAGATGCTCTAGGACAAATTTGGTCAAAATTCTTCTATTGGTTGAGAAGAAGAAGATTTTTAAAGATTTACCTATTTTCCCCCTATTTGGCCCCGCCCCTCTGCCCCCAGGGGGGGTTATACCCTCCGTTTATACAAAACTGAGAACCCTTTGGCCAATGATGCTCCTGACCAAATTTGGTCAAAATCCTCTGAGCCATTCAGGACAAGTAGCATTTTAAAGGAAAAAGTTGACGGACGCTGGATGCTGCACCATGGGATAAGCTCACTTGGCCCTTCGCCCTTCGGGCCAGGTGAGTTAAAAACTATTCAAATAAATTATTTGGCTATTGAGAATCTATTGGATCTTTCGATCCATGTGCGACATGTGTGTGAAAGTGACGATTTGTTTCCAAAATATCAGTTTGAAGTGCGCTTCGGGCGCGGGTCACATATTTCCCGCATATTATAGAGGGTCGGAGTTCTGACATTAATCGACGACAGACCGATATGAAAAAAGTGATTATTGGGGGATAATGAAATTTACAATTAAGGTAATTAAGGTAACTGAGTCTGATGAAGATTTTATCTAAACTTTTAACCATAATCCCCATTTGGGCCTCCACCCCTCCAGCCCCTCGGGATGGGGCAGGATCTTATTTTCTCATACCATCTAATTGCCATCTGGCATCATAATCATTCCAACCAAGTTTGAATAATTTCCTGCTGAAAATGGACAAAATATACTCAAAAGTGTTATTTCCCTATATAAATTATAGTAAATGTTATCCCCTCCCTAAAGTAAAACGGATAACCTGGGGGTACTGAAATTTACAATTTAAACAAAGCCCATGATGGTCTTTCCATACATGCAGAGAAATTGACTGTAGTACATCTGCGTCTGGAGTCCTAAGATGATTTTTGAAATATTGGTTAATTTTCCCTTTGGAGCCCACCCTGGCCCCTGGGATTGGGGTAGGAATCCCAATTTTACAGTTTTGTAGCCTCATCTACCAAGGACGATTCTGACCAAGTTTGAAAAAATTCCATCCACTGGTTCTTGAGAAGAAAAAGTCGACCTTGGCTTTCACCTTAGAAACCTGAAACGCGAACTTGTTCAAGGTATTGTCATACTTCACACTTGTATTAAGTTTCATAAAGTTCCGTTGAGGAATGAAGTCGCTAGAGTGATGACAAAGAGTGTAACATACATACGGAATCCTATATCCTCTCGAACTTTCGTTGCGAGGGGATAATTAACAGCACTTCAGTTTTGCAAAGTCAAATTTTATGTTTTGTTGTTTTTCTTGAACAAAATTTCCAACATTTATGCAAGTTTCTATTCCAAGCGAAAATAAATTCCAATGAAATTATTAAGTGCTATACATGTTGCAGTTTGTATTGTAAATGTGTTTTGCTAAACTCTTGATTTAGGATATATATTGAATCGTATTTCATGATGTGTTGCTCACTTTTTCTTCTTTCTAGCCTGAGAGATTGGATGTGAGGGTATTGACTCGTTAACTCTGCTAGTCTGTTGTAGAGATTCATTCCTGCGTGACATCAGACGCTCTGTGTGTGCCCTCTGCTTACTTCCAGTGCTCTGTGTACTGAAAGACCTTCCTAAAGACCTGCTCCTCTCGTTCTGTTCTCCCGGAGTCAGGCCATCACCTAAACGTCTGTCAGATTCAAACACATTGTCCTCACTCAACATCTGCCCAGAGAGAAGATTATCCATGCTGTTTCGCTGGAGAAAACTTAGTGGGGGTTGACTGAAGCTGTCTGGTCGAGGCAGCGCTCCAATGTTAGGTGACAGACCACGACTATCTACAGGTGCAGAGAGCGAAGTGAGAGAACGCAGACGGAGCTCGTCTGGTGTGAAGCCTTGGATTTGCCTCTGGAGATTCTGGATCTCCATCTGCTGCATAGACATCTGTTGTAGACACTGGCTCATGTTCATCATCAACTGCTGCTGCTGCATTTGCTGCTGAAACAAGTCAGGCATTGCACCTGCCCTGTAACCAAAGCCTGCAAACAGAAACGAGATACAGCATATATACACATCTCTTGGTTACCAGCCATAGTAGCTACATGCAACCACTAAAATTGATGAAATTTGTAAATCAAATGATAAGATTTCTACACTAGATGGTCATTTACAGAAAAACAAATGTATTAAGAGTTGAATTTTACAAAGTTTGGTTTAGCGGATGGCATATTTTTGTTCTACCTATGCCCATGGCCGCTTTTAAATCATAAAATATCAGTAATAAATCCCGGACACAATTCACAGCGTATGTGTTTAAACCAGTGTTACCTGGAGAAGGCATGGCACTGGTCTGCAGCAGTCCCATACCGGGGAGATTCTGACTTTGGTCCACACCCATCAGTGTCTGACACATTGAGGCTGTCCTCTGTAGCTGTAACTGTAGGGCTTCGTACTGACTGCCTGATGTGTCCAGCAGCTTACTGCCATCTGGGGAGTCGTCCTGCATTAACTCCTGGGGGGAACGGAAGTTCTACAAGTAAAGCACAGGTCTCTCACTGTAATGTCTCAACACTTTCATAAAAAAGGGAATATTTTCCTTGACACAAACTATTTATATGAATTTCGTCATGATTTTTTGTCAAATTTACAATTGCCTGATGGAGAAACAGGAATAGATTAATCTAAATAATCTAGAAGAGGATTTTCCCTTGCTTACAATGAAAATTGGGACAAACTTGTGCCCTGATTTGTCCAAGTCACTTTCTTGTTAATATATATTCAAACCTCTGATAAAGCATTCATCAGGAAAATCAAAACAAAGCTTAATGAGAATAAAATACTATCTAAATTTACTTATTGTACTGACCTCCTGTTTGACCCTTCCTTGTTTGGCCTTCTTTGACCAGCTTCCTTGTTTAGGTCTTGCTCCATCTACGAAGCAATTAAAGAGAAATATATCTATAATATTTGATTTTTAATATGTTTAAGGCATTGTGGCAATTTCACGTCATTTTAAGTGGATTTCAATGGACACATGGGGTATACCTTGATTTGATATTGTCTTACCTGGAAATTAAATTAGTATTATGTATTAATATCAGTATATATTTTCAAATTTTCAGCCATGAAAAACTCATGAAAGTCAACATCTTCACTTAGTCATTTAAGCTGTTTACCAGTGAATGATGAATTTTGAATTCTGCTTGTAATCTTGCGAGTATGTACCTTTTGGATCTTTTCGAGCCCTTGGAAATGTGCGCCGTTTCTTGTCCTGTGCCCGTGACGCCCCCGTGGCCACATGTCTCTGCGTACGTGCTTCTCGTCGCTGTCTTACGTCCTCCTCTATTGTGTACGTGTTGTTGTCAGAATCATTCTCCTCTTCCTCCTCCTCTACCTGGATGATTCCATCACTGGGGTAAGCTAAGACAGAAAACTTTCATTTTTATTTATCAATTTTTTTTTTTATGTATGAAATAGATACATATATTGACATTTTATTCCTTCACAACTTTGTTGCTCATGAAATTTCCCTTACTTGTAATTTTTTTTAAATTATATTGTATATAAATAAACCTCACAACACTATGTTGGATGTTGAAAGAATTGAAGAAAAGATTTTTTACATGGCACGACTCACTGCTTTGCAGATCTTGATAGGAAATGACTATGTGAGAAAAGGTTCACTGAGGCTGAATACAATTTCGGTTACAAAATTGTACATTGGGACTGTCAACCACTAACAACTTGTAAGGTGCTTATTTTTGTGTAACTTGATTAAAAAAATTGTATCAGTTGCAAATATTTGTAGCAAAAATGAGTCTTGTCCGACTCAACTGTTCATTTTGTGATTGAATTGTTTCACAGAATGTTGAAGTGAATAACACTCAATATGGCATTTAACTATTATGTAAATAAATATTGTGTAGGTTTGCATATTGTTTATTAAAATAAAATGCACTACTGTTGAAAATTTATCATCTGTTCATACCATCATCATCTTCCTCCTCCCTGTCCAGTCGATCGTTGTCCTCGGTGATACTCTCCAGGTTGTCTACTGTAGATCCCCCCCAGGTGGCCATCGTAGCATCAGCACTCATACTGGCTCTGTAAAACACATTAGAGTCACAAATATATACTATTTTTACACTAAACAGCTGATAGGACACTTTCTTATATCTGCTTCAGCTGTTTCATTCATTTGAACCCCGACAGAAAACAGCAAGCACAGATCTGAATGTAGGCGGATCTCTGGAAAATATGGCATGTGAATACATTTGAAGGGGTCCGGACATGCCTTGCCAAAGTGCTATGGTAATTTTTCATTACTTCTACCCAAAAGAAGGTCTATTCACATATCTACTTTAGCACATGTCATAAAATTTAGTACAGATGTGAAAGAAACACAAACAGTTTTTAATTCTTTTATAATTTATTTGTCACAAAACCCCAAACTGTACACTTTTCACAATATTTACACATGTGCCGAGTACAAAAATAGACTACATGAAAAGCTAGCTTTTGTTGTGTAGACACAGATTCGTAAAATGGCCAAAAATGTAGCCTCAAGCCAAATTCTATTTTTTTTTAAATGTGAAGCCCACATAGTCCAATTCATCATGTATGTCAATTTTAGAGCTGATTTTTTTTTGAACTTTTGATACATGTAATATTACACTGGGGTTATTCATTGTACAAAAATATCACCATGGCCACCGTACGCTACTGTACACTGCTACTGTAGAAGACCACTACTGTTTGACTTACCCATACATATCTGTAGAGTAGGAAACTGTGTCACTTTGATTGTCCTGGTTTTTAGAGTAATGTTTCTTGTTGCCATTGTCCTTCTTCATGATAGCCTCCAGCTCTCGCTTCTTCTGCCGAAGTTCTTCTCTCATCATCCTCTGCTTCCTCATCTTTCCATACACTTCATCATTCGAAGAGACTGCAAAATATTGTGGATTTCTTACAGAAACAGTGAAGAAACTTGCATGTCAATACAATGTTTATGAAACATAAGTAGGAGTAGCGCAATATTATAAACAATGTCATGTATTTGGAAACTGGTGAGTAGGCATCACATTAAGGACTATTACAGTAAAACACCTATCCCACCCCTGGACTCTACGCTTTCTTTGTATATGTCATCAAATATAATTCTTAATTTGCATAGAGGTAAAAAGGCAGGAAACCCAAACAAAGACAGAAGTTGTTTATTTCAGAGCCTTGTGTGGAGGTACTTTTATTTAAATTTACTGTAATAGCTCAGAAATCGAATGGGACATGTGACAAGATAATAATAATATATATATTTCTATGCCTGTCTGACAAAGAACTTTTTTCCCCACAAATTCTGAATTCAATTTGAATTTATGGAATCTTTTTTTACACAATGTAGCTTTATTAAATACCATATACAGAGAAATGTTCTAAATGGTTCATCTTTTGCCATTTACTGAAATAATGACATCAAAGATTATTAGTACACAAATTATTTAACATAGTATTTCCATAGGACAGACAGGAGTAATACTGGGGTGATATTTCCACGTGACAAAGGATTATATGACTGGGTGAGCAATACTTTCAAAATACACAGTAATTCTTCCTTTAAACAGCATTCTTCCACATATTTTTTGCTTGCACATTATTTTGATTTTCTACTACAAACAAACATTATTAAGTCAGTATATTTACATTATTAAGTCAGTATATTTACATTATTAAGTCAGTATATTTACATTATTAAGAACTTCACCAAGTATTGTTGCTGGTTGATTTTAGTCCAGTCATAAGTCTTACATTTGACAACAGGAGCACTAAGTCTAATTGGTCGTTGGTTTTCTTTATCCTCTTCATCTTCCTCTTCATCGTCATCCTGTTCAGCAGCTGGGTCAGATATTTCTTTCATTTCAGTTTTCCCATCTTCTTCATCATCCTCACCTTTCTCAGATACCTAAATATACAAGACACTACTTGCATTACTCCAAACACACTTATTTTTTTTTTGAAAACTGTTAAGCTACAGTATGTATTATGAAAAACACATACGCAGACAGCAGAGCTTAAAATCAAGTGAAATAAAATTGCTCAAAAATACAATAATCTCACAGTATTATGTTTTCAAGAAGATGTTCTGAAGTTTCAAGTCAAAATATATTCAATCAATGGAAAAACAAATAGCAAGAATGAAATATCTAAAGATATCCCCCAATGGGAACCTTGGCTCCCCAAGCTAAAATCGGCTCCTCCTAACTTTTTTTTCCAATTTCTTATACAACGATTCTTCAAATTTTGCTACCAGATCTTAAATAAAGAGAAGACTGTTTCTCACCCCAGCAAAGTGTCCCTGTAGAGCCTGGAGTTCCTGTTGAATGGTGAGAAGTCGTCTTCGTTCATCCTTCAATGCCTCCAATTCTCTTAACTGGTTCTTGGCTTCTTCCAATGAATCTCTGGAATGTTGAAATCAATCATTTAAATCTAGATTTTTACAGGTTTAACTGTCACCGTATATGCTTATCTGTGTCTTACACAAGACAAAGCTTAACAACCTATCAATATCTTTGGTCCTCTAAACTCAGTACTCCATCAAATGGATGCTATAAAGTGTTGGCCCTTGTTTTCTTTGTCAAGTAGTAAGGTCTCCCTCTGTAATCCAATCCCCATACACCCTACTCTTCTTTCTCATCATTTTTAAATATCATCAAAATGTACATGTCAATCAGCCAGCTCCTTTTGATCACTTCAGGGTTCCTTTCATATCGTTGATTTTTCCTCTCTCGTTTTTGCACCGTTCACACACTCACTTTCAATACAAAACGATGTGGCTGCTGCATTTGTTCTTTTAATGACAGTTAATAAGGTAAATATAATGAGAAGCTAAACTGTTCCATACATGATGCAGTTGTCTCATCGACTTTTTCTCATCTCTGATTGACATCCCTATTTTGGAAAATACAAAGCAAATGAACTCCAACACCCATGTTCCATCAGTTTCAAACATTCGATAGCCTTCTGTGGATGAATTCCTAACAGAATTCAGTAGTCTAGCACAAGGAGTAATCAAAACTTGAAGTAAGGATGACTGGACAACATCCACTTGAAGGTGATGGGCAATATCTATTACAATATTGACATGTTTGACACACTAGGTGTGCCATCATCAGAACAGAGTTTACAATTCAAAATGGACCTAAGTAAAGAGAGCGATGCCTTTGATTGGCAACGATCAGTTAAAGAAGTATTATTGATGTCTTGTTTATTTATTGGGATTCATTATGTATACTTATACACATCTACAAGGATACCAGTGACTAAATTCTGCCAAACTGTACCTTTATAATCAAGACATCATTGATCATCTACTGTCCATGACATCACTATGTTAGATCCATTTTGAATTGTAAACACCATTCTAATGAGGGCAAACCTTGTGTGTCGAATGTCAACATCGTGATAAATATTGCTCATCAATGAGAAAAGTGGATATTTTTGAAAATGTAAATTTGTTTACAAATGGTAAAAATCTGGTATACAAAACTGTTTCATAGTTATCAATGTTTATAAAACTCTGTAAATCTCTGCCTTCACCAAAGTTCACCTTTCTGTCTGAGACATTGGGACCTCGCCGTCAGAGAGCAGGTGGTCTTCAGGCTCAGCAGGGGGAGGCTCATCACATTCCAGACTGGCAGCAAGTTCAGCCAAGCTGTCCGGGAGACCTCTAGCCCCATCTGGTGACTGCTGAACAATAGACACCAGGTCCTGTAACTGACGCAGCTTTTCTTTTGCTTCCTTTAATTTTCTGTAATTCAGATAGTTTATAATGACTTTCAAATAGACTTTACCAAGAGTTTATAATGACTTTCAAATAGACTTTACCAAGAGTTTATAATGACTTTCAAATAGACTTTACCAAGAGTTTATAATGACTTTTCAAATGGACTTTACCAAGAGTTTATGATGATTTTCAAATGGACTTTACCAAAAGTTTATAATGACTTTTAAATGGATTTTACCAAGAGTTTTTGATGACTTTTCAAAAGGACTTTACCAAGAGTTTATAATGACTTTTCAAAAGGACTTTACCAAGAGTTTATAATGATTTTCAAATGGAATTTAACAAGAATTTATTATGAACAATTAGAACAATTTTCTCTGGATTGTTTGAAACTTGACACATAGAACTGGATCATCTAATGATGTACATTCATATTAAGGTACATCAATATAGTCAGAAAATGCAATGAAATACTATTAATCTTTAATGAAGATTTTCATTTTGAACTCCATTCACATTAAGTCCAATGTCCAATCATTTTGCATATTTTGCAATATTGTTTTAATGGTAATGATAAATGCCAAAGTATTTTGCTGATTTCCCCATTCTTACTGGACTTTTTCCTGAATTTCAGGATCATCTCCCCAAGGTCCGAGACTGGACAGGTGGGACTCCGACTCGGAAGATCTGCTGTCCTCTGAGCGATTGTCCTCATCTGACTTCAACTGAGCAGCAGCTGCAGCAGCAGCAGCTCCTGCTGATGGTGCCATACTGTAGGGTTTCCTAGAGGGAGGTTCTAATGGTTGACTCTCTGGCTCACCTTCAGCCAGACTACAAACAGTGCAACCGGTAAAAGTCAACATTTGACACAAGCAGTGGTCTCCAAAGGCTGCAGGTTTCACAGAATTGATTAAATGTCAACATAGCACAGAATTGTACATAAAGGGAATGGTATCATGTGCCACTTAAAACAAAAGCAAACCGAGATGCAAATATATACTTGACATAACAAACCTATAGGAAAATGAATTGGAGATAGTATAATGAGTTTGTAAGGAAAACAGTGAAATTATATCATTAACTGTTTTGATAGGTAACCTGCCCGCCTTTCATGATCTACATGATGGTACTAAACAGGTTTCCATTACAGATAAAACAATTACCCAGAAACTCCCAAGTTGTGCATCTCTTCCATGAGGTCAAGTTGTGCCCGAAAGGCTAAGGCAGTGTTCTCCTCTGATGCTCCTTCTGTCGTCTCACTCTGGTAGTATTGTACCAGGGACCGCAGCTGATTCAACCTCTGTTTCACTTCTTGCAGTTTTCTGTAGTACAGATAAAGACATAATCACTTAAGATCATGCTTAGCATTCTCCTTGATCTATGTGAAGTTCCATTTAATATAAAATAATCCAGAAAACAAGATTTCCATGAAGTCTGGGCATAAATGTAGCAGTTAAAGGGTATAAAAAAGCATTTTATTTTCATACTTTTAGAGCAATCTATAAATCTGAAGAAAACCTTACACTCCTGTCCTTAAATCAGGAAACACCAACCTTAGTTTTTCCTGTGCATCCAGAATGTCAAGGATTTCCTGTGCATTGGATTCTGTATTCCCTGCCTCATCCAGAGCCGTCTTACTCTCCTCTAACATGGCCAATGCGGTGTTGGGTGCGGGGGCTGCCACGGCAACAGGTATTTCTACAACACATCACATATTAATTGGTTGATTGTTTGAGATTTTACGTTCTCACAGGGCAATATACGAAGACAGTAATGTATATAGATAAAAGAGACCTCACACAAGCATGAGGTCATACATATTTTTTGTGATTTCAGCATTATTGTTAACTTTTAAATGTTGGGGTGGCCGTGGTGGGGGGATGCACTTTTTCAGAGACCCCCACCACCCATAAAATCTTAAAAGTGATTTAATATAAGGAATAGTAGGCAGATCTGGTTTTAACACCACTACCTATAATACATTAATACTGGTGTTTCCCACCTCCCCCATACAATAAATTATGGAATAGCACGGATACCATTTATGCACAAAATTATTACCAATACACCTGGATTACCAAAACACTTCAGCTTCAATCTTGTAATTTGTTTTAAATCCTTAAAATCAAACGATATCAGAACTACAGTGTTTCTTTTTCATAGAAATAAAAACATAACAGTATCTATCAAAAGAAACCACAATTAATTTGGTCTATTGACATCTAAAGGTGAAACAATGTCATAACCTTACACAGACTTTAACTTAATTTCTGTATCGCCATCAATTCAATAACTCACCTGGCTCCAGTGGAGGCATGTTATTGAGAGTAGCATCAAATCGCTGTGATCGCAGATTCTGTAGCTCCTGTAGCAAGGTGTCCATGCGCTGTTTTTTGGACTGAAGGTCCAGTAGTTTGTCCTGTAGCTGGCGTCGGTTATCCTCCAGGGCAGCAGCATTAGTAGCTGCCTCCAACTCGGGATTACTTTGTCTCTCAGCAGTTTCTGGTGTCTGTCATACAGCAATTAGTACAACATTTTATTTTTTTCACTTTACATCAAATCTTTATTTATTCAGTGAACCATATTGGTTTCTATGTCGGAAATTATTTTAAGACATAAAAAGCAACTAATATTTCGGATCTATAAGAATTCAAGTTACATTTAACGTATGCCATCCTTTAAAAAGGTGAAAAATTAAGATTTTGCCTGCACCTACGAAGTTAAAAATGGTAAAATGTATAAACTGCGTGCACTTATACCATAATTGCAAAATCCTAATTTGTGACATATATTGATTGCTGAGTGAGCTGTGATCATGTAACTTTTATAGCAACAAACTTGCTGTCAACTGTAGAGGAAATAACAATGAACCTGGGATCTGTATGCCTATCATGACATTGGATTATCTATAAATAAAATTGACACAGATTTAAAACATTAAAGATTTTTTTCCTCAAAAGTGCTGTGGGCTATTTAACTTATCATTGCATGAATGTACGTCTTGGGGATAGTTTTGAAAGTGCTCAAAATAGTTAAGTTTACACCACTGAAGTCTGATAATGATTCTGATGTATTCTGCACCTGTTCCTTGAGTTCATTCCGTAGGTAGTTGAGATGCTGCCTGATCTCCTGTAGTTCGCCGGGAAGCCCTTCTGTGGTGTTCCTGGATGCCTGAGGATTGTTGTCCACGGCTTGGCTCACAGGCTTTTGGCTCGCAGACATATGATTCTGACTGGTATTGGTTGCAGGTGCTGATAAAGCTAGAAACACAACAATATGTAATGTTGCTATAGTAAATAAGATTAGTATCAAAACACTGTAATACAGACAATTATCAAGCTGTTGGGGTAACGGACCTCAACTTCAAATTGGGAAAAAAATCAAGACAAAAAAAAAAAGATATTTAAAGTTTCAAATTTGAATAAATTGCAAAGGCCTTTCAAATGCATGAAAATCTCAAGTCAGAATTTAATTTTTTTTTTATATTTGTGCCTGTGTGTGGATAAATGATGATAAAAAATCTGACAGGAATGAACAGTTTTGAAATGAATTTATTCAGATCGAATTGAATTATTAAGTTCCTCTAAAATGAAATACATTTATTCTATTTGTGATTTAAATTTATTGATTCCCCAAGTAGGAAGGAATGGAAAAAGTCTACAGTTTTACCAATTTTTCTGAAGTAGACAGGAAACAATCTTCAGTATTGTTACTGTAGTAAAAAGGAAGGGACGTTTAAAGGACAAAATGAACTTTAGAAAGACAAACCTCTTAAACGTTCACCCGCTTTCGCTTCAGCTAATTTTAACTCCGCATTTTGTTGCAGGGCTAATAATGCAGTCTGTCTTCCCTTTAATGCCTTCATCTGTACGTACAAAAATCTAGGATCAACATCACAATAGTGGTTGTATATACATTGTTTTGGAATATATCAAATGCACAAAACTTTTTAATATTAGTTACATTTGAATATATTGAAAGTTTCTGTTTTCCTTTACATAAGAAAATGGCTTCAACTCCAAAAAAATGCTGTATTTTGATAGTTTGTAAGGGCCTTTGGGAAGCAGACCCTCACCTGGGATGAATTTGGGAAGAAAAAATATTGACATAAGAACCATTATGTGAAATTGGATGATCATTATAACATTTCTGAATCCATGAAGTTAGACAGTTTAAGTTTTATTTAGACCAATCTTTGTCACAACTTGATCAGTCTGTCCTTCTTATATATGCTGCATGTTGAAAACTTGGTTAGTCATTTAAATTTTACACATTACTTCTTCAGATTTCTCAAATTAGAATTTTAAAGGGGTGAATTTGGAAAAAGAACCCTGATAAACATCTGTAGTGTAAGCACTCACCTGTTCCTGCTGGTGAACAAGCTTCTTAAGGAGTTCTTGTTGTTGGCGTAGAGATTTGACCTCATTCTTTCTCATCTCTTCCACTTCCATTCTTGCCTAAAACATTTAACAAGATCAAGTAATCTCAGCCAGACAGTAAAAACATTTCTTTAAAGACAGTAAAATACAATAGCTTAGCCACGACTTGTAGATGAGTTGGGGGCAATTTCTTTCAATATTTGCTTTTTGTATAATGTTCTCCTGCTCAGTAATTCTAAAGACACTTGATAGTACTACATATGCCCTGGGTACACAGAGGTGTATGGACCTAGTGGATGGGGCACTGACCTCATGCTCAAAGTCCTCATGCATGTAGTCCCAGTCCCCACCAAGGTTGTCTGTAATTGCAGTCAGTGTGTTATCCATCATGTCTGGCCCTGGGGAGCCATCGCCACCTGTACGTTCCGTGTTGTCGTTATTCTCGTCTTCATCTCCGTCGGTAAGTCCTAGCTTGTCCTCGATACGTGGACGCCAAGCTAATGGGCTGGTCTCATTATCTTGCTGTGAACAGTCCAAAATACAACAAAAATTATTGTAATTTGAGTTTAATCAGATTATCTGTCTTAACACGTTCATTGATTCCACTAAAACAGAGTTAGTCATTGAAATAATACAAACATGTTCATATTAGTCTAACACTGATAAATGTAATTTAATTTTCATTTGACTTTTTCTCCCCACTACCTTGTCACTAAGTTTACACATCTGGATTAATGTGGTATTCACAAATGTTCATTACAAAACTAAGTATTAAAACAGAAACATCCTGTTTTATTGGAGTACATACTGTAGTAGCTTCGGATGTCTCTGACTGCACTTCCAGGTCTACAGAGCCTGCTTCCTCATCGGCAGACTCCATGACCAAGGGGGTCTCTTGACCCTGGTTGCTCCAGTCGGGTGCTGTACTGTCCTCTTTCAATGACTGGTAATAACCAAACCAAAGATTAGTTTCTTAATAGCCTTGTAGGAGCATTGTAGGAAAGATACATACAGATAAATATTAAATATGAAATTTAGAACAAAATAACCATTACACACAACACACGGGAACAACACAGTCCAAACACAGAACCAGTCATGCAATATTTACAATTCATCAATGAGACAATGATAAATATAAATATAGCTTAAATTCTACTTGTAAGCAAATTGTTTTGCCAACTTGATGTTTTAAAAAAAAATCAGTCTTTTCAATAACAAAGTTTGGGCTATTCTGTAATTGATTCCATATGGAAGTTGTGGTAGGGACACTTGTATTTAATAGTTATGGTTGGTGGAGTTGGTTCCAGCTCCACCTAATATTACATATATGAAATCAAGTTTTAATTTTTAATGGTGATGGGGGTCTCTGATAAAGTGCCTCTCAGCTCACCCAAAATATGGTTAATTTTGGAACAGACTTAATATGGAGTTTAGAAGGAACCACATAGCCACCATACATCAATACTACACAGCCCAAACATGTGCAAAAAATGTAATCGAAAGACGTTCACAATGAAATGAATGCCATGCAGAATAAATCAACAAGATGTGACCTGGCACTTTCATCAACAGTAAATGAAAGGGTATACATAGATGTTTACTTGCCTCTACAGTAAATCAATGGGTTAACCTTTATACATGTTTACAAGTAAGTTTATTCACACTTTGTGCCATGCATTAAAGATGATACTGATAAAGACACGGACATACTGCTTTTGTTATTCACAAAAGGTAAAAAATATGCTTTTGTTATTCACAAAAGGTAAAAAATATACAAATCCAATGATGAAACCAATTACAACTGACTCTTTTAAGTAGAACATCATTATTTCATCAATTTACATATAATAAATGGAAATTTAAATATTTAAATAAAATCAAAATGGCAGCAAATTATTTTGTTTATACTTCAAAGTTTAAAACCGGAAAGTCTTAAAATTTTCAAACACCAGATGCATATTGAAATGTTATCAATTTTATTTTTGTATGAAAAGATCAGTAACCCATGACAGAATAAAGCAGATGAGAACACACATGCTAGATAGTAATAGACAGTCTATTTTATCATTGAATACATGTGTCATGTTCACTACTCACCAAATATTGCGCCAAAAAAGTTACATAGCCTTTTTCCTGTTCCTCAAGACTTGCGACAAGTTTTGATACTCTCTCATAGTCTTCTTTATTTTGCTGTGAGAGAAGCACCAGATCACATAGAAGAAAAAAATAATTGAACAAAAACATATTTTTTTTCAAATATGGGGAGACAACTGCAATTGGAGATATTGACGGATGCACCAAACAACATACTGAATGTGACACAATTACTAAATCCAAGAAAGTTAGGACTTCCAAATTTGTTTTTTCTTTTTGGCATGACAGATTACATCTCCAATTCTGTTGTCTTACCAAAGGTGTTATTTGTGTATGTGAACAGTGGTACAATATGTGAAGAAGGGTTTACACAGTTGTCCATTGTAACTGACCCAGAAGTCTTGCAGAATGTCCATGAAGCAAGCCTCTTGTTCTCGCAGAGATGCAATCACCTGTCCTAATTTACTCGCTTTTCGATGACCCGTCTAAAACGGTAAAGTTGTCATTTCTAATGATTTTCTTGCTTTCCTAGATTGCTTACTCAGCTGTAATTTCACATTGACATTAATCTAACAATACATCAAAAATGGATAGTTCTTTATGATGGCATAGAAAATGTTACAAGAAATAATTTTATAAGGAAATAATGACACATGTGATATGTACACTCACAGGATCCTCTTTCATTAATTACTGTTATTATATACATAACTGGCATTATTCAACTATATATATATACCATTATACACATAAATCCGAACTTTAGTTTAAGGATCCATTTCACTTTGAGTTTAATTTTCAAATTTTAAAACTGGCCATTTTCAAACATTTGAAACAACTATTTTTGTGATTTCTATGAGGAGTTTTACAGAAAATTCAACGGATTAGCACGAGACATGTACACAAAAGCCATAAACAGAAGTACAGAAGAGCCATTGGTGGAATTAACAGTAGGCTATGAACACTGCATACTATGAAGAGAGCCACGAAACAATAAACAGACTTACATATTTAATTACAGACTTTGGGGGGAGCAACCAAACAGATTAAATGTAGGTTATTAAAGAAGACTATAACAGACTATCACTGTTACAGTAGGTTATTTACAGTAGGCTATAAACAGCTGACTTTCAGGGGAGTTGTCGACAGATTAACAGTATACAACAGTTGACAGACAGTAGTCATGTAACAGATTAGCAGTAGACTATCAACAGTTGACAGACAGTAGTCACATAACAGATTAGCAGTAGACTATCAACCGTAGACTGACAGTAGTCACGTAACAGATTAGCAGTAGACTATCAACAGTAGACTGCCGGTAGTCACGTAACAGATTAGCAGTAGACTATCAACCGTAGACTGACTAAGTCACGTAACAGATTAGCAGTAGACTATCAACAGTAGACTCACTAAGTCACGTAACAGATTAGCAGTAGACTATCAACAGTTGACAGACAGTAGTCATGTAACAGCTTAGCAGTAGACTATCAACAGTAGACTGACAGTAGCCACATAACAGATTAGCAGTAGCCTATCAACAGTTGACAGACAGTAGTCATGTAACAGATTAGCAGGAGACTATCAACAGTTGACAGACAGTAGTCATGTAACAGCTTAGCAGTAGACTATCAACAGTAGACTGACTAAGACATGTAACAGATAAGCAGTAGACTATCAACCGTAGACTGCCTAAGTCACGTAACAGATAAGCAGTAGACTATCTACCGTAGACTGACTAAGTCACGTAACCGATTAGCAGTAGACTATCAACAGTAGACTGACAGTAGTCAGGTAACAAATTAGCAGTAGACTATCAACAGTAGACTGCCGGTAGTCACGTAACAGATTAGCAGTAGACTATCGACAGTAGACTGACTAAGTCATGTAACAGATAAGCAGTAGACTATCTACCGTAGACTGACTAAGTCACGTAACAGATAGGCAGTAGACTATCAACAGTAGACTGACTAAGTCACGTAACAGATAGGCAGTAGACTATCAACAGTAGACTGACAGTAGCCACATAACAGATTAGCAGTAGCCTATCAACCGTAGACTGACTAAGTCATGTAACAGATAAGCAGTAGACTATCAACCGTAGACTGACTAAGTCACGTAACAGATAAGCAGTAGACTATCAACAGTAGACTGACAGTAGTCATGTAACAGATTAGCAGCAGACTATCAACAGTAGACTGACAGAAGTCATGTAACAGATTAGCAGTGGTCTATCAACAACAAGACTGACAGAAGTCATGTAACAGATTAGCAAAGAACTATCAACAACAATACTGACAGAAGTCATGTAACAGATTAGCAGTGGTCTATCAACAACAAGACTGACAGAAGTCATGTAACAGATTAGCAAAGAACTATCAACAACAATACTGACAGAAGTCATGTAACAGATTAGCAGTGGACTATCAACAACAAGAATGACAGAAGTCATGTAACAGATTAGCAGTGGACTATCAACAACAAGAATGACAGTAGTCACGTAACAGATTAGCAGTGGACTATCAACAACAAGACTGACAGAAGGCAGGTAACAGATTAGCAGTGGACTATCAACAACAAGAATGACAGAAGTCATGTAACAGATTAGCAGTGGACTATAAACAACAAGACTGACAGAAGTCATGTAACAGATTAGCAGTGGACTATCAACAACAAGACTGACAGAAGGCAGGTAACAGATTAGCAGTGGACTATCAACAACAAGAATGACAGAAGTCATGTAACAGATTAGCAGTGGACTATCAACATCAAGACTGACAGTAGTCACGTAACAGATTAGCAGTAGACTATCAACAGTAGACTGACTAAGTCACGTAACACATTAGCAGTAGACTATCAACCGTAGACTGACTAAGTCACGTAACAGATAGGCAGTAGACTATCAACAGTAGACTGACAGTAGTCACGTAACAGATTAGCAGTGGACTATCAACAACAAGAATGACAGAAGTCATGTAACAGATTAGCAGTGGACTATCAACATCAAGACTGACAGTAGTCACGTAACAGATTAGCAGTAGACTATCAACAGTAGACTGACAGAAGTCACATAACAGATTAGCAGTAGACTATCAACAACAGTAGACTGACAGAAGTCATGTAACAGATTAGCAGTGGACTATCAACAACAAGAATGACAGAAGTCATGTAACAGATTAGCAGTGGACTATCAACATCAAGACTGACAGTAGTCACGTAACAGATTAGCAGTAGACTATCAACAGTAGACTGACTAAGTCATGTAACAGATAAGCAGGAGACTATCAACCGTAGACTGACTAAGTCACGTAACAGATAGGCAGTAGACTATCAACAGTAGACTGACAGTAGTCACATAACAGATTAGCAGTAGACTATCAACAGTAGACTGACTAAGTCACGTAACAGATTAGCAGTAGACTATCAACAGTAGACTGACAGAAGTCACATAACAGATTAGCAGTAGACTATCAACAACAGTAGACTGACAGAAGTCATGTAACAGATTAGCAGTGGACTATCAACAACAAGAATGACAGAAGTCATGTAACAGATTAGCAGTGGACTATCAACAACAAGACTGACAGTAGTCACGTAACAGATTAGCAGTGGACTATCAACAACAAGACTGACAGAAGTCACGTAACAAATTAGCAGTAGACTATCAACTGGATTACTACATTTGGCTGACAGAGTTTCAATAAAAGATTAGCAGGAGATAGTAGTAGACTGACAGGAGAGTCATGTACAGATTTTGAACACCAAACTTACAGGAGATCCAGACTTGGACAAAGCTTCCTTCATTGTGTTGGCCTGTTTAATGTACTCCCGGATCTGCATCAGTCGACTGACAATATGACCATGTTCTCCCTGCTGTGGGGGAAAAAATATCAGAAAATCAGAAACAATTTTCTGAAAGTTGTATTGGCGACTTTACCAACTTGCTTTGATTGGCCAATAATCTTTCAGCTTTTTAGCAGGTAGGTTTCAATGTTGTTTGATTGGTGTACTCTTCTCTACATTGTAATGTTGTATCACAATCAATACACATAACAGCTGTACATGACAAATCTCTGCAATAGTGAATACCATAATGTACACATTACAAGTAAAACATTATAGGAAGCTGATAAGCTGGATGTGTTACCCACATGTTCTCCTCAAGCATCATGTACTATGTTCCATATTTTCCTACCATGCTGCTATATCCAGTTTTCTCATAAATACGCACAATAAAATAATATTTCAAATGATGCTTTCAATTTGACTAGTATATTATTCTGTTTCAATAGAGATGAAGTTTAATGTCCTTTAAGAATATCCATAGGAGAACAAATCATACTCCTAGTGTCAAGTGTCAACAATAACAATATATGTCAGTCCTGTGGCTGAAGGAAACCTTTGTGAAGGGGACAATGTCACTGCCAATTTGTTTTTTGGTATGCAAATATTGCAGCATTCATAAAAAATTATCTGGACTATGAATAAGAAATATTCTGGCAGCTTAATATTTAGAAACATGTTCAGGGCATACACTCTCCCTAAACTCATATATCAAGGGTACATCACACATACCAGCTCTGGCACTTTCCCTGCTGTAGCCCCTTCTGATGTACTAGAAGTGTCTTGCCGGGTGAAGTTTTCCAGCTTGCCTCGACGTGCAAGAACATTTCTTTCATTGTTTCTCTCGCCATCATTACTTCCCTATAATAAGACCACAGGAATCCATCTCCAGTCAATTACTTGATTTAAATGACAAAACTTTGGGCATCTCAAAGAAAACCTAACATATATTAAGAAAAGGAAGAAAAATTACATCAAACATTATTTTTTTAATTAAGATAACTGACCAATATGAAATATTACTAGTAGCACGGAGTGATTGAATGATCGAATATCATTAATGAATATGAATGAGATGACTGGTGTATATGAGGATAAAAACTACAAGCCTTAGAAATGATTATGTACACTTAAGAAATATTTCACCTTCTGCTTCAAATAAGAACAAGTTTTCATTGAAGAAAATTGGTTTCAATAAATAATAAATGAAAATGATATCATAAATTATATTTCATTCATTCCAATAAGATAATTCACAATAGTAGAAAGGCTGTTTAATTAAATGCAATACTTTTTGAGTAGCTTAGGTGAAATTTTCCCATGGTATACTGAAAGACAAAATTAGAAATGATTTTCATCTACAGAGGAAGAAATTTACTACCAGGTATGTGAAATTCTAGAATGGAAATTTTTGATCATGAGGGAGTGAGATTTACCACCTAAATTACAAACCATTATTCAGGTTTAAAGCTGAAAATTTAAATTTGATGCAGTAATATTTACATATGCTTACATCTTCTAAATCACTAAATGTCATGTGCTGGCGGAGTTTTTCTAGCGCAACTCTTTGAGAAGTGGGTGTACTTGGGGTTATGCGAGTGCGAGGAAAGGTTGAAGGGGTGCGCTGCTGACGTTCAGATGGGGGCGGAGAGTCCAATGATAGGGACTGTTCTCTTTCTCTCTCTGGATTGCCTTTCTTCCGACGCTTAGTATTATCTACACCAGGATTAGGTTTCCAGCCAGAAAAATCCTACAGGTTAGACAGAACCAGGAAAAAGTAAGGAAAAATTCACACCAAATCATCACACCAGTTAGTTTTAATTAGAAAATGTCAATCTGCATTAAAAGTGAAAACCACAAAAAGGATGAATATTAACAGAAATAAATGTCAATGCACACAGCTTTTACAATTTATAAACAAATAATGATTATGAACAACATGCAATGTCGTAACTTCCTCTCATAATAATATTTCATCCACAGCAATTGTAAGATAAACAAAAACATAGATCCTGCCTAAACGTAACTGATATTGATTTATTACCACTGTGTGAATTATAAATCTTACATACATATATGGATGCTCACCTCAGAATATTGAATTGTGACCAATGACCCCCGTGCAATTGAACAAATTAAAAAAAAAATGTGTCATGATGTGACACATTTGGTAGTTAGAGCATAAATTTTGCCAATATTTTAGCAAAAAACAACAACACTATACTGAAGACTGCCTATGGGACCAAGAACACCAATCATTGATTGTTTTGAGCAGGTGGACATACACCATACCATGATGTTATCTATGTAAGAATACTTAAGACCATTTCAAAACAGTCATAGACAGGTAGAACATGTAGCTCTATGGCAGGTTTTACTGTATGATTTATGCATGCCAGTGTACCTGGAAAAAATCCTTTCCTTTCTAGACTTCTTTCCTTTCCAGACTTGTAAACAATTGTAAAATGCTACATGTAAATGTAATCATGTTGTTTCTTCATTGTTAATATGAAAACAAGCTGCGGTATGAAATTATTGTAACACTATGTGTTAACACACACTGAATGACTAGCAGGTAAATACTACCTACAGAGAGAGCAATGATTTCATTTTAGATACAGACTGGTATGTTAAGCACCTACGGTCATCGATATCTGGATGTTGAATTTTACATACAGGCACATGTATGGAAATGATGTTAATAATGAAAAGCTATGAGAAAGAAAAAGAATATGGTTAGAACTTACTTTCAATTCATACACGTAATGTATTTCTTCCAGAGGAAAAAAATACATCCACTTAAAAAAAAATGTGCTTAAGTTTGTTTCCAAAAAGCAAGTTGTCCTTTTAAATGTCAGTTTGTGGATATATAATTTTGAAAAAAAAATAGAATTTGATATCAGTATTATATATACAATCTAAGTTCTAACAATACTTTAGGCCAATACCATACCAATTCCACTACATGCAGTAATATTTTAATGGTACAGAACTTTTTCCCAATCTTGATTCCTAAAATATCCAAAAATTGTCATAAGGGTTGTTCCATAGTTAGCATTTAATATTATAGGAGTAGTGGGGTTAATCCACAGCTGCCTACCGTTACATATATACATAAAGAATCAGTTTATGATAGGGAGGGTCCATAAATAAGGGCCTCCCATCCATTCCATGTAGTTAATGCTGGAAGTGGAACAGCCCCAAGTGAATATTTAGAGAGCCACCATACATTACTAATTACGTAGAGTAACAGGACACAAGTGTTACAAAAGATTGGCAGTAATTACACATATATAAGAGTTACATGTGCTTACAGGAAATACAGTGAACTACAGGAATACTGCGGTATAGATCTACAAACCTTTTGTATCTAGAAATAATGCATGTTGTAACAGTATTGGTATAATTATAATTGTCGAAGTCAAAAGCTACATTCAACTCAAATATCAACTTGAACAGTCCAGTGACAGTTGCTATCTTCTGTTTGAATTCGATCTCATGCAAACTCCCAGTTAAGATTTCATTCTTATTTTCTTCTAGGTTAAATTTAATGAACTAATTTACATACACATCAATTTACATATTCAGTATATATATATATATATTTTAGATTTATTATACCAGGGGTGTACAATAGCCCAATGCCCAGAGGTAAGTTTGATGTCAGGGCTTATGAATTTTGTTTTTAATAACTACTATCAGGTTATTGCTTCAAAAATCTGTGGGCTATTACCATAATAATAAATATGAAACAATACATCACAGATCATCATTTCAAATCTGGATTTCCATGATGTACAATAAAATATATATGCTGAGAGAGAGTATATACAATACATACATGTATATCTGAATTCTGAAGAAAATGTGTAAACTTTAGTACAAGGTAATGGCAAATAGAATATTGCAAGGAAAAATTACAAATGTCAGAAAGTTACTTTCAAAAGGTTACACTCATATTCACAAACAACTATTTATACCATATTCAATGTCATAAGCACACTGAAGCAATAGGTGTACCTCCAAAAACAAAGAACAGAAAGAACTGATGACATCATTTTACACACTAAATTTCATCCAATGTCTCTGACTTGAAAGTTAATTTATATATTTCCTTATTTCACCTGTCCTGTAGGGAACCTCAGGTTGGATTGAGGAAGATTTCTAGTTTAAATTTTTTAATCTAGAGATCATATGATGCAATACTAACTCAAACATCTATTTATAATTATTAGCATCTTATTTTAAAACAAAAAGGTTGGTGCGGGCCTTTCATTTCAGCCGTATTTCAAGTTTCATCACTTTCAAAACAAAGGACAGGTGGGAGTTAATTTTTCTTTTATTGTTTTACTTCTTCTAATTACATTTCAGTAAACATAACCCTATACATACCTATGGTATATCAGAATCAAATTTACACAATCAAGATGGACCATATGAGACTTGGAAAATTTACTGGTCATGTTAATACATTCATATATTGAAAATTTTCACAAACTCTAACGTAAAATATAGAATTGGGCTAAAAGGTTCTTCCAGAATTTTTTAACAATACCATATCAAATTTAGGGGGGAGAGGTCATAATGTATGTGTCCCTTAATTTATATCTCTTTAAGTAAGTTCTTTTATTTACCAAACTTTAGTGAATTTTAAAACAAAAGATAAAGAACAAAAGATAACAAACAAAATATGTTCTTTATGTAGATTTTCAGCAATATAACTGTTAGATATATATATTATAATTAAAAAAAAAAAAAAAATTAAATGAAAGGTGTAACAGCTTTTTTATTTGGGCCCTTCTTCCGATAAAAATTTTAAATCCAGATTTTCAGTCCATTTTGTACTTTACACAACCCAAGTTGGCGACCATCGCTCACTGAATACACACGCTGTTTCAGCGTTGTCATATGCAATCAGATGTGAGTAAATTCATTTATAATAGCAGTGTCAAGTGTTTGTTTTTCAAGTCTTACAGTTGTTTCCTCAAATTGATCATGCTAAGAGGACCCGGTGGTGATTGATTTATAATCGAATTGATTTATAATAGAATGAGCATGCTTGCCCTTTATGTGCAAATTACACTAACCCAATATTATTGGATAAGTAATATCAAGTTTTGACCTGTAGTATTAAGAACCAATAGTCTAGCTGGAGACTAGCCGGCTACCCTTATTTTCTAGCCCTTCATATGTTTACCCCGAGACCCTGTATTTCAGTTGTCAGTTCTAAACACACTCATTTTTTCAGCTTATGAGTTTGAACAAGGCATAACGTTTATCACAAGTTCTATATAAAACAATGTATACCATATCGGTCAATCCAGCTACAGGACATCTACTTCACTTACCCAATTGTTTGGTCGCAGATCATTTGGAATACTGTGTATACTGATGTTATCATCTTTATCTGATGCACTTGTTGACCTCTGCCATGCTTTTCTTGGTTTTGGATCAGTGGATGCCGATTTCATAAATTGGCGACCACCGCCGGTTGCCATGTTTGCGAATTCTACAATTGCAAGCAAATAACAAAATATGAGTTTATCATTTCTACACCTTTGTATTTATGTTATGAAAAAAAGAACCATTTGATTTGCATACATGTGATGCCGTTGGAACACTAAGTAAGGAGATCTGTATTTTGAAGTAGAGAGATTGAATTTTAAGTAGGGATAATTTTTCACTGCATTAAGGCATAACATCATTTCTTTATTATTTATGAATTTTTACCATATTTTCAGGAAAAGAACAATGTGCATGTTTTCAAATCTTCTATTAAACTATCAAAAACTCATCAAAACAATGGTGTCTTTTTGCAATAAATTAGATATAATAGAGAGCAAAGGTAATATCAGTTTTAGTTTATTATCCAACAGATATGGCAGTTACTCTATACTCATCACAAATTAAACATCATTCATTATAATATGAAATCAGTCAGATCTTATGATAAATGTAGGTAAATATAGCCGACACTTAGCAGACTTTTTTCTAATTATAAATAAAAGTAATTACGTATATATATTTAAAAGTCTGTTAAACATAGTTCATTAAACATAATCTTGTTGTCTTTCTGATGATCATGAGTCCAGTTTCCATTAAAAAATCTGCCAAGTATTATCATGTTTCAGGGAATCACTTATAAAGATATAACAAGAAAAAAATATTGCATAAAATTAATTGAAGATATAATTCTTGTGATTTCCCGATCTTGATTCCATATCTGTATCAGAGAGAAGTGTTAATTTCAGCTACATGTGTCAAAATAATTCAGATGATAACTTCACCTTCTTTTATAAATAATAATTACTGAACAGTGATCTAAAACATCTCTTAGCTTAGGCTACACTGAATCCATGTGTGACGTGATCACCTTTGATTAGTCTGTGTTTCTCGTGCGTTTGAATTATGTATCATCATTGAGATAACAAAGCGTTTGAAACACCTAGATTATAGCACTGGTCAGGTTAGCATGTTATCTCATTAGCACGGCCAATTACTCGTGTCAGTGGTTCAGTGGTGACAAATTTTGCCCTGTAGCATTAAAAATTATCTCAAGTTTTGGGCGATAAAAGGAGTAATGGGAATTCATTATTATCAATGTCAAAACAGGAGATCGTGTTTTGATGGTTGAAACCAGGGCCGTTTTCGTTTAAACGGTCAAACCGATCGGACCACTGTTGTTCGTTTATTAAACAAGGTCGGACCTAGTAATCTGATGCTGCTTTCAGGCGAGCCTCGAGAAAGCCTTGCAAGGCCTGCATACACATTTGCAGGTCTGCCAGAATTTATACCTGAAATTGTTACATTTATAAACGGTCAAACCGGTTGTTCCGCATAAACGAACAGGCCCCAGGAGATATCACATGTATGAAAATGTGCCAACTGCTGGTGGCACCGAATACATGTAGTATACACTAGACAATGATTTATGGTGAACAAAGGGTCATAACTCTGTATATTGTTTGGCATGGGACACAACTTCAGTATGTGACACTTCGCCATCCAATAAGGTTACTTGCATGCCAAATTCAATAATTGTAAGAGATGGATTACGGTCCTAATGAGACATACACCAGTCAAATTGATGCAACCAAATCAACAAGTGTACATATTTGTTTTTGCCACATATTTAACAATTCTGTCAACACTTAAGTTGCTAGGTCAAAAAAGGAAATTAATGTAATTACATTGGTAGGTAAACTACAACATACATAATACAGCTAGAACTTGTCAGTGATGTTCTTTTTAAAAACAATTCTTTTATGCTGCTTTGTTTAACTGAAAAGACATTGACTTGTGGAAAGGACATGTGAACTATTTAAAACTGTTCACTCTGGACACAAGTTTAAAACAAGATGAATGTTAATAGTAGTTGCGTGCCCCTGTGCTCTGGGCGTACACTTGCTTATGACTTGACCGGCAAAAATGCTGGGCGAATATAGAGGATGGGGGGTGGGGGGTTGCACCAATGAAATGCCGACATTAGCAACGCAGAAGCTGTCATTGCAACATTAAACACTTATATATTAAACTGTTGCACAAAAATAACTAGGGATGCCACAAAATCAAATAAAAAACCCGATGATTCATAGTTTTCACTGTCCTTAGTTTCACATTTAACATCAAATAATCTTGTCACAGTAAAAACGGGAAACTTTTCTAATTTGTTACATGATGCAACCTGGCAATACACAAATGTGAACATTGTTATTAGGTTAAAAACTGTGCTTGGAAAATTTAGAAATCTACCAGAACTCTAAATAGCTGAAAACTTCCGATTTTTGGCTCGTCTGCAAAGTGTCAGCGTTCTCTAAAAACATTCCACAGCGGCCATATTGACGCCGCGTATTAATATCCCGTCTGTCGATTTTGAGTTACTTTTCGTAAAACATCAGTTAAGTAAATTATAAAGAGTTTCAGTATAGCATCATATAATTATTTGTTAGATTATACGAAGAATAAAATAAATTACAGAAACACTTGTTAGATCCAAGACAAAACGTAGGGATTTATTTTCATTGCGTTCGTTGCCCACAATCCGCCGCGCACGTTAGATGTTAGACCGTCAATCATTGGCAGACAGCATTCAAGGTGCGTTCGATGATCCACAACGAATTCAGCATCACAGATTTTCGCCGATTTTTACCCGATTTACCGTTAATTTAACACATTAAAATGATGATAATATGTTATGTTGAAAACAAAACTATGCATAACATAAGCTTTAATTATTTGTTGAATTGAATAGGTAATATATGGAAAAAATATTAACGACATCCTACACGAACTAGCCTGTCATTCAACGGTTTGGGGCTATTCATTTATGCAGAGGGACCTACTGGTAATATTTTTTTTTGTGAATGAATATAACATAGATAAATATACTTAACTATATATAGCAATGTATGTATGTTCAGGTTGCCAGAAACAGCCAGAAACTTAAAGGACTAGGTTCATAATGATTTTAAATAATGATTATGACAAAACTGTTCATATCGGTTGGAAGGTTTTAAATGAGAGCGGCCCAGAAGCAGCAGCCGACACCTGTCAAGAGGGACATAATTATTGCTGATAATTCCTTACCTGTTTCAACATTTTTATAGGAAAAGGAGCAGTGTTATGTGACCTGTATGCTTCAAAAAAGGATAATAATGTAGGTTTTATAACGATTTCATTGTGTAATACATAAATGCTATTTCATTTTGTTGACCCAGTTGGTGTTTATATTTTACACCACACCCTCTTATGACTTATCCTGGTGAGACTGACTGGCAAAATGATGAATGCTTTTTTGTATGGTTTGGACTCTTTATCAGAGAGGATGGTGACTTGGGCTACCGACTGGTAGGGGACTGTCGGGTCGGTGGTTCGAGACTGGTTGTTTTAGCGTTGTGTACGTTGCATCCTTGAGCAAGAATCTTACCCATTCATTGTTGTAGCAGGGAGCTCGAGGGGGTTTTACATTCGGGTTTGGTTTTGAAATGTCTGTGTGTGGTGTATATATAATTACAATGTCTATGCTGTATTATTCATGTGATATGGTACTATATAAAAGACACTATATATTGGAAGCTTGATCTTCTAGCAAAACAAAACAGAAAAATCCACAGGCAAACTCATGATGCTCAATGTGGGACTAAGAGAAGTTATGGCAGGCATAGGTGACCCCATATCTTTACACATCAAATTACTGATAAGAGAATCCAGGCACTGGCATTTCTGTTAAAAGGCATCTGCTGAGTGCACTCTCCACTGTCTGTCTGTGTCACTCCAATGCATCTTCCCAACCCATCTGGAACTGGCCTTATCAGGTCCAGTACACTCTGCCGATTGAGCTATATAGCTGTAAATACCTATAATAGCTCTATTGACCTATCTGAAATAGGTCTTTTGACCTATTTCCAAGTGATTTTCTTTTTTTAAAGAAAACGAAACAAAGTCGCTTTTAAAAGAAGATTGTATCATTAGGTTGATAACAAAAGACATTAAATACAAGTATTCTTTTAAAAAAATAATGGTGTAAAAAAATCGGAAATTTTACATTTATGAAAAATGAAAATAAACATCTAACTGTATGCTCTTTGTAGTCAACATTACCATAAACCTTAATGTTTAATGCGACTTTGCTTTAATTTAATGAAATTTGAAATCTGAGAAAATATAGCTCAATACAGCTATAATTTATAGGTTTATATAGCTATATATGTCTTTATAGCTATATAGCTCAATCGGCAGAGTGTACTGGACCTGCTTATAACTTGCAAGGTATCACAAAAGTCACTATTTGAATGCTGCCACCAAATTTAATGCACGGGTGGGCACTCGCCCAGCCACTGACCATGCTGTCGCTGAACATTGCTGATCTAGTGAGCAAGTCCCAGTGTTATTACTGCATTGCTGGAAAAGCTAACTTGATACAAAAGTAATGATAAGGCGCAAGTATCGTCCTCGAGAAAAATGGGGGACAGATCTAAACTATGTATAATATAAGGAGTCCCGCCCCCCCTGCCCCCCTCCCCTATTTTCTTGAGACAGATACCTTATCATACCTGTTCAAATGTTGCTTAAGCTGCCAACAATATTATATGATTGATTATAGTAATTTACAACAGTGTACTAATGTATTATTGCTCTTATTTCTGACAATTATAACAACTAAACAGGTGCATTGCATAGGTGATACAGCAGATTTTAAGGTCACCTGTCACTCTGGTATTTGATTGCATTTCGTCAGTCGTTGTGCATTTGTGTAAATAATCAATTAAAGATGAGGCTGACCACCCCAACCCAATCCCACCACCACCACCAATGGTGTTAAATAATCAGTCTAAGGTGGGGATCATAATTTATACTGAAGATGCCCCCTTCCCCCATAAGGGTCTGAGGAGCAAGGTCATAAGGGCCCACAGAGTGCAAAACCATCAAAAAACTTCTCTAAAACTTCCTTTTTTTTGATATATATTTTTAACTCGCCTGCCCGAAGTGCAAGTGAGCTTATGCCGTGGCGCAGCGTCTGTCATCAACTTTTTCTTTAAAACCTATCCCCTCCTAAACGCCAACGAGGATTTCAACCAAATTTAGTCTGAAGCATCACTAGGGGAGGGCAATCATTTCTAAATAATTGAGGTTGGTTCAACCCCTCAGGCCAGGGAGCGGGGCCCTGAAGAGGAACTTAGCTAAATTTGCTTTAAAATGCATCTCCTCCTAAACGCCAGAGAAGATTTCAACCAAATTTGCTCTGAAACTTCATTGGGGGAGGGCAATCATTTCCTAAATAAATGAGACTGGTTCGACCCCTGGGGCTAGGAAGACCGGGCCCCAAAGAGGAAAATTATCTAATATTTTGCTTTAAGACGCTAATATCCCCTAATTGCCTGCAAACATTTCTTAATTGAATGAGGTTGATTTGACCCCTGCGGTCCTAAGAAATGGTACAGCAAGATTATCATATTCTATGGTGTAGTTTTTATAAATTGTTAAAAATTGGTTTCTAGGTTTATAAAAGCTTATAGTTGAATGAAAATTAAAGTATTGTCTAATTACACCCTGTAATATGACATATTACTTATTTCAAAATTTGTTAACATGGCAACTCAATGGAGGCCCCTGATTAGGTGAAAGTCAGATATTGCGGTCCCAGTTGGGTAAGGACATAGATCTTGTCTGGATTTGAGGAAATTTCATTTAAAGATGTACTAATGCAATCAGTTGAAATGAATTAAATATAAAACCAGGTGAGCGATACAGGTCCAATGGACCTCATTTTTTATAGAAAGATCCTTGCTTTGATGATGGGCCGGGATTAGTATTTATACTGGAGAAGGGACTGACTCCCACGGGGGTTCATAGGGGGTTACATATTCTTCAGAAATTATTTGCCAGATTTTAATGAGACTTGATTTTTGATGGTATAAATCATCAGCCTGTGGGGGATCAGAATTATACTCCAGATGGGTCTGAAATTTATACTAAAGAATAGAGGGGCTGACTTTCAGGGGGCTCATAGGCGGTCGGTCACTTAGTGCAAAACCTGAAACAATAATATTTTTGACTTTTTTTCCAGTCTTTGTCATATTTAGATGAAACTTTGTGGTAATAATCATTCTGGGGAGATGGGGATCAGAATTTACACTCAAGTGTAAGTGGCAGAGCCAAAAGAGGTCAAATTGGCTTTCTCAATAGTCTTCTTTAGACTCAAATTGCAAGAATCAAATCCTGCTTTTGGATGGAAAGATCCAAATGTTCTTCATCAAAAGTGTGAATTTCAAAACCCCGGGTTGCATATTCCCCACATTCTTCCCATGGCAGGAGGTAATGTTACTATGGTGGTTTTTTTTTATAGGGAATTCATATTATTGGGTATATTTTGTTAATTTCAGTGGGAAATAATTCAAACTTAATTTGAATCCTTATCATAGGATTGCTGTGTAACTATAACCCCTTTAAATGTAAATTTTACTTTATTGCAGTATTATTTTATCATTTTACTGATATTTACTAGCCCTATAGAAACGTTGGTCACTCTCTAACATCATTTTGTAAAAGCTAATCCACAGTAAGAAAGATAATTTTGGTTATATTTGATTATATTACTTGTCACATTTTAACTCGGTTGATGTTAATGCCTATGGGTCTCTTGATACTTTTAATATACCATATTACTGTAAGGAACTCTATAGAATCCACTCACGGATCCACCCTAGGACGCTACGGCATAGTTCTACATATGAGGAGTGTTGGATCAGTAGGATCACCTATTATTTATTATTCTTCGATCCTTCAGATCCCCAGAAAGTAGTTTAAGGAGGGAGTCAAACAATTCAGCCATATAAGGAATATTCCAGAAGCAAAATGAAAATATGTTTTACACTACTTAAGTCGTAACTATATTATATCATCATAATGTAACTTACCAATATGTTAAATGTTTTTGTACCCTTTTCTGTACCATAGCTAAGCTTAAACTGCAATATACCTTAATTTGTCCTATCCCTTGCATCCTTCCGGATCCACTCTATCCCATATACTGCGCCAAAGTATGGCCGAACAGACATTTTGAACAACAGAACTCACCGATACTTGGAGGCAATTGACCACAGACCACAACCCCAAAAAGAGTTTAACGAGGGAGTCGAACCATTCAGCTGTGTACGGAATATTCCAGAAGCAACGTTACCAGGAACTGTTTAACACTACTTAAGTCATAGCTATTATGTCGTCATAATGAATGTAACTTACCATTATATAAATCTGTTTGTACCACATTTCTGTACCTTAGTCTTTAGCCACAATATACCTTTGTCCTGACGATGGCCGCATAGCAGGTCGAGACATGTAGACAGTAAATCACACAAAACGTCCCTCTGGTGTTGAGATTCCTTTATTTCTCTATTATGTTTGAATATACCAGTATATAATGATTGCTGTTGACTAATAATGATTCCTACATTTTAGATTTATTCCAAAAACCCGAGTGAAAACGTACAGAAATGGCAGGAAACTATTACTTTGTGGTTGTTGGTCACCATGACAACCCTGTGTTTGAAATGGATTTCGTTCCTCAAAGCAGAGCCAATGAACCCAAGGTTTGTTGTTTGATAAACTGGCCAACAGATTAACTGGTGAAATAAATGTATCTATTCTTATAAACTACTTGTGTCACCCTACAAAAATGAAACTAAAAGACTTCTCTTTTTTAATGGAATAATTTAAGTAATTGATGAATATTGAGTTATTGAGATTTTAAATTCATCTATTGCTTAAAAGCTCAGAGATTTTCTATTAAAATAAATTATTGCCATTTTAATTGTCTTAATTATCATTAAAAAAAAGTCGATATAATTATTGGGTGTTCTTGCTAAGTATGGTTATAACTTTGCTGACAATTGTTTTTTGTAGAAGGATGACCATCGTCATTTGAACCAGTTTGTAGCCCATGAAGCCCTGGACCTTGTGGATGAACAGATGTGGACCACTAACAATATGTACCTCAAAATTGTAGACAAATTCAATGAGTGGTTTGTCTCGGCTTTCGTCACAGCAAGTCGTATCCTTTTGTTGATAAATGAAGTTGTTATTTGATGCTCAACAGATATCAACATTGCCTTAGGCAAAAACAATGTGTGTTTCCGGTTTCCCTACTGACCCTAGATTTTTGTGCCTACTCTTAAAGTTTTATTGGCATTTAATGATAAGCACTCTATATAAGCATAGTAAAAATATTTAAAAATTAAATAATTACAGACCCTAATTTTTTTAAAGCAGAAACAAGAAACACATACATTTTTTTTGCATTATCTGTTCAAAGTAAAAGAGCTCTATTAACTTCTAAATGTGCTGGGTAATTACATACAGATTGGAACTATATATTAACTCCTGTCGGCACAATACTTGTAGCATCAGATCACACGTCTATGTGACATAACTATCGGTGTAACAGCACAATATTGTGACATCACAAAGTTTGGTGCCAGTACATGCATGTATAAGAAACACTAGAATTTGTATATATACATTTGTACATGCAATCTTTCCAAAAAAATTATGTTTTAAACTGATAATGAGTATACTGTATATAAATATGAAACATTGGAAAGATACTCAAGTTTTTGCGGTGATTTTATCACTGTTACTTTCCACTTGAAAACCGAATCAAATAACTTGACATAAATTCAATCATGAACAATTTTGATTTATTCATTTGTTCTAAAGAAATGTTACTGACTAATGAGGCTTCGTGGTCATAGAATTAGGAGAAAAATAATGAAGATCCTGCTGATGGTCACCAACAATATCTGTCGACTGTTAAACCTTATATGGTGATAGCTTTGGTTCCTTGACTGTAAAACCAGGGATGAGGTTTATGATGTTGCATGATACGAAAAATGAAGATGGAATTCGAAATTTCTTTACGGAAATGTATGAGATTTACATCAAAGTAAGTTGTAAGAGTTTTCTTTTATTGGTATGAACATCATGTTGTCATAGTATGCCATGGACTACTTGACTAAAATTGTTACTTCAATAGTTTTGCAGATTTCAATAAAAAAAAAACCCACCCTATTAGCCTTGCTTGCAACACTAATTTCAACAAGTAAAGCTCATGAACAGTCACAAAATTATAGGAATCTTGTGGAAACAATTTCTTACCATTGTATTCTGCCTAAAAATGCCCCGAATGTTTAGCTGTTTTGGTAAATTATGTGTACAACAGCCGTAATGGACACCTTTTTAGTTAACCTGGCTCAAAGTGTCAGTTGAGTTTGTAGTGTGGTGTGTTATCAGTCGTCCTTCAACATTTTCTTTGAACCACTTCTTAAGACATGGAGGACCTAGGGCCATGATATTTGGCAAGTAGGGACAGAGTGCAATAAAGTTGCCTCAAATAAATGACCTCAGCCTACTTTCATGGTCACAGGGTTCAAATATGTAAATATTTGACCAGTAGCATCCTGGGATAGAGTAGCATAAAGTTCAATTTAATCTGGAACATTCTTAAGCCATTGAGACTCAATATATGGAAATATTTGCAAAAGTACTTTTATGGAGAACATTTCTCCCAGGATTGGTAAAATATCCAGGTGAGCAATAAAGGCCGTTTGTTTATGTTTACAAGTCGGTAAATGATGATAAAGGGATGAAATACTCGTACCAGCAAAAGTGGGGCCTGATATTAATTAAGAGGTAGAATGCTTTTGAGGTTGATTACAGTGTTGACTATACTTGTAACAATAAGGTAAAATGAAGATGAAAAAAAAAAATTAAAATTATGATTCAGTACATGCACATTGACATATTGCCTCGAATATTGAAAGAAAAAAAAATCTGATTGTCATGGGGCCAAGCATGATTTATAATAAATAAAATTGCATATGCCTACGGCATGTTTGGGTGTGTGTGTGTGGGGAAGGGGTTGTCGGTTGTATGGGTAAATTTAAAAAAAAAATGTTGTAATATTTAATGGTTGTTTCTCTGTTTTGTAGCATTCCATGAATCCATTCTACGAAACAAACAAGCCTATCGAGTCGCCAGCTTTTGAAAAGAAATGCCAGTTATTTGGAAGACGATATTTAATTGGATAAGAGATTTGTGAATGAAAAATTGAATAAAATCATTTTAATGAGAATGGTGTAAATGATCTGGTCGATAGTGGGTTAGAGAGTGTAATGGATGTTACGATTGATTGACACTGTTCTGATTTTGGTATGATTCTGAGTGTAAATGTTTTGTGAGGTGTTTTGTTTACATTTTAGATCATGTATAAATTATTTGATGTTGTATACATGTGAAGAAAACTAGAGAGATGCATAGCATAAAGGTGAAGCAAATCTCAATCTCCATAGGACAAGTAAGAACATTTCTATCTGTAGATCCCCAGTGTGAGCTGGTCCTGGTAGGAGGCCAATAGGGGGAAAGTCTCCCAGTGGAAAATTGAGTTTGCTATTTTTGAGATCCACCCCCACCCCCCACCCCCGAGTCATTTTTCAGAGTGTAATCATATATTTGAATTCTACCATACATAATCATTCCAAATGATCAAGGAAGGATCCCATTGAATTTGAAGTGGGGGTTTATGTAAACAGTATTGTGACTTTGAAAGGTTCACTGCTACTGTTTGAATATGCCTAGCTGCATGCTTGCTATCGATTGTACATCTGGCTATACACACTAATGCTAGAAAATTAAGTTACATCTGTTCATAGACCTGCTTATCTAAACAAAACCGAAGGTAAATTTCATATTTATAAGAATATTAAAATTCCAAACTGAAACTGACACTAAATGGAAAGCGATTCTAGATAGTGATTCATATGCATTTTGTATAAGGTAAAATTTTCATATTTTATAAGAATATTAAAATTCACAACTGACACTAAATGAAAGGGGATTATATAAAGATAACGATATAATTTTTGTTGTTGTAAATTTCAAGATATATCTCATAAATCACATTTTGAAACGACTCGAAAGGTTATCAGGCTTTGACCAAATGCAGGTCCTAGGTTTATACCGAGATTCAAATTTACATAAGCTAAACAGATTCATGTCTACATTCTCAACTGGTCATTTTGTTATTCAGTCTACACTAAGCAAATGCAAGAAAGCTTGGATTTTCCGTAGTCACTTGTGGTCTCGATAATGTTTTGTTATTTATTATCATTGCTCCGACAGCCTAGTAGTTCTATGTTCAATGACGACAAGGTAAAGACATGCAGTCTTATTACTCAACACATTCAAGAATAGGTATCATAAGAGAATGATAAGTTGAAGTAAGATATATTTGAATAAATTAATGTGTCAAATGTAAAATGTGTTGTTGCAATTTTATTTTTTGGTAAGAATATATTTAAAAGTATTGCAAGAAAGGGACCCATTTAGTAACTGGTGTTGCTGAGAGACAGTCAACATTTGGAAAGCATCCGTCTACCATTTCGAACCTCAGTCTGGCTGTTGCATTTCTCTTTCTCCTGTTACAGTTACATTTGCCGTAGTAGCATAACATGGAATTGCGAGGTTTAAGTTAATGTGCAAGATTCCCTTTTAGGATTTCCAGCATGGGAATGGGTAATGGTATCCGTGAGGAAACTGAACAGCAAAAAAAGGCAAAAGATCATTTTTAGCTCAACATGGTGAGCTTATGCCATACCGCAGCGTCTGTCTTCCGTCAACTTTTCCTTTAAAACGCTACTTGTCCTGAACGGCCAAGCAGATTTTGACTAAATTTGGTCTGGAGCATTCTTAGGCCAAGGGGACTCAATTTTGTATAAATGGTGGGTCTGGTCCCCCAGGGGGCTGAGTGGCTGGCCCCAATAGGGGGAATATAACAAATTCTTTAAAATCCTTCTTCTGTAGGAATGAAAGAATTTGTTTCATATTTGGTCAGAACCATCCTTAGGGGAAGGGGCACCAATTTTGTATAAACCGTGGGTGTGGCCCGCTAGGGGCCTGACGGGTGGGGCCCAATAGGGGAAACATAGCAAATTATTCTTTAAAATCTTTCTTCTTCTGTAGGAATGAAAGGATTTGGTCCATATTTGGTGTGGAGCATCCTTGGGTCAAGGGGAACCAATTTTGTATAAACAGTGGGTCTGGCCCTCCTGGGGGCTCAATAGGGGAAATATAGCAAATTCTTCAAATACCTTCTTCTGTACGAATGACAGGATTTTGTCCAAATTTGGTAAGAAGCATCCTTGGGTGAAGGGGAACCAATTTTGTATAAATGGTCTGTCTAACCCCCCTGGAGGCAGAGAGGTGGGGCCCAATAGGGGAAATAGAGGTAAAACCTTTAAAATCCTTCTACCATAGGGATTAAGGGATTTTATCCTAATTTAGTCTGGAGCATCCTTGGGGCCAAGGGGTCTCAATTTTTTTTTATAATTGGTGGGTATGACCCGCCTAGGGGCATAGGGGTGGGGCTCTGTTTGAAGTTTGTTCTCGCTATATCTCAAGTACTGGATGAATCTTTCTGAAATTTTATATGTACTTACAGCACCTACCATGGAGTGCTATACCTTTACTTCATACCAATTATTTTAAACATATTCAGGTGAGCGATACAGGCCCTCTGGACCTCTTGTTTGTAGATCTATTAAAGATCCTTTCATGGTGGGCACCAGGATCCTTGTAGGATTTCATGTTATATAGTGTGTCAGTAAAATTTGTTATAGTATGAAATTCGTCTTTGTGTAATTTATTCAGTTTCGGTTCAACTTGTTGGTGAACAGTTGAAAAAAAGATACAATTAAAACAAACAAATGAGTGTGTTGTAAGTTTATTATTACATGGAAATAATATCATACAATAGTGTAGAAAAAAGTCTAAGCTAAATGTTGTCTTAGCCAACCTGTACAAAATACACAATAACTCAGAAGTTCTTTTGTCCTTTGAACAACATTATGTAACAGTTCTGGGGAAAACAGGATTGAAACAGACTTTTTAATTGTTCAAAGACACCGACCTCATTCGAACTAAATCAAGTTATGTTCAAAACTGAAGTTCCTAGAATAAACAATGCCCAGCACTGTTGAGTGAACTTGTTCACAGTTCATGGTCTTAGCACTCAGTCAGATCACTTGAAATGAATACTCATTTCTATAGCTTATAACAACAAAGGACCATGTTCAAAATATATCGGTTGGTACACAGAAGGTCATCGATGGTGTCCAGAAAGTTATTTACCTGTTTAGAATGATAAATATTGTTAAAAAAAATCCTCGGCCAATCAATGACTTAGATTTACTGTATAGTTGTGGGAAGTTACCATATCTGTAGAATCTTTATATAATTCTTATCCAATAGAAAATGGCTAATTTTGTTGATCAACACTCAATTTCAATGTAAATCTGAAGAAAAAAAAAAAAGATTTTTTTTTAAGACAATATTCGTCTATATGGCACTGCAACTTTTGGGAGATTCTTATTCTTTGACAGACTTATTAAGTATCAGAATACCTATCAACCAATGTTGTCCCAAATGCTATTAATCTATTGTCATGATTGTACATACTCACAACTTTTACAGTTAATGCTCTCAACCTCACTGTCCGGTTATTTTACATCATTCTTTTGTAATATGCTCTCAAAAATGCAAGTTCAAAATGGCAGCTGTTTCTATTCTTAAATTTGCTCAGCAAATGTTTAATTATCCCTGATAAATGAATTATCATAAGCTAATCTTTAATGTCTTTCGGATTTCCTTGTGTTTACTCGAGTATATTATAAATATACATTTTGTTTGTATTGAACATGGTCCATATTAAAGCATTTCAGATTCATAACAAAAATAGAGACAATATATTCATAACAAAGAAATATCTATTAAAAACAATTCTTGTCAACATTAATTAAGATACTTTGATCTAAAATGATACTTTTCAATACTTTTGTCTGTAGGACAAAATAAGGAAAAATAAAATATATGGGCAGACAGGATTCTTCCCCCCCCCCCCCCACGCAAAACATTGTAACAAAAATGAGGGGAAAAGCATGCAAACAATGGTTGTCCTATCTACTTACTATTAATAATGAACACAATTACATATTTATGCAGTTGTTCTACTAGATAAAGGTCCGCTCTATCCAGGAAATGTTAACTTACACACATGCTCCAGTAATGAGGAAAACCTGATAAACAAATTTGTATTTTCTTTTACCAAGTCACATCAACATTTTACTGTTGATCTCCTTGTATATTCCAGCTAATGAATTATTGAGACTTAAAGAAGCACAATCGTTTTGAAAAAGGCTTGATTAACACATGTTGAATTCTGCATTAATGAGATAGGTTTTAATTAAAAACATATGATAACTGATAGTCTAGATCTACTTGTACAGAACCTGACGTGTCAATTTTCATTCTGTTACCCACATCCTGGTCATACCCAACACAGATTAAACTCTACGTGTTCTGCTATGTGTAACATCTTGAATAAGTGTCATTACAGTTTCTTGAGGTCATAATGATTTAATTTACCAAACAAAAAGCTTGCAAGTAAATATTCCTTTTCAACATATCAATAAAATAACAAAATGTGTGTGTAGGATTGGAAGTAAAGACAAAAGTCTGATGATATACCAAGCAAAGACAAACTGAGGACATGGTCACTTATACAGCTACAGTTAATGACAACAGCAGTTTGTAGTTACAGCACGTGATTGTCTCAGCTATGTCATAATGTCAACACTTCTGTACACAACAGACATCAAATAGATTGAAATACAGAGCTAACAAAACTTTCTGTTTATAAATTCAATATTTCAGTAATAAGAGGATATTAAAGCAGAAAAGTCAACTATCGGACGATCATATATTCTAGTTAAAGGGAGATAATCTAGAACGTTTTGTATTGTAAGCATTGAAATTCTAGTGTAAATTTGAGATTAAGTTATCAGTTTGATCTCTGAATTTCTCCCTTTAAATAATCCTAATCGATATCTAATTGGTTAAAACTAGAACAAATACCAATAATTGACACAAGTCAACAATCGTTTGTTTCTTAAATGACAACATCATGTACTATATTTAGTTCACAGCGATTATGCTACAATATTGACACTTGATCCAGCCAAGGAAATATAGGTTTTTAACACGACACACCACAAGCTTTGATTTCTATACACTAGCAAGAACACCAACACAAACATTGATATCATACTGCCCTTAGTCCTTGAAATAGCACTCAAGAAGCTGGCTTTAAAAGTTACATTTCAGGATATAATACTTTGATCATTTCGAAAGTTATCAAAATTAGGAATGCAAGAAAAAGCCAACAGTTAATATGTTCCAATAAGCATTGTTATACTCAATGATACTGCTTACAACAAATTTTACATTTTCCACCAACTGATAAGAATACTCTAACCCTGTTTTCTTCTTCCAACATTGTAATTTGAGATTCTCATCAAGAATGCACTTTGATATATCAGGTTCTGACTTCACAGATGAGAATGTTTTTCATAAACTTCAAAAATTATGCTCCCAATACAGGGAAAATCTAAGTTCAGATGTTAATTGAGACCAAAGGTAGTTTGGATCCCTAAACACTAGTAAAACAGGTGACTAATTCTGATAATACAGTGACTGTACGGATATTGTCTAAACTTTAACCCAAGGCATTGTATTGTTGTACAGTTTTATAATCAATGAACTAGCCAATAAACAGACTTTTGAAATATTCAACTCATTTATCAAAATAACCTTCACTACCTGTAAATAATGAATTTGTTCACCAGCCGTGTGATAAAGTTAACTATACCCGGGTGTCAGGCTGGTGAATTTCACACCCATATTCCACAACATACATGACAATCTCTCCACAAATAATGCTTAAGTATGGTGCATGTGAAAATTTAATTATACATAAATAGCATAAGTAGACCTTTGTAACAACACAAAGCCCGGAAACGTATTAGAGGCCTTCATTACACACAGACACAAAGAATATTACTGGAAGCCCAAAATATAACAATATTGTGATTCGCCATAACTGGCAACAAATCTGCCTTTATATAAATTGGAAAGGTAATGAGAGAGTATGCAGTACAAATATTTATGAATAAGAACAACAGACAACAGACAACAAATTTATCTGGTTTTCACAGCAGGTTCCAACACAATGAAATGTCAGACATTTTGTCTTTAATTTACACTTAAATTCCTTCTGAACAAAACAATGGGTCAAAATTTTAAGCATTTAAATTAGTTCTTATCAAAAATCAAGTTTTAAAATCTCTTTATCATACTTACTTTGAGTAAATATGAAAACTGGTTTCAAATTTCATCCGTAAATCATTTCAAATTTTACAACCTTTGAAATCATCAAAATACTTAATTAGCCATCCGAGAAGTGGCTTCTAAATAGGTCTGTAGTTTTACAAAATCATAAAAGTTAATGAAAACAATTACATGAAACTTATTGCATCATTATTTATAAGCTTGACACAAGAAGCCCTGTACTCTATAAACTTGACAAAACATAGCTAGTATTTGGGAATTTTTCATCTCTACAAATTCCTCCAACATATTGTATTGCTGAAATTTCCATGCAAGCAAGGCCAGTCCAACAAGGTTGGCGACAAATAGGTTTAGAACCATTCATTACAGAACTCTTTCAATTAGCCTTCTTGTTTTTCAGTCTCCACAGTCTTATAGACAGGATTTTTTTGTCATCTAGACAGAAAATCTGTATGTCAAACATACTTCATCAGGTAATTTCCATTTTTAAGAAAAAATCTGCATCTTAGTTTGAACAGACTACAGCACTTTTAGTATATTTTTTTTCTGTGTGATACTCCTTCACAGGTACAACAATAAAGAGTATAAAATATAAACGAATAAAAATATCTTGTAGACATGGATATGCACAAAGGGGATTTAAGCAATTTCATCACATGACACAACGTCTGCATCGTCCCAGCATGCACAATTACACTTTTATCACATTATTGTTTTTCTCAAATTCTCAAACAACATTCCAGGGGTAAAGTTATTTTTCAACAAAATTTAAAAAAAAAAGCAATCTACAGAAACCACCAGTTATTCATAAGAGGCGACTGGTTTGTCAAATGTGTTATATGTTGGAAGGAAATATTATTGCTTCTAACTTTACTAAATCATCACTTACAGAAATTTTATTGATATTTAAAACCAAAAACTTATTAAATGACCAATATACATGTAAGTATTGTTAATATTGAATGGTTATTGCTTTGTTGAAACATACTCAATGTTCATGGTATCCTTTATTCAGAAACAAAAACATGGTTATGATGTCAAAACTGTTTCCTTTCAAGTAAATTGTGAACTATTACTGGTACTTCTACATCTAAATACTTCATTAAATGAAGCATATGCACTAATGAGTTGTAATTCTAATATTTAATTTCCTAGCAAAAGTGGTAAATATTAAATAATCTGAAATTTTTTGATTCTTGTATTAAACAATTCTATTTCAGTTTAGTGACTACAGAAGCTCTTGTCAACAACAAAAGAAAATTGAAGAAGGTCCACCAATTTAATGAGCATGCCTGAAAAGCGTAAAGTAATTAACCCTGAAAAAGAAATCCTCAGGGAATTTACATGATTACTAATGCCTGATTTAATATATTTGACAAAATGATCCTCTATAACAACAAAAAAGCTGCTCTTTAAAAACCTTTTTCTCTGTTGAAATACGTGATAAAAGGGAAAATATAATTTGATTTAATTTTAAGCACAATTGAAGATATCAATAATTTTGAATGTTGATTAAAACCCTTTCACCACTGTGGACCACAATGGACTCATCCAGATAAAGCTATGGTAGAGTCTACTTAAGTTACCAAGGGATGAAAGGGTTAACATACCTTGTTGAGAAATCCTACACACTTATATCAATATGTGTAGGTTTGACCACAGGTGTCGCTACAACCTCTACTGACAATGGTATGCAACCTTTCTTGATGTAAAACTTTATCTTCTTTTATAGTAACTTAGCGTATTTCTATATAATTTTGAAGAAAGTGGGAACAAACCATTCACAATCATTTACGCAGGTTAATATCTACAATGAAATACACATATGCAACAAAAATGCAGATCACATTCCAGAGGAAGTCTTGAGATTAGTCCTTTTTGTTGATTTTGTTTGGAGGTTTTTCTCATTTCTGTGTGACCTGGGTTTTATATGTGCTGATGATGCACTTAGGACACTGAAGAAATGGGATTATGCGGTGAGCCCATCTGGGTCAACACCTTGTCCAGCCACTGTAGGGGTCCATTGAGATGTATTTCGATCCAACACGGGGTGCTTGTGACATCCTGGCGATGGTACTCAGCGCCCCAACCCTTGACAAAGCTCATGCGAATAGTACACATTTTCGTGAGTTCATACACTGCCTCAAAACCATGGTTGACCGACTGACTCAACAGAGATGCAAACTCCTGGTTGTTGAATATTTTTAAGCTGCAACCTGGCGGTATCTTGCACACTGTTGTTGGGTGAAAGCCATGATGGTAATTACAGTTCCGGCTCTGAACAAATATACTACTGTCACTCAAGCATTCTGCAAATACCTCACCCCCCACATAGTACAGATGGACTCCTGCAAAATGAAAACAAGACATAATTTTATAAAATATATAGTTTTTATGAGACGTCAGGACTTGATAATAAGGGTGGACCAATAGTCTGAGACTGGTGAAATCTCCAGCTGGATTATATAATTAGTGGTTCTAAAAACTGCCAGCATATTTGACTAGTCAAAAATTGATATTACTTTACATGCTGAATAATATAATACTGGGTTATTGAAGTTTTCACATGAACTAGTAAAATTAGAAACAGCTAGTGACTGACCACAGATTCATAAAATTTATTTCTTACCCTGGACTTATCTTTGAACAGTGAAATATAACCCACATATTGTAAAACTCACACAGGAGAAAAAGGAAAACTGGTCAAATGGTTTTTATTGTCCTCTTCCTACTATCATGAAATAAGCAGTTTGAGAATCATTCAATGAATACTTAACCCTTTCGCTACCATAAACCATAATTGACTCATCCATATCAATGCATGGTAGAGTCTACTAAAATTACATGGGGGTGAAAGGGTTAAAGGCAGATGGTCTCTTAGACATTTTCTATGAAGGAGTTGTTGGTTATTTAGCTTTAAAGAGTTTGGTTTACCGACCTGAACTCATTCATGCAGCAAGGATTATTCTAGAGTTGTTGGTTATTTAGCTTTAAAGAGTTTGGTTTACCGACCTTACCTCATTCATACAGCAGGGATTATTCTAGAGTTGTTGGTTATTTAGCTTTAAAGAGTTTGGTTTACCGACCTGAACTCATTCATACAGCAAGGATTATTCTAGAGTTGTTGGTTTTATGGTTGTTAGTATCTCAATGGTAGAGTTGTTAGCTTAATGGTCTTGAGTTTTCTCTATGACAGATTTGTTGTCATTACCTACCTAAACTTACATTCCTGTGAGTATTCTCTATGGTGGAGAGGGTGGTTTAAGATTGTGAGTATTCTGTATGATGGAGTTACCTGCCTTTACTTATATAACTGCACCATAACTTACATTACTGTGAGTATTCCCCATGTCGAAGTTGTTGGTTTAATGGTTTTGAGTATCCTGTATGGTGGAGTTACCTACCTTTACTTATATGCCTGCGAGTATTCTCTATGGTGGAGTTGTTGGTTAAGGGTTTTGAGTATCCTGTATGGTGGAGTTACCTACCTTTACTTATATGCATGCGAGTATTCTCTATGGTGGAGGTGTTGGTTAAGGGTTTTGAGTATCCTGTATGGTGGTGTTACCTACCTTTACTTATATGCCTGAGAGTATTCTCTATGGTGGAGTTGTTGGTTTAATGGTTTTGAGTATCCTGTACGGTGGAGTTACCTACCTTTACTTACATGCCTGCGAGTATTCTCTATGGTAGAGTTGTTGGTTTAATGGTTTCGAGTTTCCTGTATGGTGGGGTTACCTACCTTTACTTACATGCATGCGAGCATTCTCTATGGTAGAGTTGTTGGTTTAATGGTTTCGAGTTTCCTGTATGGTGGGGTTACCTACCTTTACTTTTATGCCTGCGAGTATTCTCTATGGCGGAGTTGTTGGTTTAATGGTTTCGAGTTTCCTGTATGGTGGGGTTACCTACCTTTACTTATATGCCTGCGAGTATTCTCTATGGTGGAGTTGCGGTTGACATTGGAGAGGAGACCTAGACAGAATCTGTCTGCATTATTGGAGGGATCTGTAAATCCGTCCACGACAATGCTGGTCTGAGAAGCATGGAAAGCTTCTCCTACACGGTTGTTCAGCTCATAATACACTATGGAGCACCAGTATTGCGGTTCCTGGTATGTCACTGGCTGTAGGTCTGAAAAACAAAAAGAATCTCATTCATCAGTAATGGCCCGTCAGTAAAATCTTCCTTAACAAAACTTCAAGATCTTTAGGTGTGTACAAACTGAAATTTGAAATATTTCCGAAGAATTTTAGTGTTACAGAAATTCAACTGTATAGACATTTCTAACTCCTTTGTCAACTTCTAATCATTGTAATAAACAACCCCTTACACCTTTCACAGTCTACCAAAAATGTTCGCAGTCTGTCAATTACATGAAATAAAAACAAAATCCCCTGTAAGTAACATTTTCTAGGAGAACTGACAACAGTTGTAACAATTTTTTTATTCAGTCCTGTCTACACATTTATATACGACATAATAAAGGCACTCCAGGTTTTAAACTTAAACTTTAATGCTTTTCATAAAATTTGAGATATTTTTTTGTTGGGAGTTTTTTTTAACTTTCAGAAGTTGTCCGATTGGTTTTGTTTGTTGACTCATTCACCCCTGAAGACACATTTAAACCCTTCCAATTCAAAAGTTGGAATAGTTCATTATGAAATTTCAGGGGTGAATGAGTTGAACAAGGTGAGACAGCTTCTAGCACTGTAATGCACCGTACCAAATGTATTAAACAATAAAGCCTCGTTGACCTTGGCACATAATCTGCGATACAGTGGCCAATGCAGAATTATATATAGTGTATCATAAAGTGGTATAAAACCTCTTTACAATTGGAATTCAGCATGAGAGTGGGGAAATCATACCTTCATGTCGACACAGTGCAAGAAATATATTCCGTTTTTCAGAATACCCATTCCCAGTTATTTTTCAAAAGGTAAATTTCTACGAATAACTATGACCTTTACATTAAATGTATGAACTTTAATCAGATAAAGAACTTCATAACGCTGTTTATAATCTGCCAGCTTATTTTTTAAGATTTTTTCACTAATCACTAATTCTGAACAGAAGGGTGTACAGGTTTTGGCAAGCCACTGCAGTAACCTGACTGAATAGTGAATACAGCAAAATGATTGAAATCAAAGTTACCAAAAGCAGACATTTCAAAGGACATACAAAACACATGCAATATTTTTACAAAAATACATAGCTTATAGTGATAAATATTCCAAATAAAATTACATACATCTACTCTACTTACATGAATAGATGTTTTTGGCCCAATATCTTGAATGAATTTCAATCTTTAAATCAAGCCTTAACAAGTTCATCATTCCAATCATTGAAAATTGACGCATAAATCAAGCAAAAACTTAAACCAAAGAATAAATAAATTCACGGAGAAGCAAAAATCATTCACAAATGGATCCACCCATAATAGCCACTGCTAAACCAAAAAATGATGGAAACATTTCATTAACTTTTTGTGCTAAAAAATAGTATATTTATTCAAATTACTTTAAAAATAATACAATATTAATAATTTATGGGCATTACTCAAGAGTGAAAAATTATCTCTATCATATTTCTTTTTTTCATATTTCCTGTTTATTTGATCAACAACAGTGGAAATATCATAAATCAGAGAGCTTCGATGTCTCTAAAAACCGAACGTGAACATCTTGTTCCACCTGACTAGACTGAAATTTTCTCAAGAATATGGTGCACATGTGGATTGTGCCTTACATTTGGTACCGATACCTGTAGGTGTAGGCATGGTGTCCATGGGAGTTGGTTGTTGGGGACCCCTAACAGGGTTTCTGTTCTGATTAGTATGCTGCATGTTCTGGGAGTTATCATCGTGTGGCTGGTAGGCTGGCGGCGGAGTGCCAGCTGTAACAGTTGAAGGATCATTCGATACCGTGTTAAACATTATAGATGACAACAATGCAACATACTTTGCCATTTCATTTTTAACGAGTTTTAAATTTTGGTGGTGAAACTCTAATTACCTGGTAGAGCTGAAACGAATGTTCTCAATTTTTTCAGTAATTTAATTTTCTCCATTTAATTTTGGGTACCTCAGTATATAATTAACAACCAATAAAAGCATGGATATGCTTGATCATGTCAAGCAAAAGATCAAAAATAAATAAACTACAATTTGGCTTTACTTGAAAGAGTTAATTTGATATTCCCGAACCAAATAATGTGGAAAACAGGTCCGCACAACATTCAGTCTCATTGAATTTACCAGTTTTGTAACTCCAACAAAGTACCTGTTCATAATTAAGTGTTAATTGTTCAATCTCACATGTTAGTTATCTTTCTAGTTAATACAGAAGACTGAATAACGTACAGAGATTGAATGAAACCATTCGTTTCAGCTCTAATACCTGGTAATCCATATGGACTGCCTGGCCCACCTGAACTGGCGGGCGAGTGTGGCCCTTGAGATGGTTGATGAAACCCATTGGGGTCGAAGCTAACATTCTGTGGCATGGCTGGCTCAGAAACCTGCTGAAATGGTGGCATCGATACTGTGCCAGCTGGAAACTCACTGTATCTTGGGACTAGAACTGGAGGAAGCACTGAAATAGAAATGTTTTTGAAAATAACCATGAATACTGTATTAGTTAATTTGGTTTTATATCATACGTTAGAAAAACATGTGATATTTAGCATATCTTATACAAAGTTTACGGATGAAGTTTGACAAAAAATGCTATTTGATAAAGAAATTAATTTATATGAGGAATCAGTGAAATCCTATACTACAGAATGATCAGTGATGTGATGTCATGATACAAAGAATTTGTTATCAAACAACCAGAGGGTACAGTGATGTGATGTCATGATACAAAGAATTTGTTATCTAACAACCAGAGGGTATTTTGAACAACTTTACCTGGACTTTCTACACGTTTATAGTGGTATGGATTTATACACACTTCTTTCTGTTTAGCACTAAATGGGTATTCACAGCATTCAAGTGGTTTCAGTTCATGGTGACTTTGTAGATCAGGCCAGCGCCACACACGGCAGTATATAACATGAGGCAACCCCTTCCTGTGGGACACTTGAAGGCGGCCATCCAGAGACCTGGGAATGGTCACACATTTACTTGATTGTCCTGGACTGCTCAAAGCCTTTTCAAGATCTTCAAGTGCACCCTTTTTCTTTTTCAGCTTTTTCACGAGAGAGTCAACAGCCTTTTCTGCCCATTTTTCTTCCTCGTCTCCTTGTTTCCATCCAAGCAGCCGTTTGACAGCTGGACTTGTGAAGGAAAAGAGGCTGTTCAGACTGGAAATCGGGGAACTCATCCCTCGAAGATATCTAAAAGACATAATAAAATCGCTATAAGGGGAGGAAAACTGACAAAAATCAAGGGGCCTAATATAATGGGCCTGTACCACTCACCTGGAATTAATCTCACACCAGTAACCTTAAAAGTGGACCAAAGTTGAATTATAGATGTAATAAAATTGGCTTAATTAGTTCATACAGGCCAACTATAACCACCCTTGGACTTTTGGTTATTGAGAAGAAATTGTTTTTAAAGATTTTTTGAAAATTTTATTTGACCTCGCCCATGAATGAGGTGAGCAAAAAACAGCCGGACATGTAAGTATAAAAAATTATATAATTATCAGTCTCAGCTCAATTACTGTACATCACATGAATATTCAAAGTACCAACTGGTGCTGAGTGCACACTACTGGTTATCAACCGAACATTATATAGTTTGTCACTAGCTTTTACTGATTATAGTACATATGCCATAATAATGGGTCATCGATGTTGGAAATTCTGTGCCTTCAGATTGAACCAGTTGATAAATCTAGATATATTTGATATTTAAACTAAAATATGAAGACACAAATTTCAACAATTGATATTATAAAAAAATAATTTGTTACTGCTAATTAAACATTGACATCACCATAGTGTGCATTTGTTTACATATGCTTGCATAGTCGAGAAAAAAAGGGGCGGTTAAAAATACCAAAAACTTCAGATTTATAGTGTATTGCCAGATATCAAATTCATCATAAATTCATTATTCTGATGACTCCTTTATATCAATGACTAGCCTCTATATCAAGGCTGCAAGCACTTTGAGGGCATATACCCTATAGTATATATCTAAATACATGTATGGGGGTTAACAGAAAGCCAGCATTGTATACAAATTATGTAACAAACCACTACTTTGACTAGTTCAGCAGGTGGCCTTGAAATCAGTTTATCAGATTCTGCTATTTTAGTTGTTTCCACAGGTGCTGGACACATTATTAATAATAATATGATGTGCATATACTCTAGTATATATATACACACACCATATTTAATACTGTTAATGTGTCCAGCACCTGTGGTTATTTCTGTATTTAAAATGAATGTTTCCACAGATTTGTTATCTGTATATTGCACACATAATAACCTATCATCACATCCGTCTGTTAGATTTAGAGCGTTAGAGTTCGAGCGTTTAAAGTGACTGTCACTGCAGTCTCCCACCACCATCTATTTTCACAGCGACGAAGTACTCCTACTGAGGGGTGAAAGATGAAGTACTTTATAAGCAGTGTAGATGCATGACTCGTCTAATTATATCAGCATACATTAAATTGCAGGAGTTGCATACAAATGATCTTGTTGGTATAAGATGCTGTCACACACACAGGATATCAGGTATCTGCCAGGTGTACACATCGAACAATAGCGGTCCTTTACTGGGAACACACAGCATCACACAACTACAGAGTTAGGGTGAAGTACGAACACTGTGACAGCATGAGATCAACAGCTATTTCAGTGTAATAGTGTCACCAGATCCATTATTTTTAAGGACACATGCTTTTCCGAGAATTTCCCACATAATTGGAGAATTCACTAAATTTCTTTGTATATCGATGACTCTTCAAAATTTTGAAAATTATGTGGAAGTGACTGTGAGATTGCGCAACAAAATAATTTAACTTTTCATTTTGTTTGTACATCCCTAGCATTTAAAACTGGATTGAATGAACAATTATTTCCCAATATGTTGGTCCACCTCCCTTTTTTGTTTTTGAACAACTTGTATCATAAACACACATTTTTTCCTGGCCATTTATGAAATTTCTTTGATTTCGCCAATAAAACTCTCGATTATGACAATCTGTAATAAATTGTTTTCCGATGACTAACTTTTGTTTTGTTTTCCGACTTAATTATGAAATGCAACTTTCAATATCTGAATATTGTTGCAAAGTATTATTAAACCAGAAGTCTGTATTTCTTTTGATATTTCCAAAAGGATGAATGGCAGAATTTCTGAGTACCAGCAAAACAATGACAGAGACAATTTAAACAAATTTCTCAATTACACATAGTTAATTTTGGTTTTACTGTTATCTCTGACCCCACATAAAGAAATAACAATATTCAGAATAATATGGGGTCTGCTGAAATTAAAATACATTTCTTTTCCAGAATGAGAAATGCTTGTGTTGGCCACGGATTAATTGAGAAGCAGGAAACCAATAGATATTTTACTTTGGCCAAATCAAATCCTTGTAAAAGCTGCTAAAATGTTGGCTCAAAAAACGTGAAAAACTGCATTTGACATTTCAATTTAAAAGAATCGCAAAATTTACCCCCTGAGTATGAACCAATTAATATAAGGAATCCCTGACGAGCGAGGCTCGCGCTGTCGGTAACCAAAGTAGCCATCGGCTTATTTTATTTTTTATTGACTACTAAAAATATGATGTGGCTACTAAATGGACTACTAAGATTTTGAAATTGAGAAAATCTGTATCTTTGTCCCAAAAAACAATCTGTCTAATCGCGTGTGTATTGTGGTTGACACCGATTGTGTAATCATAATCAGTTATTCAACATTGCAGTTTTTAGAACAGCAAACCTTTCAAAATGTATACGGCGGTCGCTTATATTAGGTGCCAATCGACGACACGGCTATGGCCAAGTTGCGCGACGAGATGTGCTCCCTTTTTATTTCAAAGGGCTGGTCATTACCGTTATAAATAAATATGAAAATACTAAACTAGAATTATGTCAGTGTGACATTACAGCCGCTCACCACTTTAAATTTAATTGCTTCAGTGACACGTTGAGCATAAAAATCTACTATAATAACTCAGATATGTGTTCTGTATTCTGCTAATTGAAAATCAGGTCATCTGATGATGTTGCGTTTAGGATTTTCAAAGTCAATCACCTCTTAAATGATGCCTTAAAAACATTTCTCCCTCTCCTCTTTTTTCACCCTCTTTAAGTGTGACACATTGTTGTAATTTTCATTAATTAGCATCCTCCAATGATGTGACATGAGCGTTAACGTGCAGAATGGCAATCGGTGAATGGATAATAAAGAATAGGTGCATTTTTTGCTTGTGAAATGAAGGATAATTAACAGTAGTGGGAAAACATGGATGGAGAAAAGAGACATTGTACTCCTTTTATTTTTATTTATTTTTTATTCATATTAGTGAAAATTATTAATATTTGTAGCGACTATGTTTACCGTCATTGAATATACAAAATCTCACAAATGTTCTTGGAATATATTTGAATTATATTTCCCAATGCGACTTTACCAACATAAGAGTTATTTCCCTTACACCCAATTGGATATTATTTTGACACGGCGCGAATTCTTGTCAAACAGCAGCGGCAGTTGTGTTATGTTCTTAAATTGTTACACTTTCATAAATAAATACACCAGAAATAGCATATTGTGTTACAAAAATGTTTGATAAGCATACACAGTTCACATATCGTCTCGTCTCGGAGCCATTAGTCTACTGTTATCAACCTAAGCACGATATGGCATATATACGTTACCGTTTCAAACATCAAAATAGAGTTTATACTTCATCACTCATACGGTTTATAAGTTTATATATTTACTTATTCCTTCTACAGACAGCGTCAATGCTTGACAGTCTTCACATGTGCTTTCTCGAATCATATGTGTTTCACAGGCGTAACACTCCCCAGACCGCAATCCGAGTTGCTAAAACGCTAAAACCTAGTGCACGAATTTCACCACCACAACACTCGTAGAATGCACCGGAGATAAACATTTTGTTTTCAGCAATTATTTAAAGTATGGATTACTATTTGGAGAAGAGTATCAGAAGACTTTATGTAACCCACAGGTGAGTGTCAGAGATTCTACTTTCTATTTACGATAACGAAACTATATAGCGGAAGCATGCAATACTGAATTATGCACACGCACCCCGAACGGAAGTGGGTCTGTCATTTCGTTCTCTGGACAGAATTAATAAGCCGCTCGGCTCTCGCCAAGAGCGGCTTAAAAAATACTGTATCACATTATGGATTACATTACTAACATGATGTATAACAATTTTTTTATTTAACAGAGTAATCCTTTTAAACATCATGTTGAAAAAGTATTGCAATTAAATGGTGCATCAATATTGGGACCCCAATGAACCCCCTTGATAAAGATCTGTTTGCTTTAATTGTACACATATTGAATAAACAAACCATTCTGATTGATATGTCTCGCTGAAAAGCAACCCCTTAGTCTCCTTACTTTGTGGTGGTGAGACAAAAATTTGAATCTGGTTACTTAAAGGGGCATCACGGTGAAGTAACTTTATTTTTTGTCTTTTTTTCAAATACTACATAAACATATCAAGTGAGACTCCTTATGGAAAATAACGATCGGATTTGGCTGAAATAGATTCATAAAAATGATTAAATCTAAGAAAATCATCGGTATTTCTACCTGTCTGACCAACGTTTTGTTCAGGGATTTCCCTCTTCTAGCGCATGCGCATAGCACACCATTTCTTTGTAAACAAAATGACTGGCCGTGTGAAGTAAGCGAAAGAAAAGTGTTGTACCGTGTCAGCTACGAAACGAAAAGTTGCCAAAATGGTCAAAAGATAGTGCAAGGAGTACGTTACAGAATCATTATTGCAGGTGGGCAGTATTCAAAGGAGAAAATAACTGCCGTAGCAGTTAGTACGGTGCATGTATACTTCCGGATAGCCAGTTAAGCTGAAATGGAATCGACAGAAATGCTAGCGCTGTTTATGTTATGAATAAATATCTAAAACTATTAAGTTTGCTTGTATCTTTGTCCGAGTTTGAACACAGATGAACTTAGTTTAATATGTTAATGGGCATGTGTTGGAGAGAGTTTACTTTGTGTTTCTATAATTATACAGTGGTTTAAGCGAAAGGAAGGGATAAGTGACTGGTTAGTTTGATTTTGCCATGAGGCCCTCCAAGGGATAACTGTTGTGATGGTCCACGGCATATTTTCTGGGTCACCGAGATATGTGTTATCTAAGTCTGTGGATTTATATAATTTATAACATTACCGGGTTCAATTAAATGGTATGATTTAATTATATTGCTGAATTAAACGATTATTTTTGTTTTTACATGCAAGATTTGAATTAGTACTAATATGAATACCCGGCCTCCTCTGCCCCGGCAATATATAAAAAAAAATCAGAAAGGTTTGTCCCTTGGTGTAGGGAAGGTGTTTAGCCCCGTACCATCTGTACCGGCCACATTCCGGTACTAAATTCAATATATATTTAAATATATCTACTTTATGTTTATGCCTATTATCATTGTTGACATTTAATTGTAAATGTATGACGGGAGAAGGCTGTGATAAATTGTAAAAACTTGTGCCCCATCCCTTGTTTAATTTTATTGGCAACAAATTTATGTTTAAAGCTAAATAAATTTAAATTCTGAACATTGGCAAGTGTGCAATAAACTTCTAATGATGAATAATTACTGTTCAATAAGTTTGAATACGGACTTAGAAATCATATAACTTGGTTTCATAGTGCGGTAAGAAGTTGCAGTTGCCTAATGGCCCCTCTCTGGGGGCCCCTTTGGAAACCGTTTCATCTTGCTCGCACCACTGCCTAGTCAGGTGACGTTATCGGCGCTATTTTTAGCAGGGCTTTCCCGAACAATTCAAGTTGTCAAACTGGACATTTGCAACGGACTATGAATATGGGGATAGCGAGGTAACATAAGTGGAAGTGCATACAATACATACATTCATTAAAAAAAAACGCCTTTTCACGTGATGTCCCTTTAAAGTTCAAAATTAAATATCTAAAAAAATTGTTATTATTATTTCAGGTTCCATTCTACAGCATCAATGTTAAACCCTCAATATATCCCTATTTAATCTCAGCATCCTATCACACTTATACAGTATATTGAATCAATGGCAAGCCTTTAAATAACTTGCACCATAAACTTGACAGATTTGGGGGTTAAAAGTCAAAATAAAAATGGGTGTCGTCGAAACATTTAACAAGAGTTTTTAACAGGCACTTGAAAAATTTAAATCTACATTTTCAATAAAACGGTGCCTTCTGAAATGTTTTAATAAATCTATAATAAATGCTTGTTCCAAGTATTTTTGTAATTATGTTCAACTACAGCAACAATTTATAATCTATCCAATCAATAATGTTAAAACACCTAATGATTGGCTAAATGTGGGGAACTGCTCATTATAATTTAACAGAAAATTTGCATTGGTTTGTCAGACAGGAATCGAAACCAAACTTCTACTTGCCTTAAGCTTGCAGACCAGACCTATTTCCCCTCATACTATTCTTGCTTGTTCCAGTGATTATGTAGTATGTATATTCTTTTATATCCATTCTCTCTTACTCCAATACTCAATTTTACATGGAACTCGTAAAATCTTTGTTATCTGTTTAGTAAAGCCATCATGACTTTCCATAATTTTGGACCTTTTTAGTAGTATCTCAGAATTTACAGTGTAGCTATAAACAGACAGACACCAAAACTGGGCATGTTATGACATGGCTTCATAAAACAATCAAGATTGTTTGTAGTTTTCATTGTGAATAAAGAAAGTGACTGCAAACCGACTGACCAGGTAACAACATGACACACATTTTAAAATTTTGTTATCCATACATTTGACAATATCTGACATTGTGGCTGAGAAACTGATCACTGACATAAGTACTGTTTTAGACAGTTTTGATCTGTATTTGTAATCTTCGAACAGCTTTGGTATTACATTACTTAATGTCGACGAACCACCACCTTGATTAATATAAAAGCTCTCAAAGGTAGTGAATATTTCATTTTAGACAGCGATGTTACTATGATAAAACTTAGCTACCTTATTATGTAAACATTAGTCTCAGACAGTCGTCTCGCCTGCGAGACACTTGCAATAGTTGGGAGATTTGAAACACTGAATGCGTTAAACACCTTAATAACGACAGTCCGTGAAAAAAATGTGCAGTGGCAATCGGTAATTCTATAATAAGAACCAATGTAAAGGATAAGGGGTACGTATACGCTGTCCGGAAGTTATGTCTTATAATACACACTCCCAGATGAAACCAAAATGGCCGAGAATGAATCTGATCGCAAAACGAATGCATCATGTTTACCGAACTTCTATATACCTTTAGATCGCTGGAATACGTCCAGGACAGAAAATGTAGACACAGTTACTAGTCTAATTATTCCTGTCGGAGTAATTATGAGATTAAAATGGTTGCCATCAGAATTTGTACCAGCCTTGTTCCAGTTTTCTTCTTTATTGAGGATGGCGACAGAATGACGGAAAGAACCGAACTACGGAAATAGATCGCACAAATTAATTCGCCCTAATTTTTCTAGACCTACTTCCTGTTATCTTGATTGCACTTTAATTATAATTGTTTTGACACATTAACATAAGAAAATAATTTGTTATGAAATGTTTTTGACAGTTTATGCATAATTTCGAATGACTGAATCATTAAATACAAATTCAAAAATAGTACTATGTCTTATGCGCGGAAGGCTTAATTTAACATTTTCAATACGTCGGCTGACGCATGCGTAATGTCGACGTGACGTCAGGAAACTGGCGACAGTATGACGGAGAAAGTTGACTCAGTAATTTGAGGTTTTATGTATATTTATGTTTAAGTATGCATCGCCAAGCTACACGTGTCCAACAGTTCATCTTGAATTGCTGGTTAGCATTTGCTTTAAGTAGATAATACTGACAAGATGGTGATCGCGGGAGAGCACCACGCGAAGAACACGTAATATCAACAGGTGCCCGAAAATGAAACTTGATTTCGACCATGTGCTTTTGTTGACCTCGTTTAATGAGTCAGTATTACCACCCCCGGGGTTTTGACACACCCATTTGTTTGTCATTTTTTTATTATTACGTATATTATTTAAATGTTTAATTTAGCAAGCGAATAAATAATCAAAAAATATTTGACCACCATGTTTGTAGAATAAATATTCAACTTAATTACCGATTCTCCGTATCTATATAACCGTACATAGTATAACAATACCTTGCAGTTTTAATTATTTTATTTCAAGCAGGCTAGTTCAGATGTATAGAATGATTGGTTAACTGGCTGCATCGAATTGTTGTGTGTACATGCATCTTTTTATATTATAAAATTACAAAATGCCATACATATATTTTAAACTTCATTTTTAAAATCCAAATGATCCACCAAAAGCATTCAAGGTTGTCAATCTAAAGAAAATCAAATTGGCACTAGTACATGTACATATTTTTGGGAAGGTTTTGGATGTTTGAATTATCATTTTCTTTTATAAAAGACTATAACAGATATGATCACAATTAATTCAATCAAGCATAACTGATGAAAGCTGTTGCATTGTCAGTTTTGTATACCGTCTTAAAGCATTGAATTAATTTGTCAAACTTAAACAGTCTAGTTTGTAGATGGGCATGTGTGTTAAATAAATCTTCTAACGTTTATCATATCTATGTTCATTGTGATCACATTTAGTCGCATATAATATACATATGCTGACCAAATCTAAGTCATATATGTAAAAAATAAATATTGAAAGACATGCACTCAACTGCTTATATCACAGGTACGCAGGTGAATATGTACCCCCTTGTCACCCTACCAATCCAGGCACGGCCCAGCTCCACTCCGAACAAGGGCTGACTTTAATGCCCCTGATATAGGGATTCAAAAATTATGAGTTATCATGTTTACCTCCTTTGCAAATTTGATGATGTTAAAAACAAAAGGCTCTACAACACATTAATTAATTTGATTTTGAAAAAAAAAATGACAGCATATCATGATAAATACAAACTCTTTTACTATCATAACATTCTTAATATTATATCCGAAAACCTAATTACATGACTCCTATTTTAAACCAAAGAAAACATTGCGGGGAATTGATCATGATGTGGTCAAAATAACTGCATTTAACGTGATGTTGCAAAGCTTTTGTTTTTGCATGGACCTTCTTCCTAAAAAGGTCATGACCTTTAACTGATGGACTCTCTGAAAATGTGAGTTAAATGATAGATACAGTGTGAAAGTGTTACCCATATGTGGGTTAACTGATGGAAACACTCTGAAAGTGTTACCCATATGTGGGTTAACTGATGGAAACACTGTGAAAGTGTTACCTATATGTGGGTTAACTGATGGAAACACTCTGAAAGTGTTACCCATGTGTGGGTTAACTGATGGAAACACTGAAAGTGTTATCCACATTGGTTAACTGATGGCAACACTCTGAAAGTGTTACCCATATGTGGTAACATTTATTTAACCAACACCTTGCAAGTTCATCCAATGGCTCTGTAGTAAAGAAACATATACATTTGTATTTAGGAGTGGTGGTGTTCCTATTAATTAATTTAATGGATGATGAGTTGTTTTACCACCCTCTATGACCAACAAATAGATCATGATTTTCTATGATTTATCATGATTCGACTATTTGAGATGAGAACCGGACCTGAAACCATTTAAACAAAAATTCTCCTAGGTTTTACCATAAGCTACATTTGAACAACATTTCTACCTGTAATTAGGTACTGTATTCAAAAAGTATATTTTAACCATTTTGAGGAATATTTCTCAATCTATTTCCCTTTCATTTTATGATCAATCAGTGATCCATCACACATTTTGAGGTGATTACCAACACTTATCAGTGTTCTAACTAAGTTCTGTAACATGAAAAAAAAAAAAAATGTGTGTGTTTCAGGTATCCTGACCTACCCTAGATTTTTCCTACCGACCTTAGAAATTTCTATCACCTACTTGTTTATATATCAGTTTAATTATTAACCAGGCAAAGTTCACAGCCACTCATTAAAATGTACTTTCTTCCTGTTCGGGGAGTCTGACATAATTCTAGACAACTTAGTAGCCATTGTAATGTATGGAAATGCATTGTAAAATTTGATATAAAACATTGATATTGATAATGAAAATAGAAAATTATAATTAAAGTAAAATTATTTTGCCAACCCACCTACCATAAAAAAAAATCGGGCATGGTACCTGAAACCCACGGTTGGATGTTCATATGCAATTATGTTGACCTAAAATAACTGGTTCATAGTCAATGAATAGCAGGCTACTTTTTCTGCAATCGGCTTTTTAAAGAGAACACTGCAATGTAGGAGGGAGCCCAATACGTGTTATGTATATACTTTTGACTTGTGTTTCAGGATAAAGTTCTAAAAAGGATGAGGACTATCTTGGTGGATTAGGATTACCAGTTTATCATAAAGGGGACTGAAAGATGGCGAGCACAACAGTTTACCTAGCAGGTGTAAAGCAAGGGGATTCTCATTTACTCCTACCATTGCAGTCGGCAGCCATATTGTTTTTAAGTGAATATTGCATAAGTGACACAGTTGACTTCCATTTGACATTGGTAGATGAAGGAATTGATCAATCTGTTTGTGTGACTGTTAATCAGAGTATTCTTTGCAAATACAGCCATACATTTGTAAATCAGGAGGAAGGTTATCGGAACTGTGCTCTTCCAGTAATTGTGGAGGAGGGAGGAAAGCTGATCAGATCAGGTCTCTGCAGCATTATTCGTCAAATTGTCATCATTGCCCAGAAACGTTCTCCTGCTGAAGATTTTGAATTTTTATTGGTAAGTTTCATTTACCATATATACTAGGGGAAATAAGGGGGCTAAGTTTATTGAGATTTGTTTCATTTCAATATGTCCTTTTCCATTTCTTCACAATAGTTGAAGATGTTTTGTATTATCTGCAGAAGAGTCGTAGGTCAAAGCTCTGATAGTTTTATTTTTAAATATTGAACCATAGAGCTATGTTCAATTCTTATCATGTGAAAATGAAAAATGAAAAATTTGACTGAAGCCTTCTCAGATGATAGGGATTCATAATTGTACTAATTTAATTGTTGTGATGTACTCCCTTTCCACGGGCTATGTGTCGGGGTTAAAAGAGTTTATAACTTGGAAATGGTTGAAATTTCCACTCTATAACGATTGCTGAGTATAAAGAAATGAATACAGATATGCTACCAGGATAAATTTCAGGGTCTGGCCCCACCCATGAAGATTTAGTCCCTGGGTTATTACTTTGAAACAGATGAGTTTATTACCCCATATGATAACCACATGTACAATTTCAGGGCATTACAAGATCAACAAAATTATCATTATAATTAACTCTGGGGTCTTGCCACATCCGGGCCTGCGGATTTGGTTTCTGGGTCACAACTGAGAAACAGCTGAAATCCCAACCCAATAACCATGTATACATTTTTTGAGGATGAAGAGACAAATACATACAAGTTACTAAATTTATTTATAATTATATATATAATATAGTTAAATAATTTGATATTACCAGGTATATAGAGTAACCATGTTGAACAAATGATACAGTGTTTCTGAGCCATGTATTTTAACACAAAACTATTTGTAATATAATACAAACTGAAATATATCAGGCAATATGGAAGGCTGGGTGTGCACCACCTTGTGGATGAGATGAGAAAACTATTTTGATCTTTTGATGAATGATCTTTCTGTCACTTAAAAGGAAATTGCTCCTCTGTAATCTTCAAAGGACAGGTATTATATAGTCTAGTGATTGGTCAGGTTCTTTTACCTGAGAACAATAGATTAGCTAATGGCATGCCTTCAATTTTACTTTGACATATTCCAGCTGGGGTGTAGAGAGCGAAAGTGAGCTTAACCTCTAGAGTATTGAGGATGACAAAACTACTCCATTACATTATACAAAGTGTTTTATGAAAAGTAGGTTTCTACTATAGCCCTGCTCTTAATCATAATGTTACATGTGCACATCTTTTAGCAGTAGTGTTATTTTCGCTTAATTATGACTGTGCCAATTGAAGGCCTTGTATATCTTTTCCATTTACATATTTTGTGGGTGCACCAATTTATCAATGAGCTAATCTGTTACTATTTTATAATGGGCTAGAATTTGGGTGCACTAAAAGTAGTCACTTACCAATAATTGCAAGAGTGTTTGACAATTTGATACCCTTTTAGACTTTGAAGCTCTTTACTCCACACGCGTCGTGGTTGTGTACAAGTAGATGTAAGTTATATGCTAACAATCTAGCATATATATACATGTACATGAACAACTTTTGTTTCAGCTGTTTTTTAATTACCTGTAGCAGGAAGCTGCTTCACACCCAGACAAGTTAGATCTTGAGGTCCTTGTCATTGTTATTAGAAACTGTTAACAGGCTAGTGCGATGTTTTAGAGCATGGTCAACACAGGGTCGGATACAATTTCTTGGTGTACATACTAGTCTGAATCCTGTTACATGGTAGCTAGTCTACTATAGATATTCAGGGGTCGACACTAGCACTATTCCGCTAGTCCTGGACTAGAAGATTTCAGCAAAGACTAATGAATCACCTAACCTAACCGGTCCTTTGGACTTGTGAAAAATATGATTATAAAATCAGAATATTCCTTTTTAGAATTTAGAAAACTACTTAAAATAAGATATATTGCATGATAATTGTCAAAATTTTACTAAAACTTCACCATATTTTTATGGAAGTAGTTATTTTAAATCCCCTACAGTAGATTAATTTTTTAATTTTCGTGCTGTAGATCACGATGTTTCCTTATCAGGAAATCTTGGACTAGTTACATCGACGAAAGGCTAGTAAATAATCTATTCAACTAGTCCTGTGGACTAACAAGTAAAAAAAGTTTGTGTCTAACCCTGGATACATTTGTTCTGCATTTCCACATTGTCAACAATTACCAGTTGCTTGCGATTTATGAGACTATAACGCTTGAAGCCTGATCATGACATCATAATCGTAAGGTTGGAGATAGCTGGCTGATATTACTGACTATTCGTTGTTCTGTCTATTGAAAAATAGTTATAATATTTCTTTTATAGGATTTGAAATAAATATCTGTTTATTATCAAAAATTTACTCAGTGGAGATTATAAATTTATACATTGTTATTATATTGAATGGTTTATTGTCAAAATCAATGGAAAATATAATTTTTTAAGTATTGAACTGTCAAATTCTGTTCCCAGTAATAAATATTCCTCTTGTTCTGAATAAGATTGCAGACAATTACTCATAAAGCACCAACACATATTTAGTTTAAACTTTCTCCTATTCAAGTATTTCAATTATATACATGAGTGAGTTCCCATTGCATATGAGATTTATGAAAGGAGTCTTAAGAATTTTTCAATTTAGTGAGTCTCTGAAATGAAAAATTTGTGATGAGTTTCATAAATTTCCTATGAAATGAAAACGAGTGTAAGATCCTTTTTATCACATAAGCAAGATTTATGGCATTTATTTGTGTAAAACGACAATTTTCATGCAACCTTACAATATGAAAAGCTGTCATTTTCACTCTAGTGCGTAACTCTGTGACGTCATGTTCTTGTCCTAGGCCTGACGTCACAATTGAAACAATTGAAACTTACAACCAATCACAGGGCTGATAGGTTATATTACATGGGTTAATACGCAAACAAATATGACATGGGTATATTCACTGGATAACACAGCACATTATTAGCTCACCTGGTCCGAAGGACCAACGTGAGCTTATGCCATACCGTGGCGTCCGTCGTCCGCCCGACGTTCGTTGTCCGTCCGTCAACAATTTCTTTAAACAACTTCTTCTTCTTAAATGCTAATTGGAATTTAACTAAATTTTACTGGAAGCATCCCTAGATAGTGGGGATTCAAAATTGTAAAAATGGTGGGGCTGACCCCCCAGGGGGCTGAGGGGCGGGGCAAAAAGGGGGCAATTTGGCTATATTGCTTTAAGGAGACTCCACCCTTTCGCAATTAGCCATCAGAATTCAATGAAAGTTTCACATGATGGTTATGTCACTATGTAGAGATGATTTTATCAAAATCTAAGCATTCCGATAAACTGGGGATTTATTTGTAAGAAATACTGAAAAATTGATTTTTTGTCAAATTCAACACTTTCACATTTTTTGAGCGTGTGGCATTGTTCAAAAGTATTACAACAATAAAATAATGAAAAGAAACATTGCTAATCAACCCTACAAATATTTTATTTATCCTAAAATATCTACAACATGTTACAAAAAGCGGTTTTTATTGAAACTATATGGATAAAAGTTACTAAATACAAGCCAGAATCAAACAGGACACATAGTTACATACAAAAAGAGTGAAAAGTTGAACCAAATACACACAAAGTCTTTATAATTAATTTATTTTACATTTTACAATTATTTTGATCCTGATAAGAGTTGTCTACCTTGAAAAAAATCGGAACTTTTTGCAGAGGGATAGAATTTATACAATGACACTTATTTGATTTAATATACCAAAAACGAATTTAACTAAATTTTACTGGAAGCATCCCTAGATGGTGGGGATTCAAAATTGTACAAATGGTTAGGCTGACCCCCCGGGCTAAGGGTTGGGGCCAAAAAAAGTTTATTACTTGGAAATGGTTGAGATCCCCACCATATAACCATATATACAATTGCTGAGTATAAAGAGAAGAATGCACATTTGCTTCCAGGATGGCACTAGGTCTGGCCTTAACTTTAAAATGGTTGAGATCCCCACCCCAAAACTATATCTACAAATGCTGGGCATAAAGAGACGAATGCAGTCATTATATTAGAATAGACCCTGGGGTCTGACCGAACCCCTAGGGACCTAGTTTCTTAGTCACAGCTTGGAAACAGTTGAGATCCCCACCCTTTAACCATATATACAATTACTGCGTATAAAGAGAGAATGCACATATTCTTCCAGGATGGCCTTGGGGACTGCCCTATCCTTGGAGATTTAACCCCTGGGTCATAACTTCGAAATGGTTAAGATCCCCACCCCAAAACTATATATACAATTGTTGGGCATAAAGAGACGAGTGCAGTCATGATATTAGAATTGATCCCAGGGTCTGCCCTACCCTTGCTACCCTTGACCTAGTTTCTGAGTCACAGCTTGGAAACAGTTGAGATCCCCACCCCATAACCATACATAAAATTGCTGGGCATGACAAATCTAATACAGATATGCTTTAAGGATTGGCCTTGGGGTCTGGCATATTTCCTTGGATCTCATTTGGAGAATGTTTTGCCATGATTGCTTAGATATTCAGGTGAGCGATACAGGCCCTCTGGGCCTCTTGTATGTGATAAATATACATGTTGTAACAAAACACATGGTACAAAATAGGAAATAGAACAATTAGAACAAAAAAGAAATAGCACATATTTATGAACATATCTGCAGTTGTGCTCAGAATTATAGGATTACCTGTGTAACCTTGAATAGAATTCAGTGTAATGCTTATATAACAGAATTCAGTCTCCTAAAACCTGTTATTTCATAGCACATATTCCTTTTCAATAATCAGATTATTTTATCACTTTAGATTTGTCGTTTTAGCATATGTCATGTCTGAAACAAATGAAATTGCTACTGTATTTATAAATCTGAATGTTTTATATCGCATACTATGGAATTACCCTATTTAGAGCCGGAAGTTTAGTCGAAGTTATGTAATACCATCATACTGTTCCTATAGTATATACTGTAAACAGCTAGGATTCAAATACTAAATCAGATCGTTATTCACATATACTGCACTTTTTTTCTCCAGAGATGAAATGGTTATGTGATGTTTGTATTTTACACAGGGATTCCGTGGTGGAAGTTTAAAGGCCTGTGCTGAGGTAAGTTAGAATGATTTGAACAAGTTCAGTCCATTTATTATTTGTCATTTAACTCTGTAACAGAACAAGGTAAGGAATTACTGAATTGATTTATGGACCTACCAGCATCGCCTCATCATACTTTTTTTTTTTTGAGGCTTCAAGATACTTTTTGTCCTAATTTATAAAAAACAGTAATATTACATCACTAAAATTGTAAATATATTGTACTCATATTCATATGGGAAGATAGCAGTATCTGTCCATTTAAAGACATTTGAAGTACTTCTCGCTGGCTATAAGCCACCTTACACATACTTCCTCAAGGCAGTTTGTTACCTTACACATATTACCAGAATTGGGTAATAATTGAAAATGAATATGGTATTATCTCATATTATCTGATATCATTGAATGCAATATTTGAATATTTTGAATGTGCCGTATAACTGATTCCAAATTAGCATTTGTAATAGACTTTTCACAGGTTTCTTTTCATGGAACTCTCTCACTAAAAGAACAACAACTTTGGTTTGAATTAATAATGTTAACGACCCCATCATTATACTCACCCCCTACCCTTTTTCTGGGCCAAGCATCCCATCACATAATTTCATTCCATTTACTTGAAACACGTCTTTTATGGCTCTCTTTAAATAATTTTGTAAAGATCTGCAACAGTGCTGAATGATGCTGCAGAAGTTAATTGCTTTGCATCCATGTATGGGCAATTGGTCAAATACAGTGTTTGTTTAGTAGCATACTGTAAATAGCTGTATTTACATCACACAAAATTCTGACCATCTTTCATGTTGAACTCATTCACCCCTGAAGACACATTTGAACTCTTCTGATTCAAAAGTTGGAACAGTTCATTATGAAATTTCAGGGGTGAATGAGTTAAGACAAGTTCACAGCCTGTCATTGTTTCATTTGCCTGTGTACTGTTAACTATATATAGAAATAATGTAATTCCGCATTTAACAGTATAGTATATACAATGTATATCCCTACCTCAATTTGATCTACTATCCTTACAATATCTCCTCAAACTTGTATATGGATTTGGTTCATATACATCAATCTAGATCAATTTTTATATATGGCCAATGCAATAATTATAAATCATAATTAGGTGTTTTCATAAATGCGTCATGCTCTTGCTTAAAATAATTTATGTATGACTGATGGAAAAGATGAGCTACAGTTAACACATGGTAAACGTGCTGCAAGGCGCAACCCTACTTTGAACTGTAAATTTGTAAAGAATGCATAATATAAACTTGTGAATTGATATTTGAAAATCACCAACACTGTGTGTTTGAAACAGAGAATCTAGAATCCATAAGGTGTTAGTTACTGTCCAGGGCAGAGTCTAGGTCTTGTTGTTAACAATCTCTGGGATTTAGATTTTTCTCCATTCGCCACACTTGACTTATTAATGATTGTTTAGGTTTCAGGATGGACCAAGCTATGTGAAGTGGACTTCCCAAACAGTGTCAGTGAATTGATTCAACAAATCAGGTATATCACCCACATTTGTTTAACTCATTCAACCCTGAAGACACATTTTAACTCCTCCTGTTCAAAGGTTGGAATAGTTCATTATGACATTTTAGGGGTGAATGAGTTTTGAAAGCACATTCAGTGATCATGTTCTTAAAACCATGCTAGGGATCCGATATAGTTCATGAATGAAGGTTAAGGTCAACCATTCCTTCAAGTGAGGGTAAAGTTCCATTGTGAAGGTCAGGTCAACAATACATTACATTGAGTGTGAGAGCCTTATTTGAAGGTCAAGGTCAACAATGATTAACAGTGCGACTGAGAGTCTAGTTTGAGGGTCAAGGTGAGCAATACATTACATTACAGTGAAGGGGAGAGCCTTGAGTGAAGATCTGTCAAAAATCATCACAGTACGGGTGAGAGTTTTGTTTGTGGGTCAGTATCAGCAATACATTAAGTGTGGGTGAATCTTGATTGAAGGTCAAGGTCAGTAGTATTTTACATTTAAGATGAGAGCCTTTTGTGAAGGTAAAGGTCAACAAGACATTACAGTGAGGGTGAGAGTCTTGTATGAAAGTCAAGGTCAACAAGACATTACACAGAGACAAGAGTCTTGTATGAAGGTCAAGGCCAGTAGTATTTTAAAGTTAGGGTAAGAGTCTTGTGTCAAGGTAAAGGTCAGCAAGACATTACAGTGATGGTGAGAATCTTGTATGAAAGTCAAGGTCAGCAATATATACGGTTAGGGTGAGAGTCTTGTGTCAAGGTAAGGTCAACAAGACATTACACTGAGACGAGAGTCTTGTATCAAGGTCAACAAGACATTACTGTTAGGGTGAGAGTCTTGTGTCAAGGTAAAGGTTAACAAGACATTACAGTGGGGATGAGAGTCTTGTGTAAAGGTAAAAGTTAACAAGACATTACTGTTAGGTTGAGAGTCTTGTGTCAACGTAAAGGTCAACAAGACATTACTGTTAGGGTGAGAGTCTTGTGTCAAGGTAAAGGTTAACAAGACATTACAGTGAGGGTGAGAGTCTTGTGTCAAGGTAAAGGTCATCAAGACATAACTGTTAGGGTGAGAGTCTTGTGTATAAGGTCAAGGTAAATAATATATTACTGTTAGGGTGAGAGTCTTATGCTAAGGTCAAGGTCAGCAATGCATTACAGTGAAATTGGTGTGAAGGTCAAAGTCAACCATACATTTCTATGAGGATGAGGGACTTGTGTAAAGGTCCTAGTCGCCAATACATTACAGTGAGAGTGAGTCTTGTATGCAAATAGAGTTGTACACAAACAATCATTGGGATTATTCTTACATTTCAGAGAGATTAAAAATGCTGATAGGGAAGGCACCGAACAGATTGAAATACCAGAAAATGTGATGAAACTAGAATTGCATTTGCAGACTCCTGCCAAACTTCACACTGAGAACAAACATAAAAAGTGTTTATTATCACAAGTGATCCAAGAAGCAGAGCAGATTGACAGTATTTCTAAACTTTCACAGTTTAAATTACAACATGATTTTCCATCGACACATTGTGTTACTAGAATCAGTTTGAAATCTAATGACCATATTGAGTCAGCGGAACCTGGAAGCAAGTCAAATTCCTGTGAGAATGGCAAATCTGTTGAAAATCAGAAAATTGAAAATATAATTAGCTCGCAACTAAAGCAAAATAATCAGCCAAACAGTTGCAATGATGAGAAATCTTTCCAAAGTGTTGAGGAACTTACAAGCTTTTTGAAGACATTGACACTGCATGACGTTGATCTGGTTCATTTATATGCTGAAGGAAAATCAATCACAGTGGCTGACCTGATCCTTTTCCCGTTTGTGTACCATTTATTGGTATGTTTTTTTTGGTTTTTTTTTAAATAAATATATGTTTGTAATTAATTGTATGTGTATATAATATACTCATAGCGGTCAAACCTCCCTCATTTTGACCATAATTTCCCAATCTCTCTTGAAACTCCCTCATTCAGGTCCAAACTCATACAAACTCAAAATCTACATTCTGTGGTCAAATGATCTCCTAGTAACTGCAAGGTGTGTAATGATCATAACAGGTGTGTCTGAATCAAATGAATGTTTTTTTGAAGTTATTTTGATGCATAAAAAGGGAAAGATAAATTGAGGGCAGTATTTTCAGTCATTGGGGGTTTCAGAGGTTGACTCCTATGTATACTGTACAGATGAAAATTTCACCATACGCCAACCAATTACCAAACCTAGCCCTACTTGAACAATTTTAAATGCTCATATCTACGTCAGTATAAATCTTAAATGAAAAGTTGAAGGAATTTTATAGAAATTAACAAAGAGTTTTCTTTTTGTCAGTATTGTTCTCATATCTAAAGGCCTAACAGTGGTAAAGTCAACCCCTGCCTTCTCCTAGTCAACAACACAGGGGCATGGATCGCTTTACTTGTAATATTAAAAAATTGGAGTCTCCTATACTAAAATATGCAAGTAAAGCGTACCATGCCCCTGTGGTCAACAACTCATTTCCATTCTTACCAACCTTGGTATACCATAGGGCTAGAAATTAATATTGAATACGACTTGTCAGTTGGGGCACGGAATTAGATTAGCTATCTAAGTCTGTGGTTGGGGTTAGTAGTTTTTCAATTTTTACTAGTCTATGTGCAAAGTTCATACTCCACTAACCCAATATTATTTGATAAGTAATATCAAGGTTTGACTTGTAGTATTAAGAACCAGTAGTCGAGCTGGAAATGTCACTAGTCTCAGACTAGCTAGCTTATAATTATTGTCTAGCCCTGATTCATATTCCAGTAACACATGTATGTGCTATATGATGGATTGATGGTGATGGAAGATATTTATTGTCTGAGAATTAGGACTTATTAGTACCCTTAATTCATTAAAGAAGGCAATTAAACCTGGGCATCGATTCAACAGATTTTCACATGTTCTTAGTGACATGTTACGTTGTTACATAAGGATTAACATTTTATTCCTTGTTGAAAATTTAAGGTGAAGTATGCGTTTCTTTGCAATTCTGAGTGAAACTGTCATGATTTCAATATTTCCGTGCAATTTCCCTTTTAAAACAAATAATGCTTTCCTGTTTTTAGGAGGTTTTGTCCTTTAATCTTCAATACCTCAATGGGCATGTGCCTCGAGTCATCTCCTGGGTCCGACACATGAGCACTTTGCCACGGATACAGGAATGTGCAAGGAATTGTGGGTACAACATGGCCGTTTTAGACTCCTCTGATGTTACAGCCGATTCTGGACAAGAGGAATTGAGTTTATGTTTTGTTACTCCTTCCCCAGAGCAAGAAAAACAGGAGGATGACTTGGAACTTAGGTAATTCAAGAGTTATGTAAAAATGTACTTTATTTCTTTTGAATATAACACAATTGCTAATTATTTAAAATAAAAATTCTTTCCTTAAAAAACACCACTGTAAATCCAGAAGTTATCCAGGAAGTACTTACAAGGAAGGATATATTAAGAACTTTGCATTGAATAAATTGAATTTCTGCTGTCAATTCTTCTGTAAGTACCCGTAAAAACTTAGGTGAAAACAGGAAGTTCTCCAGAGATCTCTATAGGAAGATTGGGCGAAAAACAGGAAGTCCTCATGAGATCTCTATAGGAAGATTGGGCGAAAAACAGGAAGTCCTCCAGAGATCTCTATAGGAAGATTGGGTGAAAAACAGGAAGTCCTCCAGAGATCTCTATAGGAAGATTGGGCGAATAGGGATTTTTTTAAAAGTCAGTATTTGTTACCAGTTAAGATTGTACTTCGTTTTACATTTCTGTCAAGTTTTTACTAGGATTTTTTTTTTTTTATGACAGTCGCAGATGTAGATCCAAGTCCCGGCCCATCAAACCAGAAGTAGCAAGTGCATTGGAAAAGGTCAAGGTAGGACAGAAAGTATCCCTCCCAGACTGCCGAAATATTAACTACCTTAGTGAAAAATTTCCACCGACAACCCATTCTGTGTAGACAGCACTTAATTATATATTGAGATTGAATTCAACATGCAACAAAAAAGGTTGTCTATAGAAAATCCTAGTTTTTACTTTATGCACAAATGTTGTATGCATTAAATGTGTCGCAACGTTTCAAGACCGACTGGTCCCTTTGTCAAGCTAATGACTGGTTGAGCAATTTGTATTGTTGATAGTGTTTATACCCCCCTTGTCGATAAGGGAAACTTCTCAGGTTGAGTGACATATGAAATATACAATTCATCACATCGTTGTACGGGTAAACAGTACAAATAGCTCACTCAGTCATAGGTTGAGAAAGGGACCAGTCAGTCTTGAAACGATGGGACATGATTTATGTGTACTTTGTTTGTGTAAAGAGTAACACTTGGATATTACATCTTCCAAAACTGATGAATCTTATTGGAGGTTGTCCATAGAGTTTTGTGATAATAAAACAACAGGACTGTATTTAGTAAGAGACCAGAGGGCCAAACTGTTTTGGTCTGAATGTTTTCATTAGATATCCAGTCTGGTATGTATGCATAAATAATTTGTGTCTTGTATGTTGTCATTCCTAGATTGCATCAATTTGATATGTAAACAGTTTATGATCGATTAATCTATTCATTGTCAATTTTTTGTAATTGGAAAATATTTAAGCATTATTTTTTTCGACTAGGAGAGCGACATCAGTGTGGAGCTAGGACAACACCCCTGTGGAATGGCGGTGGAGCTGGTGTGGGACAATATTCCTGAGGGGGTACACCCTGGTGCTGGTTAGTGTGTTACTGAATAATAAGTCCTGAGAGGGTACACCCTGATGATGGTTAGTGTGTTACTGTATAATAAGTCTTGAGGGGGTACACCCTGATGATGGTTAGTGTGTTACTGTATAATAAGTCCTGAGGGGGAACATCCTGGTGCTGGTTAGTGTGTTACTGTATAATAAGTCCTGAGGGGGTACACACTGGTGCTGGTTAGTGTGTTACTGTATTATAAGTCCTGAGGGGTTACACACTGGTGCTTGCTATGTGTGTTACTGTATAATAAGTCCTGAGGGGGTACACACTGATGATGGTTAGTGTGTTACTGTATAATAAGTCCTGAGGGGGTACACACTGGTGCTGGTTAGTGTGTTACTGTATAATAAGTCCTGAGGGGGTACACCCTGATGATGGTTAGTGTGTTACTGTATGATAAGTCTTGAGGGGGTACACACTGGTGCTGGTTAGTGTATAACTGTATAATAAGTCATGAGGGTAGAATAGAAGTAAACATCTGACGAAAGAGACATATTTTATATCATTATACTTTCATTGTTACTTTAGTAAACTCTACCTTGCATTGATCTGAGTGAGTCCATTAGGGCCCATAGTGGTGAAAGGGTTGAAAAAAAATTAGGAATAAATGTGGTCTTTTAGCAGGACATAGATATGATGAAGGCTAAATTTAGTTTCACAGCTCCAAGTTCATTATACATATACATACCTTGTATCTGCATGGGAATGTACTGGAATGAAGCTGATTGTAATTTAAGCTGTATATAACAAATTTTAATCTCACCTGGCCAAAGAAGCAAAGACTGGTGATTTTATGTGACGATGCTGGGTCTATTGTCAGCCCCTCTGTCCACATCAGATAATTACAAAGCACCAGCCTAATTCAGATTCAAAGTTCAAAGCAGGGTATGTCATGTGAAATAACATTTCCTTTTAATGACAAAAATAATTTAAGGGAACAAAACAAAATTTGTTAGAAAATGTTGTATTCTTTTCAAAATCTGGTACAGTGATGTCCGAGCCCTGTGATTTGTACCTGAAGCTTGACAAGTATTACGCTTGTTTAATGAACTCACTGTTCCAGACTTGTCAGATAGTATGATTTCTGTGATATATTCTTTATTCTTCATTCCAGACTAACCAATTCTTCATTCCAGACTTACCAATTCTTCATTCCAGACTTACCAATTTTTCATTCCAGACTTACCAATTCTTCATTCCAGCTTTACTAATTCTTCATTCCAGACTTACCAATTCTTCATTCCAGACTAACCAATTCCAGACTTACCAATTCTTCATTCCAGACTTACCAATTCTTTATGCCAGACTTACCGATTCTTCATTCCAGACTTACCAATTCTTCATTCCCAGACTTACCAATTCTTCATTCCAATTCTTCATTCCAGACTTACCAATTCTTCATTCCAGACTTACCAATTCTTTATTCCAGACTTACCGATTCTTCATTCCAGACTTACCAATTCTTCATTCCAGACTAACCAATTCCAGACTTACCAATTCTTCATTCCAGACTTACCAATTCTTCATTCCAGACTTACCAATTCTTTATTCCAGACTTACCAATTCTTCATTCCAGACTTACCAATTCTTCATTCCAGACTTACCAATTCTTTATTCCAGACTTACCAATTCTTTATTCCAGACTTACCAATTCTTCATTCCAGACTTACCAATTCTTTATTCCAGACTTACCAATTCTTTACTCCAGACTTACCAATTCTTTATTCCAGACTTACCAATTCTTCATTTCAGACTTACCAATTCTTTATTCCAGACTTACCAATTCTTTATTCCAGACTTACCAAAGAAGCGCCTAATGAGGAAATGTCAACAATTGGAGAATCTGGTGACCGCTGTCCAAGCTATGGCAAAACCAGGGGACATCATTGTTGACTTCTGTAGTGGAGGGGTCAGTAAGACTTGTCACATGACTACATTCTAAAAACTGATTGGTTAATATAATACTTTATACCAGGAAACCTTTGTCCTTCGCCCAATAAAATCAATTTTCACCCACTGTTAATTTCATGTAAATGTTAAAGGAAGAGACATGCTGAACTGTAAAAAATTTAATTCTCGTATGTGGAAGTGTTTGTGTGACATGTGATTCCTCAAACTGATCATCTTGTGGAAGCTTTAAAATTGGCAGCGGTTCTGAATGGATATGTCGCCCTTGTAAAAATACTAGTCGCTTCCTACCGACATTTGGTAGGGAGAAATTCTCTTTAGCTCATTTGGTATAGTGTAAGACAAGTAAGCCAGAGGTCTTAGTTCGACTCGGGGCGTAGGCATTAAAAAAATAATAACCTCTGTTACGTTTGTGCCCACGTAGGAACCCGGGTAATTTTGACAAATATACTCTGCGATGCTTTCACAAGAATCACTATGACCCCTGGAAAACACGGAACAAGTTCTTTCCTGGCGGGGGAGTTCATGTATGTAGCCCTGGTAAAGTACTAGCCACTTTCTTTAGCTCATTTGTAGGTTGTAACACTAGTAAGCCAGAGGTCCTGGGTTTGACTCCTAGCGAAGGCATTGAAAAAATAATGTCCCCTGTTACATATATAGTCTATAATTGAGTTATAATTGGATATTTTTGCATTTATTTCCTCCACACAGAAAACACAAACATTTCCACATGGCGATAATTTCCAGAGTTCCAGTTAATAGGATGTTCAGTTCCTACGCTACAGTTTGTATGTCAGTTGCATATGTTGAACTTCAGGATTAGCAAATTTCTTGTCTGTTTATGACAGGGCCACCTTGGATTAGTCATAGCCTATCTGATGCCAGATTGTCAGGTGAGTCATATTTTATCACATGATTGCCTGTTTAACCCTTTCACCACAGTAGACCATCATGGACTCATCCAGATGAATGTATGGTAGAGTCTACTCAAGTTACCTAGGAGAGAAAGGGTTAATTAAATAACTTTGTATATTAACTTCTCTGTGTCTGACATCATTTTCATGGTAAACAATGTTAAACACATTTCTGTCTTGTCCGGGATATAAGATTATATCATGGGAAAAAAGTCTCCTAAATATTATCCATTAAAATACTAGAAAATAGGGAAGGTAGATTTGTAATTAAAATCTTGTTCAGTTCACTTGTATATGATGAAAACATGGAATTGAATCTGTAAAAACTTGTCTAAACTTTGAGGAAGAGGGTCTCTGAAACCTATGTCTCCTATATAATGGTGGGATTCTAGATGTTTTGATACCTGGTAGTTTTGATTCTTTTTTTGTAAAGACAGAAATCGCTGAAGAATATTAATATACATAACCAGCACACTCATTTGAAAGATTAGTCAGCGGGCCGAAAATCTTACAAAATATGAAAACAAATTTTGGGAAGTACCAAAACGTTTTTTACAAGTTCTTAAACAACTGACTCCTAAAACGTCTGTACCCTTAAGCTTTATGTCAGAAAATGGAGGTAATCTCTTAAATCTGCCAACTTTATACTAGCCTATTGGGAAGAGAGACTCTAAAATGTTGTTCTTTATAAATTAGGCTTGGGAGAGGAAGTCTCTAAAATCTCATCCAGTATACTTTACTATGGAGACAAAGAGTCTTTTAAATTTTGTTTAGTTTATGAATACCATTGGGAAGGAAAATGTTGTTCATTATATTAGGTTATGGGAGAGGCAGTCTCTAATATCTCATCCAGTATACTTTACTATAGAGACAAAAGTCTCTGAAATCTTGTTAAGTTTACGAATACCATTGGGAAGGGTGACCTTAATTCTATATCCACTTGTCAATGGTAAGAATGGAGAAATACTGAAGACACTAACAGTATATTCTTTTTATCCATTAACATGTATAACACTAGTTTTCATTATCTGTAGATATATTTGGTCGAGAATAATGAGTCATCCTTAATGCGTGCCAAGAGTCGTGTGGACAAGGCCAGACTCACCAATGTTACCCTCTTCCAGGTGAGACTGAAAAATGCCTTGTTAGTGTGTGAGAGTGTTGAATCATTCACCCCTAAAGTTTCATTTGAACCCTGCCAAATCAAAGACTGGGCAAGTCCAGTTTAAGGGGTTTAAGTTAGGGGTGAATGAGTTAATGAGTGTGTGATCAGCTTTAACTTCATGTATTTGTCAGCTTTTCCTGCAGACAACTTCTTAAAAGTATTTGATAACGGATTTAAACACACGCTGGAACACATACAGCATATTTATTCATAGGGGTGTTTTCTACCTGATACTCAGTATTTATTTCCATTTTGTTACACAGTTTAGTACTATCAAAGATTATTGAAAGGAATTTGTATTTTCAGTTGGACATTCAAATTTTCAAAATTAAATTGATTGAAATGTTTTCTCAGTGTAACCAGGATTATTTCCGCGGGAGGTTTGACGTGGGGACCTGTCTGCATGCTTGTGGCTCAGCTACAGACATGGTTCTACACCAGTGTCTTCAGAACAATGCAAACTTTGTTATCTGCCCTTGTTGCTATGGTGGCATCCAAAACACACACTTGATGTCGTATCCCAGGAGTCAACGTTTCAAGACAGCCAACATTCCATCCAAGGTATACGTAGTTATTAGTATTAACCAGTTTCTAAGTAAATGAACGTTGTATGACACTTTTTTTTTTAAGATCTGTACCATGGGCGGATTGGTCGAGTGGTTAACACTCCGGCCTTCCAAGCAGGCGGCCGGGGTTCGATCCCCGAAGTCGCTATACGCATGGAATATTAGAGAAAGTGTTTTTCTCCTGCCCACACAACTCCAACAACCCAGGTGGAGTATAAAATGGTCTGGGGTGGGTGTTGCGGTATCTGTGCTGTAGCATTCAAGTGAGGTGGCACTATAAATGATACTGTTGGAAGCACGGTCCCACTACAAACAGAACACAAAACATCCCCAGCACACACACAGGCATACACACATACGGAGATATTAGCCAGGTGGCATAGGACTAGTAGTTAGCACCTGATAAGGCAGCTCCTGCGAATTCCTCAATATTGAATTGAGTTATATATATATGCTTATTGTATTGACTGTATAAAATTGTATATCTATGTACTGTGAAGCGCTTTAGAGTGGCTTATGTTAGCTAGATAGGGCGCTATATCAAATGTTGTATATTATTATTATTATTATTATTATCATCATGTAATTGTTTACAACAGTGGTAAAGTTATCATAATTTTTCAGATATTCTTAAGTTGATATTTTGTATGATAACGTAAGTTTGCGATGCCATAAAAATCAAGTCCTATTTTTTACTTGAATATGCCTAAATTGTTCAGTGTGACCCTTTAGATTTCTCCTAATTCCCACATCAGCAGCCCTTTGGATTTTAATTGAAAGTTTTTATTAAATTATCTAAGAATAAAGAGAATGATTATAACAAGTGTTGTGCATCTGCTGTACCAAAAACAATTGTTAGTTAAAGCATAGTTCTCTTCCATTTCATCAGGGCGTATGTTAGGTGTCTTCAGTGAAAAGTTTTTGACCTTAGTTAACATCTATTAGGAAGGGTACATGACCCTCACCTAAAGTTCAAAGGGTTACACATTTTGCTACTGAGGATATGATAATGAAACTTCAAAAATGTTCAAACTGGTACTGGCTGCGGGTAGGTAGTTTTTATCCCCGGGAACTCCGGCTTTCCTCCGCCACCAAAACCTGGCACTTCCTTAGATGTCCATAGCTGTTATAATAGGACGTTAAACACAAACAAACCAAATCAAACATGTTAACAAGGTTAATTACCATCTGGGCCATTTTCAGTTACAATTTGATGCTGAAACTCTTTAAGAAGAATTTGCCTGTCCATTTTACTTGAATGAAACTGGCAATCATATTATGTTTATATATTATATACCATTACTTTGTGTCTGACATGAGTTGCTTCCCTTTTCGTAAAATACCGGTAATAGGTGTGAATGGGTTACTTTCCTTTCATTATCAGCAAGGGTTGATACAAATTGGTTTTTGCTCATTTCAATTGATCATGGTTTGGTTGTTCACTTATTGACAATTAAGGAAATAAATCTTTTAAGTGAATGATCTGAACAAACCAGGTTCACCAGTCTCGGGTTCTATTATCTCAGGTACTCAACACAACTTTTAAACAAATGTTTGCTTCTTTACAGGATTTTATTGTGTTGGGTCATGCTGCAGATCAGACAGAATTTAACAGAGATCTCGAAGAACAAGGTATGTTAATAGTCGTAGATCTTACGAAGCAAACAATGTGTACTGTCCAAGATTTTGAGGAGTAACGGATGTTAACACACTAGATTATTTATTATGGCAAATGTTAAACTATGTGATGACAAGAAGGTGTATTTCATTTTGACTGGAAATTGTTACACTTGTGTTCCCTGAAGCTGAGGAAATATGAAACACTCGACTGCCATGCAATCCTATTATATCCACCAAAAAACTGTGTTACTTGTTAATAAGGGCCCCACATTGGAGATACTGGTGCCCTATAGTAATCACACTGTTCCTCTGTCTGTCCAAGATTATCTTTGATTCTGAAAGAATGAACTTTATGAAATTTGACATGTAGATACACTGAAATGTAGATGTGCAACAGGGATTTAAAAAGTTGTTAAGGTCAAGGTCACTGCTACTAAAAAAGGACCATGTGGGGTACAGTCCTTATCTCGGAATCCAAAAGTTTTTGAAATTTGACATGGTGATAATGTGGTCAAGGTTACTGTTACTAAAAATAGACGGGTCCTTGCTGACCTGTCAGTGTTTAGTGTTCAAGTCTTTTCCAAATTTACTCTTTGGAATAAAAAGCAAAGCATGAAGTCATGTTTGTTTTTGTTTTTGAACAAACAACAAGAAATGTTTCCCCGGACAGATATACACAGGCTGTGATAAAGGTTACATCACATTGATTAATCCATCAACAATGTAAATGTTGTTATTTCATCAAACTTATTGTAGCCGTGATTATCAGCTGGTCAATATTATCAGTCATAACCAAAGTTGTCTTCATGCCATAAATATGTCACCACGCATGTGTCAAATTGAAAATTCAATGCCAACTGTATAATTGAAAAAAAAAGTAAATAAAAAATTACTGTATTTTGAATAATTTTCAAAACTAACATCTTTATAGGCTCAGTGTATAATATTCACAAGTTTGAAATGTCTTTGTCTGTGGACTTAATCACAGTATACAAGATTCCTATGTTAGAGCTTATTCATATTTGTGAACTAAATACTGATCTATTTATAGTAAAATATCATTTAAAGGGATATAACTGTAATATTTCAAATTCTTTTTTGTTTGTTTAGGTAAATACTGTATGAACCTTGTGGATACAGACCGTGCATCACTAGCCAGAGAGAGTGGATATACCGTGGATTTGTGTTCTCTAATTCCTCCTTCATGTACACCCAAAAATAATATCCTCATCGGACGTCCTAATGTTTGTACTGCAGTCAAGTCCTAACACACCATCTTCATAGGACATACTCAAAGGACAATCTAATGAATCATCAATATAGGACATCTGAATGTGACATCTTCATAGGATACCCTAATATGACATCTTTGTAGTACACCCTGCAGTGGCACCTTTAAAGGACATTGTAATGTGGCATCTTCATAGGCCGTCCTAATGTGGCATCTTCAAATGGACATTCCTAATGTGGTATCTTAAAGGATGTCTTCATGTGGCATCTTTAGAAACATCATATATCTTTATATGCTGTTATAGTAAAACATTGCGTGATATCTTTTTTGTGTGTACTTGTCGCATGATCAGAGTAAGTTACCTTCATATGGCGTCCTAAAGTGACATTTTCATAGGAGCAGCTAGTGTGGCCCCTTCAGTGGACATGCTAAGATCAAGAACAAAATCCTTATCTAGGGGCTAGGAGATTCAGTCGCCTCAATCTACTCACGGAAAAGGTATTTGTGGAGATAGAGCAAAAACAACTTTCTTATCACCGGTCAGTTCCATTGAAATATTCTAATTTTACTGTGATATGAGACATTGTGTGCTAATAAATGCATGAAATTATTAAATTTTCTTTTTTTTGTATTTTCATTGGGACAAAGATAACAGAAATTTATGTTTGTTCATGTATTAATAATTTATTTCAATAAACGCAATACTTAAACCACATAGGTCATGTTGTCTACTCATTGGTCATTTACAGTACTAGAACTGAAAGCCACAGGTTAATACCCAATACTCCTACTTAGAACAATAGAAAAGGGGAATAACTCCTTAAAAAATAGTTTAAACTAAAAACAAACATGACAATCACTAAACTACCTAAAGTACCAATTAATTCAAGAAGATAAGTAGCAGGGATTTGGACAATAAATCAGAAAAGGAGAAAAATAGAAATAAACTGCAAACCCTCCTGTACCTTGGATACTGATTAGGGCTACATTCGCGTATCCGGGGTGAAACAGTACTTGTGGCGCAGAAATATTCCACGATAAACGAACGCACTTGGACCATTCTATAAGCAGAGCTAAAAATGCAGTTTTGGAGAGAGAAAAAACAGTGTATAAAGAATATCATGCCCTTTTATCCGTCCACTGAATTACATAACGTATCTTAAAAACTACATGTGGCTCGACATTGTTTTAGAAAGAAATAACGCAAACTAGCAATAGTCAGCATTTTAGTTTCGGTCAGGTACTTCTGGACCCCTCAATCTACACATGCCGAATTTCCCCAAGGTCAGCCTCGGTTCAGATTTGTGCCTGTCGTTTTCTTTACAGGTTCAACCGGATACGCGAATGTACCCAGGTGTCTTCATTCATTGCAGGGGGTACTTTCAGGTACAATGTATACTCAAGACCTATATGTATGTCATACAGTTGGAACTCTGTAATCCCAATGCTTGGGTTCACATAGAAAATCTTTAGCAATACATTCTTTTCAAATCATGACTAAAAGTTTGACTTTTGATACAAATTTTTGTATTCCTTTAATATTTCAATGGAGACAACATGACTGGAAATAAGCAAACTGATTCATGAAATGTTAATGCTTTTATATTTGAAATTTGAGGTTGTTTTCAGTTGTACATATTTTGTTGGTAAGATAAACATTACTTAACATCATTGTTAAAAAATAACAAACAAAAAGTATTCTTGTTTCCATTATCATCATTACTATGCTAGCATTATAGCATTGAATGTCATATTTTGTTTTAGTTGAACACATACATGTAGCGAGGGATTTATAATGTCAAGGACAAGTAAATCCTATATCTGTTGTCACTATTTCCTATTTATTGACAAAAAATATATCGCACAATAATTAACATATATGAAACTTAATCAAGAAATTATCAGAAACTGTCAAACAAGAATAATAATACATCATACTTGATAACAAAATTGTTTTTTTTTTTTTTTTTTTTAAAGCACCTACCCAGCCCTAATCATTGAATATAACTTAGGCCTGTAGTTATACATATTAGGACACAAGTGTTTGTAATCATTTTAAGATAAATATTCTGTTAGTGAAACTTTATAGAACTCTTCTAGTCTTCTATTATACTAGATCCAATATTATATTCACCAAAATAGAGAATTACATCAAACCTAGAAGAAGTATGAAAGACATGACATCAGCTGTAGGAGTAAAAACCGACACTGGTGAAGTCTCGTTAAATAATTATAACACATGTATCTAGTCATACATATGTGTGTGGTGTCATCGATGACAACATGTTCCAATGAGCAGCGTTGAAAAGGTGCCAAAGGAAATTTGGTATCTAGACGAATATTTGAAGTAAAATACTGGTAGAGAATTAATGATCAACATGAGAGAAAGGCATATTATGTAGTAGGACGCGTACAAGGCATAGTGATAAAGATAGTGTTGTTGCTGGGGCTCGAAACCGCAACCCTAGGCTCTCCAGCCTGATGCTTTACTGCTGAGCTAAAGGGAAATTCCCTACAGCTGAGGCTGGTAAGGGACCCTAATCAATGCACATCTTTTACATATTATATGTGCATGTAGACTTAAAAAGAAACCGACTAGAATAAAGTCAAAGTGAGTGGAGACTCATAAATATTAGACCACCCCATGATCACATATTTTCGTGGGTTTTTGAATTTCATTGATTTCTTGGGTAATCTTCATCCATGAATTCACATTTCCATGAAGTAATGATAAGTTTGACATAAAGCGATTCTCTGTTTGAGTGGGTACTCGTAATCAAATAATTTATGTACCCACTAAAAAGTAGTTTTTTCGGGCAACCATGAAGTTTGGGCCCTACAGGAATATCTGGTTCACAGTACACATAGTACAGTGTATGTAATAAAGAAATTTTTTTCTCTCCAAAAGCGATCAAGTATGACCTTTTGACCTTGACTTCTAACAACTGAAATCTTATCAGCCGTAAAACTTGATATTTCTAGAGGCTGCAGATATATAAACTTAATCTGTTCAGGGGTTCTTCGGATAGCTTCATCTGACATTTTAACCTTGACCGATACCTACGAAAATCTGATCAGGTAAATAACATGATGTTACTCTATTATTGTTGAGATATCTAAGGAGCGGTTCTTCAGAAACCTTGCACATGAGCACTTCGCTTCAGAAGCAGTAAAGTGTGACTTTTGACCCGTTATCCTGATTGATGACCTCAAAAACATAATCACTAATCAGGTGTAAAACTCCAAGTTGCCATACTATGAGGTAAATAAATAATGGGCGATCCAACACTCCTGATGTATAACATTGCGGTAGTGGCATGGGGTGGATCCGTGAGTGGATTCTGTAAAGTTCCTTACTAATAAAACATAATGGAGAAATAAAGGAATCTCAACACCACAAGGACGTTTTGTGTGATTTACTTGTCTACATGATTCGGCCGTTATGCGGTCCTGATGATGGCCGCATAGCGGCCGAACCATGTAGACAAGTAAATCCCACAAATCGTCCTTGTGGTGTTGCGATTCCTTTATTTCTCCAGTATGAGATAAATAGAAATTACATCTGTTGAAGGATTTATGAGAAATCCTGTACACAATATTTTTGCTATGGACGGATAGATGCATACACTGTCAAAGCATTAATATACCCCCTCAACCAAGTGGAGGTATAAAAGAAATTCTACGTAACAGTAGATGGTGAGAAACCCCATCCCCGCTTTCAGTTAAGAGAATATGCCTGGCTAGTGTAGAAACTACGGAAGAGTAGTATAAACAGGGGTACAGTCCAGCCACCACCTATCAGGTTGTCTCATTATCCAGCCTCCTTAATCCACCCACTGGCCACTAATACGGTCATCTCCTTATCCAGTCCCATTAATCCACCCACTGGCCACTAATATCGTCATCTCCTTATCCAGCCTCCTTAATCCACCCACTGGCCACTAATACGGTCATCTCCTTATCCAGCCCCCTTAATCCCCCCACTGGCCACTAATACGGTCATCTCCTTATCCAGCCCCCTTCATCCACCCACTGGCCACTAATACGGTCATCTCCTTATCCAGCCCCCTTAATCCCCCCACTGGCCACTAATACGGTCATCTCCTTATCCAGCCCCCTTAAGCCACCCACTGGCCACTAATACGGTCATCTCCTTATCCAGCCCCCTTAAGCCACCCACTGGCCACTAATACGGTCATCTCCTTATCCAGCCCCCTCAATCCACCCACTGGCCACTAATACCGTCATCTCCTTACCCTGCCTCCTTAATCCACCCACTGGCCTCTTATATGGTCATCTCTTTATCCAGCCTCCTTAATCCACCGACTGGCCACTAATACGGTCATCTCCTTATCCAGCCCCCTTAATCCACCCACTGGCCACTAATATGGTCATCTCACTATCAAGCCTCCTTAATCCACCCACTGGCCACTAATATGGTCATCTCCTTGTCCAGCCTCCTTAATCCACCCACTGGCCACTAATACGGTCATCTCCTTATCAAGCCTCCTTAATCCACCCACTGGCCACTAATATGGCCATCTCCTTGTCCAGCCTCCTTAATCCACCCCCTGGCCACTAATACGGTCATCTCCTTATCCAGCCTCCTTAATCCCCCCACTGGCCACTAATAGGGTCATCTCACTATCAAGCCTCCTTAATCCACCCTCTGGCCACTAATACGGTCATCCCCTTATCCAGCCCCCTCAATCCACCCACTGGCCACTAATACCGTCATCTCCTTACCCTGCCTCCTTAATCCACCCACTGGCCTCTTATATGGTCATCTCTTTATCCAGCCTCCTTAATCCACCGCCTGGCCACTAATACGGTCATCTCCTTACCCAGCCTCCTTAATCCCCCCACTGGCCGCTAATACGGTCATCTCCTTATCCAGCCTCCTTAATCCCCCCGCTGGCCGCTAATACGGTCATCTCCTTATCCAGCCTCCTTAATCCACCCACTGGCCGCTAATACGGTCATCTCCTTATCCAGCCTCCTTAATCCACCGACTGGCCACTAATACGGTCATCTCCTTATCCAGCCTCCTTAATCCCCCCACTGGCCACTAATAGGATCATTTCCTTACCAAGCCTCCTTAATCCACCCACTTGCCACTAATACGGTCATCTCACTATCAAGCCACTACTGATCCAACCTAGCCGCCATGAAACTGGTTGTCCCACTGTCCAGTTTTATTACTTCAGCCACCATTGGTCAAGTCATCTCACTATCTGGCACTGTTAATCCAGTCACCACTAAACCGGATGTCCCAAAATCCAGCTTTATAAATCTGGCAACCACTTATCTGGTTGCCCCACAATCCAGCCCTGTAGCATATAAACTTATAAACTTGATTTATTTTACAACAATTATGAAGCAAGTTTTTCAGCTTATATTAATCACTCCTGTTGGCCCAGATGTTAGCGCATGCAGGTTCTTAATGTGAGAAGAAACCAGAGTACCCGGAGAAAACCACGTGGTCAGGCAGGTGACCCCATTCCTTTTCACGTTCGATCGGAGAATCGAACCCCGGCCACCTTGGTGAAAGGCAAGTAATCTATCCACTGTGCCACCTGTAATTTGGATGTCCCACAATCCAATTTTGTTAATCTGGCCACCACTCATCTAGTTGTCTTACTATCCAACCTCATTAATCGTTGGATAACTTATCTGGATGTCCCACAATCCAGTCAGGGTTAAACTTTGTTTTTGACTTGAGTAAAATTATTTGTTTTGAAAATCAGGAGGTTTCCACAGAAAATTGGAAGTCAGAAACTTTTGTTTACATCCACAAGACTTCTGGACAGTCAGTAAAATTAAACTTGTCTGCATTTTTGGGAAATATTTTCACTTTTCCATTCAAAGCATCCTCGTAATCCCATTATCTTATATTCCCACCACTGTGGCTAGAAGTGAAGGCGTCTGCATTGATCACATTCCACTTAATACATTATCTTATATTCCCACCACTGTGGCTAGAAGTGAAGGCGTCTGCATTGATCACATTCCACTTAATACATTATCTTATATTCCCACCACTGTGGCTAGAAGTGAAGGCGTCTGCATTGATCACATTCCACTTAATACATTATCTTATATTCCCACCACTGTGGCTAGAAGTGAAGGCGTCTGCATTGATCACATTCCACTTAATACATTATCTTATATTCCCACCACTGTGGCTAGAAGTGAAGGCGTCTGCATTGATCACATTCCACTTAATACATTATCTTATATTCCCACCACTGTGGCTAGAAGTGAAGGCGTCTGCATTGATCACATTCCACTTAATACATTATCTTATATTCCCACCACTGTGGCTAGAAGTGAAGGCGTCTGCATTGATCACATTCCACTTAATACATTATCTTATAATCCCACCACTGTGGCTAGAAGTGAAGGCGTCTGCATTGACCACATTCCACTTAATACATTATCTATTAATCTGTCCTTGTCAAAAACAAATTGCTGTAAAATCTCAGTCCTTCCACAGTCTCGTCTCGACAAACTCCACCAACTTTCTCTGTCAGCAATAACCTTGAACAAATGAAGAGGAATCCCTGTTTATTGATAATCAGAACATAGACAAAGATACTGCACACCCGAATACTTTCTCCTAGTCAAACTCTGCCATTTCACCAGAATAATCCTTAATTGCTAAGTGTTAATAAACCCATCACATTTGATTACTGTGTATATTATGATGTTTACTACTATTCGCTGTAATGATAAATTCATTCTCATTACGGCGGACGAAAAAGACCAAATTCAACTGCAGTGAACATTTCCCAGTATACAGAATTAGTCTGTAAATCAGATCTTCATTTCATCTACATTGAATTGTTGATGTTATGATATTTATGAATAATTTCATTCTGTTAATGGGGACAGGTAATCAATAAGCAATTAAAAAGTTGCAAAAAGTTAATTGCTTCATTAAAACTGATGCACGATGTGGCACAACATTGAAATAAAGTCGAAACTCTTAGAAGTCAACACAGACGAACTGACACTGTGTGATGGGTTATTAAATGCAGATTTTGATGGAAACACTAGTTTCTTTGTGCGTTTCTTTATCCGTTTCTTAACGCGAGTGAAATATGAGCCAGTCAGATCACTACATACCTTTCTTTAGCCAATATCACAGACACCCCTTGTAGCTGAGCCAACTCATCAGCAGTCAGCGACGTTTTCTCTTTAACCTGCAAAATGGTATACCATATATAATTCTAGACTTTTTAAGTACAACATTATATTTTACATTTTGTAAGTACAGTGAAGTACAAGGCCAAACATAATGAAGCAAGTTTAATTTTTTTTTATAAGATTTATTTGAACATCTCTGCAGTGTGATTTCTATATCTCTAAAACTCAAGCAGGGTGAGTTAAATATGATTACTGTAAAAAATCTCGATCAACCTAGGTTGGGTGAATATCCCCAGAGGTCAAGGTTGCCCAAAATGAGTGAAATATGACAACTTTAAAACTTGTGGTCAACCAGGCTGAGTGAAATAAGATGGTTCTAGTATTTGTCGCTGACAACTAGAACTCGCAGCCAACTGGGCGAGTGAGATATATAGGAAAACCCAAGAACTCACGTCAACAGGGCAAATGAGATATATAGGAAAACCCTAGAACTAACGTCAACAGGGCAAGTGACATAGGAAAACCCTAGAACTCACGTCAACAGGGTAAGTGACATAGGAAAACCCTAGAACTCGGGTCAACAGGGCAAAAGACATATGAAAACCCTAGAACTCACCGTCAACAAGGCAAGTGACATATAAAACCCTAGAACTCACGTCAACAGGGCAAGTGACATGAAAACCCTAGAACTCATGTCAACAGGGCAAGTGACATGAAAACCCTAGAACTCACGTCAACAGGGCAAAAGACATATGAAAACCCTAGAACTCACCGTCAACAGGGCAAGTGACATAGGAAAACACTAGAACTCACCGTCAACAAGGCAAGGGACATAGGAAAACACTAGAACTCACTGTCAACAGGGCAGTGAGATATGAAAACCCTAGAACTCATGGCAACAGGGCAAGTGACATAGTAAAACACTAGAACTCATGACAACAGGGCAAGTGACATATAAAACCCTAGAACTCCCTCTCAACAGGGCAAGTGAGATAGAAAATCCCTAAAACTTACTGTCCACAAGTCCTATGATGATAACTTACCAGATCAGTCGTAATAGGAAAACACTAGAAATCATGTCAACAGGGCAGTGAGATATGGAAACACTAGAACTCATGACAACAGGGCAAGTGACAGATAAAACCCTAGAACTCACGTCAACAGGGCAAAAGACATATAAAAACCCTAGAACTCACCGTCAACAGGGCAAGTGACATAGGAAAACACTAGAACTCACCGTCAACAAGGCAAGTGACATAGGAAAACACTAGAACTCACTGTCAACAGGGCAAGTGACATATGAAAACCCTAGAACTCACCGTCAACAGGGCAAGTGACATATAAACCCCTAGAACTCATGTCAACAGGACAAGTGACATATAAAACCCTAGAATTCATGTCAACAAGGCAAGTGACATATGAAACCCTAGAATTCATGTCAACAAGGCGAGTGACATATGAAAACCTAAGAACTCACGGTCAACAGAGCAAGGGACATATAAAACCCTAGAACTCACATCAACAGGGCAAGTGACATATGAAGACCTAAGAACTCACCGTCAACAGGGCAAGTGACATAAGAAAACCTAAGAACTCACCGTCAATAGAGCAAGTGACATATAAAACCCTAGAACTCATGTCAACAAGGCAAGTGACATATAAAACCCTAGAATTCATGTCAACAGGGCAAGTGACATATGAAAACCTAAGAACTCACCGTCAACAGAGCAAGTGACATATAAAACCCTAGATCTCACATCAACAGGGCAAGTGACATATGAAAACCCTAGAACTAATAATACGTCAACAGGGCAAGTGACATATGAAAACACTAGAACTGGCGTCAACAGGGCAAGTGACATATGAAAACCCTAGAACTCACGTCAGCAGGGCAAGTGACATATGAAAACCCTAGAACTCACCGTCAACAGAGCAAGTGACATATAAAACCCTAGAACTCACATCAACAGGGCAAGTGACATATGAAAACCCTAGAACTAATAATACGTCAACAGGGCAAGTGACATATGAAAACCCTAGAACTCACCGTCAACAGAGCAAGTGACATATAAAATGCTAGAACTCACGTCAACAGGGCAAGTGACATATGAAAACCCTAGAACTCACCGTCAACAGGGCAAGTGACATATGAAAACCCTAGAACTCACGTCAACAGGGCAAGTGACATAGGAAAACACTAGAACTCACTGTCAACAGGGCAGTGAGATATGAAAACCCTAGAACTCACGTCAACAGGGCAAGTGACATATAAAACCCTAGAACTCATATCAACAGGGCAAGTGACATATAAAACCCTAGAACTCACATTAACAGGGCAAGTGAGATAGGAAAACCCTAGAACTCACTGTCAACAGGGCAAGTGACATATGAAAACCCTAGAACTCACATCAACAGGGCAAGTGAGATATAAAAACCCTAGAACTCACATCAACAGGGCGAGTGAGACATGAAATCCGTAGAACTAACGGTCAGTACGGCAAGTGAGATATAAAATCCCTATAACTTACTGTCCACAAGTCCTATGATGATAACTTACCAGATCAGTCGTATCACTTATCACTCTTTCCTCATCATGTGATTGTAGCTGTAAAACTATCACCCCACTGTCAAACATCTTCATTCTGAAACAAAAAAATTACAAGTTTATCCTCTTTAGTCAGTTAAATAATTAGCAAGGATAGAAGACCACTTACACTCTGAATACTAACATTGACAGTGGACGTATTGTAGTAAGTAAAGATAGTAATTGTCCCTCTACTCTTGGCACAAACTATGACAATTATAACCCTCTTTAGTCAGGATACCAGCCATATAGACTATGGACCCTCTACTCTAGGCACAAACTATGACAGTTATAACCCTCTTTAGTCAGCATACCAGCCATATAGACTATGGACCCTCTCCTCTTGGCACAAACTATGACAGTTATAACCCCCTTTAGTCAGTATACCAGCCATATAGACTATGGACCCTCTCCTCTTGGCACAAACTATGACAGTTATAACCCTCTTTAGTCAGGATACTAGCCATATAGACTATGGACCCTCTACTCTAGGCACAAACTATGACAGTTATAACCCTCTTTAGTCAGGATACCAGCCATATAGACTATGGACCCTCTACTCTTGGCACAAAATATGACAGTTATAACCCACTTTAGTCAGGATACCAGCCGTATAGACTATGGACCCCTTACTCTTGGCACAAACTATGACAGTTATAGCCCTCTTTAGTCAGGATACTAGCATAGACTATGGACCCCTTACTCTTGGCACAAACTATGACAGTTATAACCCTCTTTAGTCAGGATACTAGCATAGACTATGGGCCTTCTACTCTTGGCACAAACTATGACAGTTATAACCCTCTTTAGTCAGGATACTAGCATAGACTATGGACCCTCAACACTGGGCACAAACTATGACAGTTATAGCCCTCTTTGGTCAGGATACTAGCATATACTATGGACCCTCCACTCTTGGCACAAACTATGACAGTTATAGCCCTCTTTAGTCAGGATACTAGCATATACTATGGACCCTCCACTCTTGGCACAAACTATGACAGTTATAACCCTCTTTAGTCAGGATACTAGCATAGACTATAGACCCTCAACTCTGGGCACAAACTATGACAGTTATAACCCTCTTTAGTCAGGATACTAGCACAGACTATGGACCCTCAACTCTGGGCACAAACTTTGACAATATTAACCGTCTATAGTCAGGACATTGGCACTGACTTAACTTCCTTCAGTCAGGATATAGGTACTGACATGAGCCTCTTTATTCTCATGACACAAATTTAACAAACCAGAAGCTTCCCTTTGAGATGGAGGATATTAATTAACCCTTCAACCACTGTAGCCCATAATGGACTCATCTAGATCAAAGCATGGTAGAGTCTACTAAAGTTACATAAGGTTGAAAGGGTTAAATGGTTTCCTGTTGAATACCATATGTATTTGTGAGAAATGGTGTTTTTTTGGCAAAAACAGATTCTTCCATTGAAAGGCGAACATATGACTTGGCAAAAATTTCCTGTTATACAGTATTACTGCATCAAACAAGAGGCCCATGGGCCTTAATGGTCACCTGATATATTTATACAGAGAGTCGATTTTGTTTTTAACATGTACGGAAATATTATTTAAAGTGACAAAAAACAATAAAACCACCTTATTCAATATCTAGCATACAGATTTAAGACTAAAAAGTATTTGAAACTAGCACCTCTGATTCTAAACAAGGAAACTGAAGAAATTTGAGCAAACTGACTCCTTTGGGCCCCACCCTACAGCCCTTGGGGGTAGAGCTGGCTCAAAATTTTCAAAGTATCAAACTGTCAACTCAAGGTTATAATTCCAATCAAGTTATTAACATGTAATATTCAAAGTATCATTTGCCATTATAAATCATAATAAATTTTGCCCCCTCCCCAGGGGTAAACGTGATACCCAAGGGTCATGAAATTCACAATTTTGGTAAAGCACCTTAATACCCTTCCATCTATTAAGAGTATTTGATTCTACCATATCTTGGTCTTGAGAAGAAGTTTTTTGAAATTTCAGTCAATTAGACCCTTTTTTGCCCCACCCATCAGCCCCAGGGGGTCAGTTAGGGCTGATAAGTGCATACTATCAAACTGCTACCTAATACTGATAATGCCAACCTAAATTGAATTACTTCCAATAGAAATTAAACAAATGTTGGTCCAAAATGTGATTTCCCTATATAAACTAAAGTAAAGGTTACCCCCTCGCCAGGGGGAAACGTGATTCCCCAGGGTCATGAAATTCACTATTTTGGTAAAGCACCTTAAAACCCTTCCATCTATTAAGAGTATTTGATTCTACCATCTCTTGGTCTTGAGAAGAAGTTTTTTGAAATTTCAGTCAATTAGCCCCTTTTTTGCCCCACCCACCAGCCCCAGGGGGTCAGTTAGGGCTGATAAGTGCATACTATCAAACTGCTACCTAATACTGATAATGCCAACCTAAATTGAATTACTTCCAATAGAAATTAAACAAATGTTGGTCCAAAATGTGATTTCCCTATATAAACTAAAGTAAAGGTTACCCCCTCGCCAGGGGGAAACGTGATACCGCAGGGTCATGAAATTCACTATTTTGGTAAAGCACCTGAAGACCCTTCCATCTATGAAGAGTATTTGATTCTCCCATATCTGGGTCTTGAGAAGATTTTTTTTGAAATTTTAGTCAATTTGAGCCTTTCTGGCCCTGCCCCTCAGGCCCCTGGGGGCTTGGGACTAAACCGGCCATTATTTTTTAGTAGACCTATGTCCATGGAAGGTTCCTGCAAAATTTCATTGAAATTGGTTCAGGGGTTTTGGAGAAGAAGTCGAAAATGTAAATTGTTTACGGACGCACGACGACGGACAAAAGGCGTTCGCAATAGGTCACTTGAGACTTTGTCTCAGGTGACCTAAAAAGTTGGGGAATTAATAGTCTGTGTGATGTCTAATGACGTCATAATGCCACATGTCCAATGACATCACGCTTGGCGAGAAGGGTGCATGGCATTTTGAATGAGTTACTTAACGCAATTCTTCTGCATTGTGGTCTTATCAGCTATATGAAGATTAACAGAAATGTAAATAATGCTTACCTCACAGGTAACCTAAGTGACTCCAACAATTCACAAGCATGTAACATATCCTCTGGTGAAAGCAACTGTAGGGACAAAAAAGAAGTATAATGTTATTCTCAAATATATATCACATGGACAAACAAGTCATCAACATCAAATTGGTAGAAGCACTAGAAATTTGGCTTGAAAATTGTAAAAGCACTTGATATTGGGCTTAAAATGTGTAGAAGCACTTGAAATTGTGCTTGAAATGTGTAGAAGCACTTGAAATTGGGTTTAAAATCTGTAGAAGCACTTGAAATTGTGCTTGAAATGTGTATAAGCACTTGAAATTGGGCTTGAAATGTGTAGAAGCACTTGAAATTGGGTTTAAAATCTATAGAAGCACTTGAAATTGGGCTTGAAATGTGTAGAAGCACTTGAAATTTGGCTTGGCGAACATGTAAAATAAAATATATGACTCTAATATTAAAGCTTAACTTTATACACAACCCTGTCAAACCATGTATGTATTAAAAGTATTGCAACATAATAGCATGACAAAAGGGACCAGTTGGTCTTGAAACTTTGTGACACATTTAATATGTTCATTGTTTGTCTAGTCAAACTTTGATATGACATATTTCCATCAAACTGATGAATCTTATTGAAGATACATACGACTCTAGTACATATATCTCATAAATGATATCTTCAGATTCATAGGTTTTATCACAATCAAATTGCTGGATAAGTGACTCCGATCGTAAAAAAGTTATAATAAAAAAAACCAAGACAAGGTCTTGTGAGCAATCCAATACACAAAGTTGGAATTGAAAATTACTGTAAGAAAATACTTACTAACATATTTTATGAAAACCTTATGTATATCAGAGCTTCACACTGTTGAAGGATAAACAAATTTAGCAAGCATCATAGTGAAGCCTACCTCCATTCCCCTGGCTCTGTTAACACGGCAGTACACATCAGTTAAAGTCATGATACCTCCACATTCCTGTCAGAGTGGACACAAAAAGCAACAGAGTTATTGTAAGGGGAGATAATCACACATAACTGTCACATAATACAAATGTACATGTTATTTCTTTGTTGCCTTTGAAAACTGTTTGTAGGATATGTGTGAATACCCGAGATAATTTTAATAATATCTACAATTTAATCTCTAGCACCTTTGACTACAGTTTGTAACACCTGTATATTTACCTGAAGTTGTTTCTCTAAGACCTTTGACAACTGTTTGTGACAACGGTATATTTACATGAAGTTTTTTCTCTAAGACCTTTGACAACTGTTTGTGACAATGGTATATTTACCTGAAGTTGTTTCTCTAAGACCTTTGACAACAGTTTGTGACAACTGTATATTTACCTGAAGTTGTTTCTCTAAGACCTTTGACAACTGTTTGTAACACCTGTATATTTACCTGAAGTTGTTTGACAACAGTTTGTAACACCTGTATATTTACCTGAAGTTGTTTCTCTAAGACCTTTGACAACTGTTTAGCCAGCTCTGAGTAGTATTTGTCACCAGTTCCGTGCGTTTCCCTGGTTACAGGGTCCGGTATACCCATACTGAGTAAATAGGACTTAAACTTCACTGTCTGTAAGATAAAAAACATGGCAAATTTCATTCACAATGTTACAGAACTGTAAAACATCAGGATATAGACTGGTCGGTTAATCAATATTTATACATGGTAAATGTCCTGTACGAGGACAAGTTAGTCCAGGCCACTGAAATACAGGAAAACCTTGTCATACCGCCACCTTGTGTCTAGAGAAATGTTGGTGTTATAAAAGGATTCAACAATAAATTTAGATAAACATATAAAGGATTTGTTTTAAAAAAAACAGACAAAATGGGACCTTGATAAACATTGGCAGCAAGCGAGGTGGTGGCAAATTAAACAAGGGCCATTATTTTGAGGGTTTATCGTACATAAATTTCCTTATAAATCTTAGGGACATTCTCAATTGTTGTTTTCGGCATCATTTTAATAATTCAAATTCCTTAAACCCTTATTACAAAAGTAAAACATTAATGTTCAGAAATCACTTCATGGGTTGTTTGGATGAATTAAAGAAACACAAACTCTGGAACATTTAAGTGGAAATGTGAAATTTAAGAATATTTCAACTTAAAGAACTTTTTAAGAGTTCAGAAATTATGTGATACCAGTGGCAAGGTCGTACGGAACAAGAAACCTCCGTAAGAACCTTGCCCATTCGGCTTAACAAAAGTATTTAAATCGAAAATCCAAAAATTGTTGACATCAGACACCATATCGTGCCTAACGTGAAGGACTGACTAAATAACTCACCTCATCTTCCGATATTTCTCCTTGTCTGTCTTTTATCTTTGCTGCTATTGTTTTTGATAAATTAACCATTTCCTTTGCCTATGTGAAAAAGAGGAAGTATACATATTAATGTTATCAAATGTATTCTAGATTGAAAGACTGTGTAACTTGGTTTTTGATCTCTGAATCATTGAAACACGTAGTAACATGTGACCTTCTTTGTAAGGACACATGGATTTCAAGAAAAAGTATAAAAAAAATCATAACTTAATATTATTTCGTTTTTTTACCTATTGAGCTAAGTGTCATAAGAAACAACGTGGACCAGATAGCTTTAATCTAAGCAGCATTTGTACGGCCAGATAGACTCTTTCGTGTTCAGGGGGTGTATCATAAATAAATAAATAAATATACAGCATTTGATATACCGCGCTGTCTAGCTAACATAAGCCACTCTAAAGTGTTTACAGTACATATATATACAATTTTATACAGTCAAATATATATTAATCAATACAATATTGAGGAATTTGCAGGAGCTGCCTTATCAGGCACTAACTACTAGTCCTATGCCACCTGGCTAATATCTCCCTATGTGTGTATGCCTGTGTGTGTGCTGGAGATGTGTCGTGTTCTGTTTGTAGTGGGACCGTGCTTCCAACGGCATCATTTATAGTGCCACCTCACTTGAATGCTACAGCACAGATACCACAACATTCACCCAAGACCAATTTATACTCCACCTGGGTTGTTGGAGTTGTGTGGGCAAAGGAAAAACTCTTTTTCTGAATATTCCATGCGTACGGCAACTTCGGGGATCGAATCCCGGCCACCTGCTTCAGGGCCGGAGTGTTAACCACTCGACCAATCCGCCCAATCATACACTCCCAAGCATGGAAGAGTATTCTTCACTTATATTCTAATTAACCACTGTGACAATAAACAGAAACTATGAAAATGCATTTTGACAGTTCTTTTTTAAAATATATGTATAAACATTTCCAAAAACAAATTATGAAGTGAGATTTAGATAATGCTGAAAAAATTATTTCATAAGCTTTTTTCTTGAATTTTCCTTACACTACCTCACCTTTTCCATTAGTTTGCTGAGATCCTCAAAAGCTTTAGAAATATCTTTGTCTGTGTCTTTCTGTTTTTGTTTCAATGATCGCTCAATACCCATAATCCCGGCCCGATGCCGCCCACCCTGTAACAAATTAAACATTTTCAGTAAATTTACAACAAACTTAAAATAAGCTTAAAATGACATTTCAGGTGCTATTTTTAATAACAAATTCATAACAGGGGTAATAACAAATTCAACATGGTTAAATATTGAATGAATTCCGTTATTTCTACAGGTAAACACTTAATACCTTAAAAATGGAAATTCTCATGTGGAAATGTCTTCATAATCTATACCCTGGTATATGTAAAGATTGAAAGGCATGTTTCTCAATTTCATAACAGCATGAACATTGAAAAACTGTTGTTCATTCCATATACTTACATCGTGAATGTTTAGTTATTATTGACCTAAATATAGACATTCCCTTATATTGAAGTGTCTGTCGTCAGTGAAAACCTAGAAACAGTCGAATGTCACCAAAATGTTTGCTTCTAACAGTTGTCCCATGCTATTTGAGGCAGGAGGAGAAGCTTCAAAATGGCACTGATCAAATTGTGTTCATAGCTCTGGTAATGCTTAATATTGAGAAAGTTGCGATGGAAATGTTAATACATTAAAATGTAGATATTTGCTTGCTTATTTACTCAACACCAGCATTGCAACTTTTACAGTACCTATATACAGTGTATGAGAATCTGAAAATGCCATCTGATATTGTCTATATATCTGATGTTGTCAATTTTACAGTTATCTTTAATCACCTTTCATGAAATCAAAATACATTCTGCCGTCACCAAAACTATTTAAACGTTTTATGGAGTCCTATGAGGTTTATTAAATACCAAGAGACATTCCTTGCTCATGGTCATCAGAAATCATCGATCCTTTCTCTTTCCACAATAACTCAGGTTTAGACCTTTCTGGCTCGTCAGAAAATCTAAAATGGTTTTTGATTGCACAAAAGCAGGTCATTGAATGTGTATAAGCACTTTCCATGGGCAAATCTAGAACTAGTTTGGAAGCAAAAGTGTCAACATTTGTCTACCGATAAATCGTCCCTTGTTACTTAAATTCCTGTCTTATACAGACAAAATTGAAATTTCAATGGGTCAGTGAAAAGTTAAATATTTGATCCAAGAACAAAATACAAGCAAGATGTTCGGGATAATACTAGTCAGTAACTGAAAATACCTGTGGACCAGGGGTTGCAAAAGGTAAGGGATAATACTAGTCAGTAACTGAGAGTACCTGTGGTCCAGGGGTTGCAAAAGGTAAGGGATAATACTAGTCAGTAACTGAAAATACCTGTGGTCAAAGGGTTGCAAAAGGTAAGGGATAATACTAGTCAGTAACTGAAAATACCTGTGGACCAGAGGTTGCAAAAGGTTAAAGATAATAGTAGTCAGTAACTGAAAATACCTGTGGTCCAGGGGTTGCTGTTGGTAGACTTTGTTCCCATAGCCTTTTTTGTAACTGCTCAGAAAATGCCTGATTAAACTGTAAATAACAAAGTTGTTAAAATCCTTCTATTGAAAACAAATTTCAAGATGTTTGTAATATTAATGGTGATATGAATCAAGCAAACTGTTATCAGTAGCGACAAAATCTGATGTAGTACATTAGAGAGACAACCTGATGTGCAATAACCGAATAAGACCATGTGATGTATGTAAGGGAGACAATCTGAAGTATGTAAGGAAAACAAGCTGATGTGTATAAAATAATCTGATATATTTGTAAGGAAAGACAATCTGATGCATGTAAGGAAGACAATCTAAAGTGTATAAAATTATGTGATATTATATAATGTAAGGGAGACACCCTTAATAGATAAGGGAGACAAGCTGAAGTGTATAAAATAATCTGATGTATGTATAAGGTAGACACCTTAAATATATAAGGGAGACAATCTGATGCATGTAAGGGAGACAATCTGAAGTGTATAAAATGATGTGATATTTGTAAGGGAGACAATCTTAAATATTAAGGAGACAATCTGATGCGTGTAACAGTGTTGGGAATCGGATCAGATATCATAATCGATTATCGGAAGACTTGTCATGAACATTAATCGATTATAATCGGAATATCAAAACTTTGGTAAATATATTGTGTAGTGTATAGAAAAATACGAAACTACAGTATGCGGCTATCTTTACCTAATAGTAAGAGTACATACTTCTGGCCTTAACATACATGCCATAACTTCCCAGTGCAAAGCAGTGAGATCAGTGAATTTTTTAAGTGAGATTTGGTAAAAAATATGGATTTTTTCTCTGAATTAAGTGAGAAAATTATGAGATATTTAAAACAAATCATACGGCATATTACATAGTATTATCTCATGTGTGTTAATCTGAAGCCTCTTTTGGAACCAAAATTGGAGATTTATTGGTATTTTAAAGAATTTTAGGATGAGATTTACATGTGGATACAGTTCGGATATAGTAATATTTAAAGTAAACATCTACTACTCCCATATTGTTTTATATCCAATTGTGAAAAAATTTGCTGTCTTGTGTTAATGTTATTTTTATTAACACTCAGTCCCATCCTGACAATGAGAGAATTAATTTTGGATTCAATGTCAGTGTCGGTTTTGATTTTATAGTCTCGCTTACATTTCTGTTTTGTGAAGCCATGTTTTCGATTGTAGGCTAATTAAGCTCTTATGTGGCTATTTAATGTTTATACCAACTGTCATCAGATATAAATTAGCAACTAGCCCTCACTGGACAGGGGATCTCTGATTTAATTGCTTAACAGTTCACACATCAGTGAGTAGTACAGCAAGCCATTCGCCGCGAAATTGGCACGCCATTCACAACATTCACACCTAAGCCATGCTGCTAATTGGCATGGCCTGTAATTTAAGTGGCTAGTCCGAGATTTTAGACCAAACTTTGTTTCATTTTGTGAGACCGGTTGAAAATTCATGAGAAATGTGCCTACATCCGATGCTTCAAACAACACCCTGGTCAAAGAATAAACTTTAGATACATTGTAGTTTTAAGGAAATTTAGCATATTTACGTATGCAGTTTTCGATTTTTCAATTATTAGAGATTGTAATTGAGTGCTTACTTTTTCACCAATAGCGATCAACTTTTGACTCCTTTCGATTATCAAAACACCACTACCGAAGAATATATAATAATTTGATACACGTGTAAGGGAGACAATCTTAAATGTATAAGGGAGATAATCTGAAGTGTATATAATAAGTATTCTGATATATGTGTAAGGGAGACAATCTTAAATGTATAAGGGAGACAATCTGAAGTGTATATAACTAATAATCTGATATATGTGTAAGGGAGACAATCTTAACTGCATAAGGGAGACAATCTGAAGTGTATATAACTAATAATCTGATATATGTGTAAGGGAGACAATCTTAAATGTATAAGGGAGACAATCTGATGCCTGTAGGGGAGACAATCTAATGTGTATGAAATCTGCCGTAATAATGACTTTGAACTAATTACAATGACTCTACATAGAGTACACTGATGACTTTTAAGCAGTGGCCTTAACTTTACCTCTCTTTCACCTGCATCCCTGAAGGAGAGTCTGATGAAATGGTTGGCACTGTGAGAGACAGGTCCAGGTTTTTTTTGACTTGGCACAGCATTTAGGTGAACAACTATTTTGGCACTGGCAGGAAAGAATGATTATCATGATTAAAATTCTCATTGTAAAGTACAACTAAACTGTACCTGGTACTCATTTTTCAGTTCATCATTACCAGATTATCAATATATACAATTTTGTATACATAAATATAAAGACTACAGTGTAAGGATTCAGATCAATTATGTTTTAATTCAAAGAAGCCAGTAAAGGAATGTTAAGAAAACCTTTTAGCGAATCCTGATGGTTGTTCTTCCAGAAACACCACGAGTGAGAGGTGTAATACCAAAATACGGGACTGCAATGGAAATAAATAAAGTACAGAGACACATTTTCATAAGAAATAAGAAATTCAATATCTACAATTTCAGAAAGATTTCATTCCTTATGAAAAGGTTCAGTTAATTTAGAGTTTTTCTGTGTTGACCATGATGTATTAACATATATAAACCAATACTTGTATCAGTAAAATACTGGTACATGAATAATATTTATTTTACTGATTTTATATATAAAAAAAAGATTTTTTTTAAACTGGAGCTTAAACCATTTTTGGTGCCATCCAATCCAATGAAACTACATGTATGCCACTAGTTACCATTACCGAAATATGCAAACCTCTTAAAAGAGAATTCTACTGATATTTAGTGTGTTCAACTTTGACTATATCCTAATTTTCTACAAAAATGGTTCTTAGGATATTGTTGTTTGAAATTTTTAACATATTTGACCCCTGTGACCTTCAATGCAGGTCTAGGTCTTTTTAATGAGGAAAGTTTATAGCACCACATCCCAGGTACTTACTGGCCAAATATCATGACCCTGGGCTTTATGGAACTTGAGAAGAAGACTGTTAAAGCTTTTAACCAAAGTTGACATTTGACCCCCAAACTAGCACATAAAGTTGACCTTTGACCTCATAAGTGTAACTGAAAAAAGTACTTTCACTGCTGGTTTACATAAAATACCCAAGTATCCTAACTCTAGTTCAAATGGTTCTTAGGATATTGTTGTTTGAAATGTTTAACATATTTAACCGCTGTGACCTTGAAAGTAGGTCAAGGTCATTTTGATGAGGAAACTTTATAGCACCACATCCCAGGTACCTACTGACCAAATATCATGACCCTAGGTCCTACAGTTCTTCAGAAGAAGTCGTTCAAAAGAAAAAGTTGACGGACGGACGACGGACTACGGACGACGCAGTACGGCCAGGTGAGCTAAAAACTGAATTGATTTAAAGCTAGTATATAGTATACATTGCAAATCCCAGTACAACTGTCAATTTATTTACACAATACTCAGAATAAGTGCAATCACTGCTTTAGTATCTAATAATTCAAATAAATACAAACAGAATACAAATATACTTACTCTGTCCGTTACATCTTTCCAAATTAATTTATGTGTGGATAAAACCAAAATTCCGTCTTGAAAGGAAGTCTGAAAAATGAATATATACAATTAGATATTCACATATAACACTAAAACATGTATTGAGATGAATTATGAAACATATTCAGCCAAATAATATGTATATATATATAAACTGTTTACCTGGATTTGAAATTGTTTTGCTATTTCTTTTCTTGCTCAACAGAACACATGAAACACAGATGGCAATTTAGTGTGATAAAATAAGCTAACTATGACATCTGAAAATGTGAATCAATTTCAACTTACAAACGCAATTTATAGTCATTCTGCTTTCCAAAAGTGAACTGTTTTATTTAGGTAAAAATGGTGAAATTTGTTATCAAAATTGACCAATCTTTTGCTTTCACAAAGTTTGCTTGATGACCCCCCACCCCACACACACACTAATGTAGCATGTGACGGTGACGGTCATATCATGTGACATAAGTTCCAAAAAATTGAATCAAGAAAAAGAAACGACTTATTACAATGAAAAATACAATCAAATATTTTTTTATTTAACTAAACCATAAAAGGTTCACACTAGAAAATCAAAACTGTTTCCCTGTGGTTAAGATTTCACTGTCTACGATTCACACAGGCATGGTCGATTCCATCAACAACACAGGTTCAGTTATCCAGTTGAAACACACTCTAGTAATTCAATACTTTAAATACAGGTTTCAGCCTCGAATTAAAGGGGATATACCTATTCATGTGATATACTATATCATGTGCACAGTACATCTTCCCTTTTTATCGAGGCAGATACGTTTACCTATACTTATATACACAGATTGTATTGTGACTATAGGAATGTTTACATTTCCTCTGCTGTCACCTCTATTGTATTTGTTTACAACAGGAAAGAGAATAGTGTGCTTCCACCGGGGATCAAACCCTCGATCTCCAGGTTCCTAGTCGGACAGGCTCTATCACTGAGCTAAAGGGAAATTCCCTCTAGCTCAAAGCTAGAATCGAAGGTGACTGTAATCCTATGTACAATTAAAATCTGCCACATATTAATAAATGTTGGTTGATATTATTGATAAGAACTGATGATGACCTATGATTATTTTTGCAAGTAAATTGCTGATAATGTCATAGCTCTGTAATTGTTATTCATAACTTGAAAATTATTTGTACATATCGTATTACAAGTTAGTAGTTCAAATTTAATGTTGGTATACTAAGTTCTTATATATGGCATATGAGTATTCATTTCTTGTTAATTAAATTAGTGTGGCCTCAGTAGGTTCCCTGTAGTTATAAGAGAAGCGACTGGTTCTTCCATAAGTGATTAAGTCTAGATTCAAAAGCTCAAACAGTTTGTGACGTTACAACCTCTGATGGCAGACTATTCCATATGTCTATGTTTCGGTGGAGGAAGCCATATGTCTACATTTCGGTGGAGGAAGGACCATTTCCTGATGTTAAGGTGCATTCTATATTTATATAATATCAGTTTAATATACTTGAAACATATCATGTCACTATAGCAGGAGAGGAAAATGCAGTGGGCATTGGGGCTAAATTGATATTTTAATACCAGATTCCTTAGTCCAAAATAATTGATCGTCTTCACCTTTAAAAAAATGTCGGGTGGAGATGTACAGTGACCATTTCTGTAGCGCATTGTTAGCTTAATGCATGAACTCAGACAAACTTTGGTATCGATATCAAGGTATCAACCTACATTTGAGTAGTTTCTGTTATTTGAAAGACTCCACCTAGAGTTAGTCCTCTGATTATGATACACATCAAGAAGCTTGTAGCTTTATGAGTTAAAATCGTTAGCGAATTTATTATTGAATCGAAACTTTAATCTGCAATACTTAGTCTACAGGAAGGCCGTCGTAGTTTCGTCAGTATTTGCATCCAAGACACGCTCCATACACAGTTATACCGTAAACTCTGAGTTGCAACAATAACAATACCTTTTCGTGACCATCATACAAAGCCACCCCTCGCTGCTGTAATACTTGTTTTTCGCCAGGAAGGAAACTATCGTCACCCCACTCAAATCTGTCCATTTTCTCTAGAGTTTCCGTATCCTTCAATGTCATCGAAAGGCTTTACATAATACTCACCTTAATAAAGCGTTGAAAAGACCAAAACAAATTCCAAATAATGAACCAAACACGGGAAGCATGTATTACGGCATTGGCGACCACAGACTTGTAATTAAAAAAACATTCATGTTAAAAACCGAAATTGCTTAAAGTCAAAGAAATATATTTGATACATCATATTGAACAAAAGGCCCATTGGACATGTATCGCTCACCTGGTATCAATATCACACTTGGAACCTTAAAATTAAAAGTTGACTAAATAAAGATACAGGCAAAATATCATTGTTTTGACTCAAAGTCATTCAAAAGAACCTGTTAAAATATTAAAACACATCGCCTGGATATTTGAGCAATCATAGGAAAATGTTCTCCATATTGAAAGTAATTCTGCAAATATTTGCAGTCTCATTGGCTATATTAATAGGATGTCCTAAGCTAAATGAAACTTTATAATTTTCTATCCTAGCATGCTACTAGTCAAATATAATCATCATGGGCCTCCAGAAGAAGTTGTTTAAGGGTTTTTAACATATTTGACCCTTGTGATCTTGAAAGTATAGGCCAAGGTCATTTATTTGAAGACACTTTATAGCATTTCATGCCAGGAGACCTACTGCCCAAGAATCATAATCCTGGGCTTCCTGGTTATTCAGAAGAAGTTTTTAAAAGGTTTTTACAAATTGACCCCTGTGACCTTAAAAATAGGTCAAGGTCATTTATCTGAGGAAAATTAATGGCACTTCATCCCAGGTACTTTCTGGCCAAATATCATTGCTCTAGGCCTCTTGGTTATTCAAAAGAAGTTGTTTAAGGTTTTAAACACATTTGACGTACCCTTGTGATCTTGAAAATAGATCAAAGTCATTTATTTTAGGAAACTTTATAGCACCTGGTCAAGATATTTAGACAGGCGACGGACATCACACCAATTACCATAAGCTCAACTGGCACTTCGAGTTGAAATGTTGAAACAAAACTCTGAACACGTATCAGAGTAGCTGCATCATTTGGTCCGAAACTACACATAATAAATAATATATATAGGCCTACATAGAGCAGAAAATTATATTGTATATTGTGATATATGTCTCTGTATAGAGTCAGCATCAAAATGTCTATTTGTTATTTAAAGTTGATAGAAATTGCTTATACATCAAATGTTTATGTCATTCATAAATAAGATCTATAATACATTGCCATTAGTTTGGGATATAATATTCCCAAATCATTTAGTGAATTAAAAAGTGTACCATTAGAAGCACTAAGAATTGTTCCAATTTTATTGAGGCACTAAATTAAGCTTGCTGGTAATGTTGAACCTTGATATAGAAAAACCAAGTTGTGAAAATGAGCACAATTTTGTGAAAATCAAAATTAGATATTTATTGCTGCTGTGTCATGAAAAAGTAATTATAACCCCTCAATAGAAAATTAAGCCATTCCGGGGTCATTTTTCTACATTTGAAATATGACTTGAAATCAATATACCTGGTACATGTATTCTACGTACGTAGAGACTGGAGATCCTACCTTGGTATGCGTAGAAAGCATATTAACCCCACCCCATGTAACCATGTTTTTTGTCCTTCTTCCTAGTGTAAACATTGAAGTGACCACTGTAGAAAAACTAACCAGGGGTCATTTTTCTGCATAGAGATCCTTCCAAGGCATCAGTAAAAAATGCGTATAACCCAATAAGGTTTGTTGTCCTTCGTCCAGAGAAAAAGTCCAAATTTATGAACACACATACACTCTACTATATTCATTTTAATACAGTATGAAATGTTCTCATACGTCAGTACACACTTTATTTTTGTGATCAGTCAAGGTTACTCTGGAGTTGCTAAAAAATATTTTACCAACCCTTTTAAGGTCACTCTGGCATCTGCTTTTCCTCACAGATTTTAAAGGGTGTCGAGGATATTCATTTCAACAAACTTGCTAACCCTTCTCCTGACCCTTAGCCTCTTTTGTTAAACAGGAGAAACAGTTGAATCTTTTCAATATTTTTAAACCACATGGAATTGAAAATGAGCTCATCTGTTTAAAAAACTCTTGATATCTATTTATCTAAGTAAGCAACACGTCAAATATTATTATCATGAGCTTCTTTGTCATCCCTATATTTGGAAGATTTTTTGAAACATTTAAGACCTCAAACACAGCTGCTACAATGCATTAAAGGTCAGGTAAGCATTGTCAGATTTTAAATTTGCATAAACAAAATTCTTCAAAAGTCACAAGATAATAATTTTCGACTCAGTAGAACAGCCTCCCCCTATCCCCCCC